TCCTCTCCAGTTTTTCTGGGGCTAGCACGGTTGGTAATTACCTATGTGTACTTACCTAAGTGTAGTTCCAGGATGAGAGCTACTCTCGTGGTGTCCCGTCTTCCCAGCACTCTTTGTCATATAATGCTTTGATTATAATTGTCATATTGTCATATAATGATTGTCATATGTCATAATATGTCTTCATATGATTGTCATACAATGCTTTGGTGGTGGGGCTTCAGGTTTGCTGTTTTTATTGCATTCCCTATTTTGTGAAGGGCACTTTGTATACTCTTTGCATCTTTACCGGATCTTAGTGCCCTGTCTGCGTCTGAGATTCGGTGTCTGGCCTACCTCGACGACTGGCTGGAGTGGGCTCCCAGTCAGTCCGCTTGTCTGCTCGCCAGGGGATGGTTCTTTCCAGATCACTGGGTTTGGTTTCCTGGTGATCTGGAGGTTTTACCTTCTGTTTCCGTCCCGGGTTCGGACCTGGGCCTTGTTTCAGGCTCTTGGGCCCCTCATTGTCTTCCCTCCAGAAGTGTTACTGTGGCTGTGGTCCCGCCTTTGGCTGTTCAGGAGGGGGTCCCGGGTTGCTCAGCGGTTGCTTGGGCGGTTGTGCGGGAGTTTGCACTTCGGCGTGCTTGTCTGCCCGCGGAGTCGGGTTTGGCTCCGGCGTCGGTTGGTTCCTACGGAGACTCCACTTCCGCCTCTTGCATTCCTTGGGTTCCTCTGGGGATCTGGTGTTGGTGCTGCGTCACCAGCTTCCTCTTTGGGGTTTTCGGGGTTCCGTGCCTTGGCGGCTCCCCGAGCCTTCGCTCGATGTGTTCACGGACGGGTCGTCTCTCGGCTGGGGCTTTGTGACCAGTGCTCACCAGGTCGGCCGAGGTTGATGGAGTCTGTCTGTCCGTCGGGCTCACAGCCCGGTTCAGGTGTTCATGGCTGTCTGGTTTGCGCTTCGGAGGGTTTGGGTCACTAGGTACTCTACCATTCAGCTCTGTTTGGACTGTTCTCTGGTGGTTCTTGCCGGAACCACAGGGGGTTTGGTTAACCGTGTGGTTCGTGTCCGGGGTGTGTCCTGCGTCCTGGTGGACAGCTGTCTCGGTTCATTCCTCTTCGTGGGTTGGCCAGTCGTCGCCGATTCGTTTTGTTGGCTCTGTTGGGCTTATGGACTCCTGGCCATGGACGTCTTCGGGTCGGCGTGGTCTAGGCGTCGCCCGTTTTGTGGCGCCCTTCCCACCTGCGAGGACTTCACGGTGGAGGCTTTCGGCAGGCCTGGTCGAGGTGGGGGGTACCTGTACCTCTTCTCCCGGTCCAGCTGTTGCTTCGGGTTCTGGCTCAGTTGCAGCCCATTCCCACGAGAACAGTCCTTATGGTTCCACTGTGGCCGGCCCGGCCTTCTTTTCAGACGCTGCTTGATAGGTGTCCGTACCCGGGGCGTTTTTCCTGAGGCTTCGCCTCTTTCAGCAGGCCGAATCGGTCCTGTCCGTGACTGGTTCGGCCTTCTCTTTGGCTCTTCGCGTCTGGTATTTTGACGCAGGTATCGCCATCTCTATGGTGTTCAGGTGGCTTTGTTGACGGTGTCCCACCTGCGAGCTTCGTCTTGGAGACTGTATGACGTTTATTACGTTTTCTCGCGTTTTGTTTCCCCTCCGGCCTGCTCATGAGTCGCCTGAGCCATCCTGGTCCTTGTTCAGGGTGCCTTCTTCTCTTCCCCTCAGTTTGTGGTAGCCCCTTCGGTTTCAGTTTCCTCCTCTTTGGTACTGGTGGTAGCTTTATTGGTGTGCAGCCTTTCTCTGTCCTGGCGACGGTCGAGACGGCTGCTTTCCGGAGGGGTTCTTGGGGTATTGGTACTTGTTTGGTTTGGCCGGGGGGTGCGTCCTGTGTTGTCCAGTTGTGCTTTTTGCTGTTGCCGGCGTACCGTGCCTGGGGATGCGCTGTGGTTGATCCGGTTCCTTCGTTCCCTGTTTTCAGGGCTCGGGTCTCCCGGGTCGTCCGCAGTGTTTTCCTTCTTCCTGCGGTCTGTCTTTGCGCCCGTGCTGTTCAGACGTTTGCAGCAATTGCTGCTGTGTTGGTGACGTCTCGGGCTCATTTCGGGCGCAGGGAATTGTGGGTCGCACAGGTTTTTGGCCGCCCATCCATATGTGCGTCTGTTCTTGGGCGTTCTTGTTGCCTTGGGTCGCAGGTTTGCGACCGGTTGTCTTGGCTTTGCGTTGCAGAGTTTGTGGCGGCCGCCTCCCGGGTTAGCCCTTTCTTTTCCTTCTCTTTGGGTATGAAGCTCCAGGGAGCCGTAGGGGCTCCCCACAGAAAACCAGCGTTGAATGTAATGAAACGCCATTTTCTGGGTGAGCCCCGGAGGCTCCCTGGAAACCCTCCCTCCCACCGGTCGGCGGTTTTTTCGCGTTGGTTGAAGCTTAGCTTCCGAACTGGAGCTTGGCAGCCGGCGCGGTAGGTCCGGGGCTCCCCCCTCCCCCTCCCGGGGTGGGGAGGGCTGCGCGGACGATCGGCGCGGCAGTAAAGTGTGATGTTTGCTTGTTTGCTTGTTTCCTTGGGATTGTAGGGAGTTTTCTACCTCTCTGTTCGGTTTTTGTTGTAGTTTCTTACCATGTGGGGTTTGTTTTGTTACGCCTACCTTTCTGGGTGCCTAACCCCGGTCGATGGCAGATAAGGAAAACCCCCAACCATATGGGGTTTTCCAGGGCCATTGCTCCCTGAAACCTCTCTGAAGGGGCCAGGTTCTGGCGCTGGTCCCTGGTAGGTCTGAACTCCTTAGCTAATGTCCCGGTCTAACATAACATACATTAGCCCGATAAGCTCCAGGGAGCCTCCGGGGCTCACCCAGAAAATGGCGTTTCATTAATGAGCTTTTTTTAATCAGTTCCGGCACCGAGCTCGTCATGTGGAAAACTTATCTTGTGAAACAACAGCAAAACTGTCGTCAGGTGTGTCTGAGAACCAGCGGGAACGCTCGTTAATCGAGCGAAAGCTCGTCAGTCGAGACATATGTTCTGCGAGTGGCTTGCTCGTTACTTGAAATGCTCGTAACTGGAGCCGCTTGTCACTCGAGGTTCCACTGTATTTGCTTTTCAGTAGAAAGCTTGGCTCTTTGTACCTAGATCTTCACTTTTGGATATCTATTTCAAGCACTTGCACTTTCCTATAACTTAACTATTTTGCTTTCAAAGCTGTGGATTGAATTGGGGTCTTCTTTGTTCAGATCATTCCATTTGTTTGTGAAAGAAGTGCTTTCTTGCATCTGTGGCTCATTTGTGTTTCCAGTTCCTGCCTGTGTCTCCTAGCTCTACTTCTCATCTTTAAAAGTCTGTTCTTGTCTATCATATGTCATGACCATGTCTCCTCTGGATTTTCCTTACTTCAGTGTTTGTGAGTTGAAATCTTTGAGCATGTACTCATAGCTCCAATCACTTCTTTCTGATGTCCCTTTTGGGAAATACCCATTTTTTTTTAACCACTAGTTATAGTTTTCACACTAGTGTTGTATGCTCTAGAACTGGCGTAACAGGCCATATAAAGTGTTCTGAACGATTATTTGTGTTGGTTTCAAATAGTAGTTTTAATTATATTTTCTAATTTAGGCATGCTGCTAATGTTATCTTTTTGAACTATGCATATTTCTAGCCTTCTATTCCCTCTTCATTTTCTTTGGGATGTGCCAGGGGGTACAAGGGGTTTCCTTGCTGATGCTCTCTCTATTCTTGTACTTACAGGGATCAGGAGAGGATGTTGACTCCCTCCTGATGCCTTCTTCCACTTCAGGGAAGGTGTTACTGGAGGGCATCTGGTTGCTTTTTGAATCTCTTTGAAGTTTGATGCCAAGATCATAAAGTTTGTTGCTGCATACATACATGTTTTCTTATCTTCCGTTTTGGTACAGGCTGAATTCCTCCTCCACCCTCTTGTGAGTTCCTAGTCTTGTGAATTTGCTAATCACTGTGACTAGCGTTGTCTCGTTGTTAATGGCAACGTTCCAAGAGTGAATTGATTGGATCTCCACCTGCCGACAGTGCAGAATTAAAGAAAGAATACACAATTTATGTTAACATTCTCACTGTTTATATTTGATTAAAGCTGTTTTGATATACACTCGTGTATTTATTTTAGCTGTCATTCCCATAACAGCCCATTCACTTCTTTGAGCTCCTGATCATATTATACTATCTAGATACTATAAACATGGTAAAACCCTGAAGGTACTTAGCATTAGTTATGGGTCAGATTGTGGCATGTCGAACATGAAATTCTGAACAGCCTTCTACCACTAGGTGAGGTGTAATCGTTCAATAAGTGCTGAGCGCTTGCTCAAAGCACTTGTTTTCAACACGTATCAAAGCAAGCTAGCAGATGTGATGCAAGATGGCCGCCTTTCTCCCCAACCCACATTTGTGCGTGAAGTTGGCGACTGATTCTCAAATTGGAAGTGGTTATTAAATTACTGTATTTCAGGGCCTAAGAATAACTTTATTTTAACAATCTAATCAACCTTTAAAATCTTAACTCTGATTTCCTCAATTTTGATTAATGATGAGAATCAACAGTTACTTATATTAGCGTCATCATCTCATAACAAAGTGGGAAGGTTTTGGCAGAATTATGGCACCAGCCAGACTTAGTACAAAGAGTCTGGCTATTGTACATTTTAGTTAAAATTATGGACAAATAATGAAGTAAGAGGACTAGTCCTCTTAGCTTAAATGTCAATAATTTGTGTTTAGTCTTATAAGCTTAACATAAAATGAATCCTCATAGCTATATATTATTAGACATATTTATTAAGTAGTTAATTATAAGTGTATTAAATATTTCCCACAACTCCCAAGGTCTGCGAGTCTATCCTCAGGGTTACTTGTACAACACATTTCACCAGTTATTGTTTAACCGTGTGATTTCCTTAGAAATTGTGATCTTTGTCGTGTTGTGCAAGTTTTTAATCCGAATTTCTTAAAAAAAGAAAGAATTGTTAACCATTTTTAAGAGTGTTGATATGCGTTACTAATCATAATATTTTCTACAGGAATCATCTGTTTTACGTCTTCTCGACCACCTTGCCCAAGGTGTCGATCCACTCCGTCCCCATTGGTTGGCCAACCTGAGCACACTTCTCAACCAGTTTTTCTGCCGCGATCATAGACCCAATGTCAGAACTAAAGCACTTGCGATACTTGCAGATATTTACAACAATAATAGGTTATGTATCTTTGTGGTATACTGTATAAGGTTAGGTATATTTATTATATGGTTCCTTTAAGGTTATGTAATTCAGTTGTGTTGTATTCTCATAATTGTTAAAGGACTGATTGCTGTGTTCAGCATTTAGTTTTATTTTCACTTTGTATATTTGTTATTGATTAGGATATGTTTGTATGTCCTATATCTAAATATACCTATCATTCCATATATACTGTATATTAATACACATGTAAATGCACAATATCAATGATAGTGGTAAATGTTCCCTGTCAGATATCAGAATGACCTCATTATACAAATAATAAGATTATTGTACTAAATGGATCGCCTTCACCTGTACTGTTCATACCAGTCTGTATTTGTAACATTATCTCTGCACTCATTATAGAGCCCTGTATTTCCTTAAGCAGCTCTTCTGACTGTGCTTCATGATTTCAGTGTAGTTTTGAGCCCATTTAGTTCAGGCAATGCTAGATATTTTTTGAAGTACAATTTTTCGTGCTTCGTGGTTTTTGTTGATGATAATAGTTTTGTTTTATTTTGCAGACATATGCATGGAGCAGAAATGATAAGAAATGTAATATGTATCCAGATGGAAGGTATTGAAGCGGAGCGAGATGTTGGAGTACGGACAGCTGCTGTTAATTTGCTTGTTCATATTGCCTTAACCCAGAGATCTTATGTTGTGCCAGATATACTTAACTTGCTGGAGAAGGTAAATTAAACTGTGTATTTTTATTGCTTTTTGATGATGCAATTTTTATATGTGTTAATATTCACTGATTAAGCGTTGAGGATATTGTGGGCAGTGTTCATACATAAAAAAATTGTTTTCCAGACAAACACATGATGAGACTACAACGTTGCTACAACGTTTGAACACGTTTTAACACCTAACAAGTTGTAACAATCAATATAGCAAGTTGTAGCAACATTCTAATGTCATAAAAACGTTATAACAAGATGTAACAACTTTATTACAAGTTGTAACAAGTGGAAAATAGGGACAGTTACGTTGTGTGTTTGCAGGGTTTACTACGTGAGTGTCATCTTTATTAGTCATTTTCTCTTTTATGGGGTGGTGGGTCATTTTCCCAAAGAAGGTTGGAGAGTAATACTGTATAGGTAACAGAGGGTTAAAATACAGAATTTAATATATTTAAGTGGACCCCTCTTAGATGGTTGACCAAAAGCTGAAGTTATCTGGACCTAAAACAGGCCTACCCAAGAGGCTTCGGTGAAAGTTGGAATGCACAGGAGAGGTGACAGGCAAGCTACTAGTATGAGTAGAAAACCTGATTAATAGAAAGATAAGGGTAGTGATCAGAGGCAGTGCCATCTTAATGCATGGGCACACTGGGCAGTTGCCCAGGGGCCCCATGCTGCCATATTGTTCATGAGAGATCTCTTGACCTGGAATTCAAATCCCTTTTCAAGTTATATTTATAATCTAAATAATGTGTGTATAACTATCTGGTGGTAATTCAACACTTTAGCAGACAGGTAGGGCCCATTATTTGAATAGGGGCCCCCAGTGCATTATTTTGGCCAGATTCTACAATATTGTTAAGATAGCCCTGATCAGAGGTAATGAATCAGATGGGAGGAATCCATACTATAAGATGGAATGTTTGTCCTTGTGTCTGTCTGAAGTTGGAGGACAGATGCTTGGGGCTAGCCTTATCCAACTTTGCAGGGCAAATAATCTTGGGAATGGGATGGACATGCACTGGTCAGGGTAGGCCTAAGTTAAATGCTTTAAGAAATATTGGAATTTATAGAGACCACCATGTAATTTTCATGGAGTCAAATGTGAAATATTAATCCCTTAAAGGTTTTAGTGATCATAAAAAATTTTCTGAGAGATCCATACAGTTGTATTAGTGCTTAATAATACATTTTCTGAGAAGAAAAGGGGGGGAAGCAGGATGGAAGATGATGGGAGGAATGCAGGAATTCTCTTCCCCCTTTTCCCCACTTTCTCTGTTTCAAAAAATGTGATACTGAAATCATATTCATCATTTTCAAGCATAGAAATCTAAGAATTCAGCCAACCATCTTTCATCAATAAGGTGAAGGGGGGGGTCACTATTGCCACTAGGGTGAGAGGGGTGATGTTTGAAGAGAGGGAAGACAGGTGGAGTTAGGAGAAGAGGGGGGAGATGTTGGGGAAGGAAAGTAGAGAGGTGAGAGAGAAAGAAGATTGGGAGATAACGGAAGTTGAGGGATGAGAGAGATGGAGGATCTTAGGGAAGAAAGTTGAAGAAGGGGGGAAGAGTGAAAGAGAGGTGGAGTGGGAAAAGGGAGTGATAGACCCGGGTGTAGTCGGGTACCTCGTCAGTATATGTATATATATATATATGTATTAATTACCTTAATATAGGTATAGGATGAGAGCTATGCTAGTGGTATCCCATCTTCTCTGGTACACTGTATTGGGAAGATGGGACAACACCTTCGGTGTTGTTGGCTTCCCAGGGGTTCCCTGATTATTTGCCAATTTCTTGTTTTCCCTTAGGATTATTGGGGTTGTTCCTGGCTCTTGTTAAGGATCATTTAGGGATTTCACATGCCCCATTGTTGTTTGTATACTTTGTGCTTTATCCAACTCTTTTTTTTCCTGGTTTTGGGGTGTGTTGGCCCTAGTCTTGGGTTGATTTGTTCACTCCCAGTAGTTAGTTGCCTGATTGTGTGCTCCATGGGGTAGTTCTAGGTTTTCCTTCAGGGTTGAGATTTTGGGTTCTTTCTCCGTTTTTATCAACTCTGGTGCCCTTCAACATTTCGTTCAAGTTGTTGTCTGGTCCAAGTCATTTATTTTGGATGCTGGCTTCCTTTTGTTGGCTGGGGTTTGTACCAAGGTATGGCTTTGTTTCTATGGATTTATGGTTCACTGGTTTTATCTCGTTTTTCTGGAGGGGCTGAACATTGGCTCCCAAACCTAGCTTGCTGAGGTGGCTCCATACACGTCACATCAGTCTTAGGAGTCCTGAATGGCCTACTGGGGACTAGAGCCAGCACCTGGGCTCCTAAATGAGACACAGTTAGCAGGGAGGTATTATAATCATCCTTCCAAAAGGAAATGCTCAGAAAGCAAGCGAAGCAGTATAAGGGTGAACTCCTGAATTCACCAGAGAAGTCACTGTCACAGCAGGGGCAACAAAGAAATGAACACCTATGGATGGGCTGCCCCAAACACATGCATCTTGAGGCAAAAAAAAGACGGAGTAAACGAAAAAATCCACAAGGGCCTTGATGAAGGTTCGAACTTACGCACGGGATGTTCCCAGACGTGCCATAGTCAGCTGTACCACCACATGGTCAAAAGAATTGCAACCCGGAATGCTACTGCCCTAACTAGGATCTTGTAACTTCTCTGAAGCACAACTGGGGTTTCACACAATTCCCATATGCATTCGTGCTCTGTCAACCAAATGTTCTACTTCTACATCCCTACTTCAATACACACACTTCTGAGAACATCTCTTGCGTAAGTAGGAGGGGGGAAAGAGTGGAAGCTGGGAGGTCCTGGTGGTGCTGCAACCTTTAGATGGTGGCCAGCCATAAGGCTAGAGGGGTTTGATGTAACTACAGTATTGAGTGATTCGTTGCAGAGTCATTTGCTGTACAAGTGGATGATTGGACATAACAAAGGGGATGTTTATAGGTTATAAACATATAAATATAAGACAGAACACTAAACAATGGGTATAAATTGGATAAGTTTAGATTTTGGAAAGACCTGGGTAAATACTGGTTAGGTAACAGGGTTATTGATTTGTGAAACCAATTACTACGTAACATAATAGAAGTAGGATCCCTTGATTTTTTCAAGTTAGACATATATATGAATGAGATTGGGAGGATATAAATAGGAGCTGCCTTGTAGGCAAATTGGCTGAAGGCCAATTGGTCTTCTGCAGTTATCTTCATTCTTATGTTCTTGTCTATATTACTTTGCTTCCTTTCCAAATGGTTTCCTTGAGGGTTACCTTACCTTACCTTGAGGTTACCTTGAGGTGCTTCCGGGGCTTAGCGTCCCCGTGGCCCGGTCGTCGACCAGGCCTCCTGGTTGCCGGACTGATCAACCAGGCTGTTGGATGCGGCTGCTTGCAGCCTGACGTATGAGTCACAGCCTGGTTGATCAGGTATTCACAGCCTGGTTGATCAGGTATACGAAGCGAAGCAAGGGTGGTTGCAATAATTCCGTGCTGCTTGTTCTTCTGAGGGGGGCTAAGTTCTGGTTTTGGTCCTGGGTGGAGTTACCTCAGCGAGCCAGCTTCAGTGTGCCACTGAGGCCCAATCAGAAATAGACATTTCATTACATTCAAGGGTTTTGTTCTACAGTTTGCTTAATTGCAGCTGGACAGCATTCATTGCATACTTCTTTTGATTATTGGTTTGTTTGCTCTTTATCCTTCCATCTATTCCTGAGCTGTGGCCTGTCTGTCTCAGTTCTTCCATTGGTTTGCCTCAGCCTTGCAGCTGTTTCTCCTACCTCTTTATGGTATGAGCTGTTTGTTGCTTAGCCTTGTTTTCCTCATTGTTCTTTTCTTTTAAGCATTATCTTGTTTTATTTTAAGAACATAAGAATATAGAAAACTGTAGAAGGCCTGTTAGCCTATGTGAGTCAGCTCTTCTATACATCCTCCAACAAATTTGCTTGTATATATATGTTTAACCTATACAAAATTGTATACACTATGAAACCTATAAAAATAACCTATGCACTATAAAAAAAAAGTGATCCCACATTTATTTTGTTACCTGGTTATTTGTTTCATAATTATCATTTATATTCATTATTACAGTGATTAATTTTGTGTTGATTTACTTAGCACCATATTAATATTCTGTGTGTTTTACCCTTTTGTCCATTTATATACCTCATTCATTTTGCCTTCTTGTCTTTGTAGAGACTGTAAATTAAGCTTTCATCGTCTCTCTTCATATAAGGGTCTCAGAAACCTGGTATGACCCTGAGACTCAGAGGTACCAGCACATCACTATTGGGGAGCTATCAAAGGCCCTGCCCCCAAAAAAATTTTCATTACATTTAAAGCTTGATTTTTATGTAACAAATTCAGGATCATATATTTTGTTTTATCTTTTCCATTAGGCTATTAATAATGGACTATGCAATCCAATAAAAGGCAGGTTTTCTAGGATTGTAAACTTGGTTATTTCTTAGTGTTCATTTTCTAATTTACTTTTTCAGATTGTGTTTGCACCATATTTGAACAAGGGTGACTGTGTGAAAGTAGTTAAAGAAAGTGAAGCTGCAGATATCATTGCTGCTGTTGCTGGTTTGATACGTATCTTCAAGAAAAAGCTGTGGCAGTTGCCTTCATCCTATGCTATTCAAACATATGGCATTTTGCTTGCATGTTTGGAGCAACATTATCGTTATCAAAGTGTTCTTCAAGGCGTGTCTAGAGTTAGACTTAAGGTGTGTTCTTGATATCTCTGTTCATTAGAATTGAAGAAAGAGGATATAATTTGTGCTATTTATTACCATACAGATACTTTTAGCAAACATTATCATCAAAAGGCTCTGCCGTGGTCTACCTGCTAGTTTGTTTCATTGTGTCCACTCAAAACTTGTCAATTTATAAGTAGTTACACAACTTTAGATGGATTGATTTTAAACTTTGTAAACACACTAAAAGTCATTGAGGTGCTTGTACATAAATTACATTACTGAAACCCTCCATAGCTTGTGGCTAGGTGTTCAAGTACTTCCTCCAGAGTTGGTCGGTTCACTTTGTTTTTTAGGGATTTTGAGTTAGAGTGGCTGGTAAATTCTGCCATTTCTTTATTCATCCTTTCTTCCCCTGGTCCATCTGGAATGGGTTTTAAACCTCTTGTGGCCCATCATTGCTCTGTGTTCCGGGACGTCCATGGGTTGCAAAGACCGGGCTGCTTTAAGCTGTGGGTATAGCTCAGCCTTCTCTTGAAAATGCTCCTTGCACATCAGTAGTTGAGACATTTGAGCCATTGCTTCCTGCAGGGGATCTAAAGCCTTTCATTTCTCTAGCGGCTATATTTGGCTCTGATCGATTAGTGTGTGGAGATGCCTTCCTGTCAGATCGAGCATCAGGTGGGCTCCGTTTCAACTTTCCGTCCGTGCCCCCCTAGTCCTTTTCCGGTAGGCGTTGTTCGCCTTACTTTGGCTGCCATGTTTGGCAACATAACTTATAGCTGATAATTGGGCACTGGGATTTTGGATGTCAAAAAGGGTCCTGGCTGCCCATTATTTAGTTTTCGTTCCTGCTCCTGGGCATTCCTGTGTTGCTTTTGGGTTGCAGGTTGCAGCTAGTTGTCTCGACTGCAAGTTGAGGAGTTGTGGTGGCTGCCTCCCAGGTAAGCCCCTCTTTTCCTTATCTTTGGGTAAGTAGCTCCAGGGAGCCATAGGGGCTCCGCACAGAAAACTAGCATTGAATGTAATGAAATGCCATTTTCTGGGCGAGCCCTGGAGGCTCCCTGGCAATCCTCCCTTTCGAAGGCTTTCATCCTTCGTGGATTCATTCTCTGTGTGCTTGAGGATTTTGTTTGTGCCTTTCGGCTGGAGTGGTCGAGATGGAGAGTCCTTTATCTCTTCTTTTCTGTTCGGCTATTGCCCTGGGTGCTGACCTGATTGGAGACTTTCACTGGCTGGGTGATTCTACTGGATTCTTAGTGGCCTGCACAGTTTTGGTTTCCCAATCTTCTCACTCAATATCCTAACCTGGGCCTCTTTCTGTAGCTTTGCCTCTTTCAGCAATTCTGTCAGGAGTCTTACCTTGCTTATGGTGTGCTTTGGTGGGTGTCATGCCACTTTCATTTTATTCCCCAAATCCTTGTATTCTGCCTCCTGTTCCCACTGGTGTGCCTTCTCTTTGTCCTGTTTTCCTTATTTCTTTTCTGAGAACTCCCAGTTGACCTGAGCTGCCACCTGGTGACACTTTGTATTGACATGATGTTTATTTACCATCAGCAAGCTACTGTTTGTCGTGACTTTATTTTGTTTCTCTTTCTATTCAAGATTTGTGGTTTTGTTTGTCTTGTCTGTAATTTCTAGGCATTTTTCAGTTTTGGTTCAATCTCTTACCACCATGCTCCCCCTTTGCCTCTTTGAGTGAACCAGAGTCTAAGTTTGATGTTCATTTGGCTGTTGAATTCCAGAGGACTGGTAGTTTTATGTGTATCTCTGATGCCAGAGCCAATGCAATGGGGATGTACTGAGGCCTCTTAGATAAGGGCATTTCATTACCAATACATTCAACTCAATGTTTGATGCTTCTGTTTTAAATCTTATCTGTGATCTTCAATATCTTTATGTTCATAGATTCATACCATCTCTTACTTTCATCAGTATAATTTTCAGTCACATTTGATTAAAGTATTGACACTTTTGTATATATGCATGCTGTACTTTTTCTTTATTGTTTAAACTTTATCATAATTATTTTACAGATCTTTGAAATGATATTTGAAATGCGAGCCAATGCCAGATACCAGTTAGGGTTTCCCCGGATCTCTGGTAAAGGTGCAGAAGAGGAGGACAGAGATTCGATTGCATCACTGATTCCACCCTACTCACCATACATAGTTGTAGACCATAAGCATGGTCAGCGACTTGACGAGGCTCAGAGGGAGAGGGAGTACAAAGGTAAGGGGATTTCCAATTCAGTAATAGCACTGAAGGCAATATTTTAACTTTTGAGACGGGTGGGTCAAGATTTTTAGTTTGAAATTGATAAACAAAGGTATAAAAATTGTGTTACTGAAGTGTTTTAAGAAATTGTTGTTGCCAAAAACTATACAGTACTGTATATAGTACTTACATACAAGAGAATAATAAGATAATTTATTTCCTCCATAATAATCCACTGTGATGCACCTAGTTTTCTGTGGGGAGCCCCTACGGCTCTCTGGAGCTTATCGGGCTAAAGTATGTTATATTAGACTGGGACATTACCCAAGGAGTTCAGACCTACCAGGGACCAGCGCCAGAACCTGGCCCCTTCATAGAGGTTTCAGGGAGCAATGGCCCTGGAAAACCCCCTTGTGGTTGGGGTTTTCCTTATCTGCCATCAACCGGGATTAGGCACTCAGAAAGGTAGGCATAACGAAACAAACCCCACATGGTAAAAAACTAAAACAGAAAACCGAACAGAGAGGTAGAAACTCCCTACAATCCCAAGGAAACAAGAAAACATCACACTTTACTGCTGCGCCGATCGTCCGTGCAGCCCTCCCCGACCCAAGAGGGGGAGGGGGGGGCCCTCCAGACCTCACCGCGCTGGCTGCCTAGCATCAGTTTGTAAGCTAATGTCAACCGGGACAGACGCTTCTCTGGCCTCAGTTTCCTAGGCAGTGTTTACCTTTCATGGCGTTCACTGCTGTGTGTTGTGTTGTGCGGTGGCCAGGTGTTCCTCATCAGTACTGGGGCTGCATGCGCTTAGGGGCTTCCTTCCCTAAGCGCCCTGTGAGTACAGCCCCTGCATGACAGAGTTATCTTCCCTGGGGCGTTTGGGAACCATTCCTGTAGAGATTCTTGCTGTTCGGCATTTCCCTCGCCCTTGGGGCCAGGCTTGGGGCCAGGCTTGGGGCCCTTGTTTGGCCTTGGGTTGGGACTGGTATTGTGCTGGTTAGGGCGTCAAGGTGTTGCGCGACCTGCCACCTACGCAGCGACCGGTTCCTGTTGCCTCTGGGGACGGTGTTCTTTTGTGAGGTTTTTCTTTTGTTTCTATTTTCATTTGCCTGGTGGGGGTCTGCCTAGTGTGGCTATAGTTCCACTGGTAGTGTTTGGTGGCCCCCTGCTAGGCCCCATGATTGTACACGTTGCAGGGGTTTTCAGTGTTGTCATCTACCCCTTGTTAGTTTTGGGTTTTAACTAGTTAGCAACACCTTGCCCGGGCTTCCCGTAGTTGTTACCCTACGGGCCCTAGTATACCCTGTCGGGGCTCGGTGGACCATTGAATGTGTCTTCCGGGTTCCAACCCGTCTTGTACGTGTTCGTTGGATGCTGTGCCCTTGTCTCTTGGTGACAGTCGCCACTTTTACCTCCGTCATGCTTCCTGTTGGGTACCTGACACCTTAACCCGGAATCTTGTAAGTTGTGTTCTCTGCTTGTTCTCCAGTACTCTCCTGATGTTATTACTGTTCAGAGTACAGGTGGCATCCGCGTTGCAAGCTCGGTTTAGGTTGCTGCAATGCGCTAGGATGGTTTTCTGGCCATTGTTGTTTGCAGAGTCTGCGGTAGTGCAGTATCTGTGGGCAGTTTCGTCTCGTTGCCGTCCTATGTCGGACTTGTTAGACCTTCGGGAGGCTTGTGTGGCTCCTTTCTGGAAGGGTCCTGCCAGGGTTTGGGGTTCTTCCATCGTGGTGGGCCAGTGGTGCTGGATTCGATCCTTCTGTTCTGTTCGTCGGGTTGTTTGCCCTGCTTGCCATTCGAGTACTCGTTGGTGTGTCGATTCTTTCGCGGGCCTCTTCTCCTGCTCTGTCGGGTTTTTGTCAGAGTGGTTTCGCTTGGGCGTGGTCGATACAATCTTGTTTCCCTGGGTGGTTCCCACCTGTTCCAGCCCTGACACGGGACTGTGTGGACCTCTGGTTCATTCTGGACTTGTCCCGTCTGGACTGTGAAGTTTTTGCCCATTTTTCGGATGGCTACTCTGTCCCAGGTTGTCTCGACTCCAACTGTCTTCAGTTGGAGTCGAGTGCTTGGATGGTGTCCCTGGAATTCGCTGATGCATCTTGGCAAGTCCCGATTCATACTCGGTTTAGGATGAAACAAACAAGCTAATGCTTGTAAAAATTGCATTTAAAAATCTTAGCGAATATCTTACCAAGACCATACATATGCCAAGTGAGAACATTATTAAGTATGCAGTACCAGCATGGATTCTGGACCTCATTACGCACAAAATTAATTACTGTATACAAAATTCAGAATGTAGCAATAAGACTGGAACCAGAATTAAGAGGACAATGATATAAGGACAGAATATGGAAATTCAGTTTTGAGAAAATACTGAGGGGAATAGACAAGGTGAACAAGGACAGCTTCTTTAAACGGAGACAAAATGAGACAAAGATACTGGTGCAAGCTGTAAATACAATAAAGTTATAGAAAAGATAGTAAATCCTCGAATTCTTTATGGGTGTTCAGCAATGTGAATGCATTGAAAGAAGAAGTTGTTGAAGCAACATACATCTACATTTTGGAAGAACATATATGCTTCAGAACTTGATTGTCAAGAGAGATAAAAAGCAGCAATGTTAAAAAAAACTTAAGAGGCAAAGCATTGTGAGCTAGATCTTGCCCCATTTATCACTGATAAGCAGGCACCAATAGCAAAGTACAGTGGTACCTCAGCTTACGAATTTAATCTATTCCCAGAGACGGCTCGTAAGTTGAATATTCATAAACTGAAGTGAATTTGCCCATAAGAAATAATATAAATTGAATTAATCCGTTCCAGACTCCAAAAAAAAATTAACTTCAAAGTAAATTTTATACTTAATTCACCCAAATCTTCAGTACTAAAGTATGTACAAGTTATTACTTACCTTTACTGATGACTCTTGTTGGTGTATGGAAGATGGTGAGGAGGGGGAAAGGAGGAGAGGTGTTAGTGTTTGGAAGGGGAGTTCCCTTCCATTATAACAATAGGCAGTGATGACTTCTCTGGCGTACACTCTCTGGCATGTTTTGCCTGCATACCTTTAGGCCCTGCTTGTGGCTCACTGCTTGATTTTCTCATTTAAAAACGATCCATAGAGGATTGTTTTCCCTTCGTTGAAACACTTTTCTGTAGTTAGACATCACATTGTCATTAAAAAGGTTAATGCAATGGCCTACTACAGCTTGCTCTGGGTGAGTCGTTTCAACAAATGTTTGCATTTCTTCCCACAGCCTACACCGCTTCCTAATTGTTGAGGAAGGATCATTCTGTACTGCCTCCTCCTTCCCTGAAGAAATTTCTTCAGCTGCTGCTTGTCAACATCCCGTGTACCATTTTCATGTTTACGAATGATCTCTTGTTTTTCCTCTATGGTCATTCTCACGTGTGTTTTTTTGGCTTGAACCTTACCACTAGCTTTCTTGGGACCCATGGTAAGATACATAATAACAACTTTTATGTTCAAATACCCAAAAATCCCAAAAAACTGTAATTCTTTACAAAGAATTCAGGCGTGATTGTCACTATGCGGGAGACACTGGTAAACTGAGGTGCGATCGCCGTGCCATCAAGCACTAGATCAGCCATACGCGTATCAATAAACTTTGTTTCCCGAGGCAAAGTTCGTAACCCGATTCGGATTTTACAAAGATTTTGGGCCCGTAACCCGAAAAGTTACCACTGCAAATACCATCAATACAAGCAGAAACACTACAGTTGACATCACCATTATACCAAAATATAGTGCTCCCATCCAAGCGAGGGACAGCAGAATAAGGGGTCTCGGGTTAAAGTTGGAAATACAGATTGGCTAGATAAATAAAAGGAAATGCTTGTATACAGTGAGAGTGCTAAATAAGTGGAATGAATTTAAACCAGAGGTGATGGAAGCAACCATCATTCAAAGCTTCAAGAGTAAGTATGATAGAGTACTGAAAAGTTGGGTAGTATAAATGCACCATATGGATAAGTTATGGCTCTCCCTGTAAACACAACAAAGTAAACACAAAGGCAGTGATGTGGTGGAGGCTGACTCCATACACAGTTTCAAATGTAGATAGGATAGAGCCCAGTAGGCTCAGGAATCTGTATATCAGTTGATTGACAGTTGAGAGGCGGGACCAAAGAGCCAGAGCTCACCCCCCCCCGCAAGCACAATTAAGTGAGTACAATTAGGTGAGTACAATAGTCCAATTACATTTTAGCAGCCACTATAGCCACAACCTCCACAAAATGCACTTTTATCACACTTAGACACTCCCCCCACCACCACCACCACTTAACCACCACTGCAGACAGGACCACAACCACCATAACATTTATTCTGCTCTTTACATCACACTGTACACATTACACCTGAACTATATCACCTATATACAATTCAATTCCCTGTTACCATTTCACCAATTTTCGTATCTGAAGATATACAAGCCCATAGATACCGTTCTCTACTGCCTTTATGCGATATAAATTTATGTAGTGTAGAAGTTTTTGTTTATGCCTGAAATATTACAACTATCTGTATATTTTAGGAGGCCAGAATGATGCAACTAAAGAACATGGTGATGTGTTTGGGAAGAACAGTTCAGCACTGCCAACAGTGTTGCCATTGGATTCCGAAGCTGAGGTTACTCATCTATCGTTAACTCAAGCTGCAATGACTGTTATTGTTGCTATGAAAAAAGAAAAAGGTACGTTCTTCTTCTTTACAAATTACCTCACACTCATCAAGGTGGGTTTTTGTTTTATTCACTGCCAGTGAACAGTTAGTTACAGCACTAGAGAAATTTCACTCCATCACTCAGAGTGATTACATTGAAACTCCATGTTTATTTAAGCAGAATTATCTTTCATTTTGTGTAGCTGTTCTGTAATATATATTTGTACATTAGCCTAATGTCAACATACTGCGGGCTATGATGACACATAGCCTGTCACCTATGTAAGCCGGCCCACAGGCTAGACTGCAAGAGTGGAAGATCTCTTGAGATTGTTAACAGGTAATTAAGAGGTAAATGCAGGAAAATGAGGCCACATTTATCTCAAGAAAATTGAAAAATTGCTGTACTACTAAAATAAGTATACTGGATCACTTCTCCCATCTGTCACCAGGTGGTGGGCAAGTCCACTCTTGGTCTAGGAAATGAGCCCACCTTACCCTCTGCCTGACATGATTGGCCAGCAGAACACTCACAGTACCCACTTAGATTTAGTGTTTGACATTTCCTTGGTCCTTTGGGCCTATGTTGAGGCTCTGAGCTGTCAGTATTTCATGAGTGCAGTTCACATTGTATGTCTTGTTACCACCATCCACCTCAGCTTGTGCTTCAGAACCTTAGCCCCTTGTGCTGTTGGCAAAGTCTGTTCTCAACCAGAGTTCTCTTCAATGAAGAGTTAATTTCCTCCTCCAAGGATTCAAGTTTTGGATTGAACCAGGCCAGGTCAGGTAATGCTTTGGGACTTTGTTGTCATGTAAGACCTGTTATAGAGGAGATGATACAATTTAGTAGTGTTCTTCGTGGGTTTGCACTGAGAATAACATTAGTTAATTATTTGTTCAATTTATGGCAACTTGTGCCCTCCCCATTTCTAGGAGACAGGTCATGTTTTATTTCAGCATTACAGTTTCTTGTGCATGATTATTTCACCTGATTGTGGGTCACCACCCACCACTCCACCAGCTGCGTTGTCAAGACTGCAAGTAGACTGGAAGTAAATGCAGGAAAATTCAAGAGGGAGCCAGCCTGTAGCAGTACTAATTATTCTAGTTGATGGATCCATGGTTACGTCGTCTATTGTAAGGCAAGCGGAACGAGGCAGACACTACAGAGTAGTGTCTCCCTTCAGAGTACAGTTGACTTGCCATAGAAGGGAGCCAATAGCCTCCCTCGGCCCAAGGTTAACTGTACAAGGGTTACATGAATGGTGTTTACGGTCTAGTAGTCTGGTGTCTACGCGAAATGCCGGAGATGAAGTGAACCATGGTGACTAAAGATTGGGAGCCACTTGTTTTGCCAACACGCCACCCACCTCGATGCCCTTCTGCAGCTACTTCCGTCACGAGACATCATTGTGCGTTTAAGTCCTGCACTGTCGTAGCTCAGCTACTGGTTCAGTCTCTTCTATAAAGACTGTTTTGTGAGCTACAAGATGAGCAATGAGTCACGTCCTTTTAGCAAGGTTCCCCCGACCGGCAACAGCCAGTCAGGGGCTGTCACTTGTCACTCGACACTCAATTCTCGGTCAGTCTGTTGTCCTTCAGCAGTAACTGGAATGAAGTACAAAGAGGCACCAGGATTCTCTACAGTCAGCAACTGATGGTCGTTTGGAACTACAATCAATATAATTGACAGTCTTCTAACATCGTCATGTTTTTTTTTTTGTGTTCATGAACAATTGTGAAACAGGAAAAGTAAGTGTCATCTTTGCTCTATAATATTAATCTAATGCTTCTGAATACCTAGGAATGTGAGTTTGGAAAAATAGCGTTTAAATGTTGAAACCATGAAAATGAGTACGTAAAATTCTGGAGGAAGGAAATATGGAAATTTAAACAAAAATAAAACTTTTTAATGAAAACCTATTGCACGGTGCCTAGAACAACAGGTACTAGAAAATTCTGTTGTCATGTCGTGTTCTATGCTTTGAGAGCAAGAGGGGCGAACTATATAAATATTTGACACTCTTAGTGTGAACACCATTTTTGTTGTAATTCAGCTAAAGAGCCGTGATAGTAGACGTAGTAATGATAAATAAAATAACATATTGTGTTTTATTGTTTAATCTCAGAGAATGTCATGTGGACATTAAATTTTGTATAATAATGGTGAGTGGAACACATGGATGAACTCTGAGGAGTTCAGTGTTCCTCTCCAGACTGAGATTTCAGTCTGTGTTTTAAATTCGCATGTTCTAGATGGAACACGTAGATGGCTAATGGAGAGCCAATGATTTTTGCTAGCTAGCTTTGCTGAAAGTTTAGGGATATTGCATTTAGTTATATCAGTTCAGGGATAGGATGTTTTTGTTTTCAGATGTATTGGGAAGATTACTGGGCTGTCAACAGGATAGTTGGGATTCACATCCCAGGATTTTCAGTTGTGTATTAATGATTATTGCTATACAACCTGCTGGTTGTCATTGATGGCTAGATAGGATAGTTTTGTATTTTTGGAAGCTTTGGTTCAGATTGGTAATTACAGTATAAAGTAAGTGATTGGGATAAGAAACTGCGTGCTAAATAGTTTAACACAAAATTTCTTAAATACTTGAGTGAGGGGGTTGTAACAGTAGAACTGTAATACAAAAGACCATAGATCTAACCTGAAATGTTGTAGTTCACTAGAAGGGAGGATACACCTTTATAAAAATATGGAGTCTGTGGGTAGTGACCTGACAGGCTAGGGTCATCCCTCCCCCAAGGGAGTAGAGCTCATTTTAGAAAATAGCGCCACTGGGACCCTGTGTCGAGTCATCAAACTAGGATAATAATTCTTGAATTAACGAATTAGTAGGAACAATCAATTGTGGTTAAGTACTTACGTTAAAATTAATGTCAATTATGAATTAAGAATGCCTCGTATGTTCTCAAAGAAGCATTTGACTTCAGTAAGAATATGAATATATGTAAGAAGTATCTCGTTACTGGAAAATTAGTACCTCCCAGCTTGCTTGTTAATTCATGTAAATTAGTGAAATGCAAGGGCTATTAAATATTGTAATTTGCCTGCTCAAGTATTTAGGTAAATTCCCAATTGTTTTGGAATAATAAGTCACCTTCTGTGACGAGTACAGGATTTTAGTTAGTAATCTTCTTCAAAGATTAATTTGGCAACTGACCTAGGGTCAGCCTCACACGAGGTCAGTGGAGAGATGGATCAGTGTGGACTGGTTAACAACTGGAGGCGGACTGCTCCCCTGTAGCCGAGGCAGAACATCGAGGCCTGGCTGTGGTTTTAAGGTATCTGTGTCCGAGTTATTGCAGTTATTTAATCCACATGATTTGTTGTAGTCAATTGCCAATTGCCTCAGGAAGTGTTCAGATTGGGTGTATTAATTTTGATTCTTTGATAATCTTTGATTTAATCAATTTTGTTTAGAATTTTATGATGTTTAGTGAAATTTCCCCCAACGTTTATTTTACATTGCTGTTGGGCGCAAGCCTCATGCTTGGAACTAGCTCCCTCTGCAAGCCTGCGAGCATTTATTTAATATCACATATAATCCCTATGTACTTTGATTTAATTCCACACTTAACGTAAATCTTATCCCTCCTTTTCTGTTAACTGGGGATCCATTTTCGGGGTTTATGCCTAATTGACGGTATCCTGCTTCACTGTCAATTGGGGGAATTACTCAGTGGGTAGAAGGTAGCAGGTGGTGGCGGCATAAGTCAAGAGCTTGCAGTGTAGCATCGAAGGGTACAGTGTCCTTGTGTAGTGATATCTAAATGGTCGAACGTTTTTGATCTCGAGGAGTTGAACTGAAGGTTATACAGTAGAATTCTGGTTTCTGTATATTTACTTAATAACGACCAGCATTTAACCAGTAAGTGAGGTTAAAGGCTGGCCCCCGTTACAATTACATTGCCCTAGTTTCCATCCTCTGGGAGATTTGCTTACTTTATGCCTCTGCTAATTGGGTCATGTTGCCTTCCCTACCCTGGACCTGTACCTCAATTGTACCTGGATGGAGTTCTGGCAGTTCTTCTACTTCCCAAGACCAACCCAGGGCCAGGCTTGACTTGGAACAGCCCACAGCCCCACATATCCACAACATCCTGGTTGGTCTTGCACTTCTTGACGAATTCTACTTATCCTTCAGTAATATTTCTTATACTTGTTGGGAGGGTACTGAAGAACCATGGACCTCTGATGTTCATTCATTGTTCTGTGATCGTGCTTATGGTCCTTTGACTATTCACTGGCTCTATTCTGTATCTCCTTCCATATCGTTCGCTCCAGTATGTTGTTTTAAGTACTGGAACTTTGTAAGTGCCTTGATTCCTCGAGAGAGTGCACCCGAGTTGTCGGGTATATTCCCAGATTGCAAGAAGACTGCCCTGGAATGCCTTGAAACTGCAACCGATTTTTAGGGATTTTCTTTGAATCACCAGAAGAGTGCTGGGGATAACCAGGTGCTTGTCTCAGATCACCGGGTGGGTTTCCCAATTATTCAGGTGAGTGCCCGTAAACCCAGTAGAGTGCTCTGGGTCGTGGACAGCTTACCCTTGCTTCTCGGGTGGATTGCTGGGGCTTCCTTCCTGTTCAAAGATTGCAGCCTGGACTTATCTAAACTAGTATGTTGTGTTGACTTTCCCACACTTAACTCTAGTTGCTATCACCTGCATCTTCCTTGGGCAGTGTGCAGTATCTGCAAGCCTACATAGGTAAGTAGCAGTACACCTGGGGGTATTTGGTGTTTAATGGTGTAGGCCCTCTGCTGTATAGTAAATAAATACTTAGTATTATGGAAGGTAAAAACTTGTGGAAGCTTTTTTTGGTCAACAATCTCTCCTCACTGAGTTATGCAAAATTGTGATGGATAGTTTGGTATAGAAACTCAGTGTTGGAATCAGAGGTATTGTATATTTAATATTAAATTATTTGATAATATAATCTTTCTCACTGAAAAACATATATTAGGTTTTGGAGGTATTGATAAATACCTTATTACCAGCTCTCAATTGCTGCCTGGAACTTGATCAGCACTTAACCATTTTCATTAGAGCTGCATATTGGGCAACTCTACCAGAAGTGGTATATGCACTCTTAAGATTTTTGCATCACTTCCAAACTGCATTATTTATTTTACATACTGTATTATACTATTGTTAGATGTTTTAATGATTTTGCAATTTTATTTACTTAAACTTTAAAAATGGCTGTGAACTATGTGCAAAGATATCTAAAATAAATTTATTTACAGACTGGGAAGTTCTTCGCATGATTCTGGAACGAGTTCCTCAAGTGCTTTTGAATAAAGCACTCATTCTGTCACGAGATGGGAACGACATTGACTACTTTGCAGCTGCTCTCTGTTCTTTAGTTAGTACATAGTGCTTGATTTTGAATATAACGTTTACTAAAGTAAATATATATATAATCTTAAAAATCTCGTATACTACAAATAAAGCCTATTAGGAAAATAAAGCCTAATAAAAAATCTAAATAGAAAATAAAAAATTGAGTCCTGGATCTCAATGATGGATTTCCTTTGGCCACACTCTGCAAGACCATGGTGTACTGTACTGTATTTTGTAATCTGTTTGTTGCATATATTTGTGGTCTTTATTAATATTTTTACCTTGTTTTCTCTGCGAACTCACATTCCTTGAGTGGGTAATTCCATGAGGATCTTTACCACATATTTCAACTACCTCTTTCAAAACTGAAGAATTAAGCACGCTGATTTTTATTGTAAGGTTAATGTATCATTCAATTCTAACTCACATTTAGAAATATGAATTTGTGGGAATGTTTAAGACTTCAACAAGCAAATAATAATTGGAAAATTGGGAGGGAAAATGCACTGATAAAAAAGCATCAATAATATTAAGATACGCCTGTATTGTATAGTGGGAAAATAGTGTTAATTGACAGTGATACTGTAATGTCAAATATGCATGGATTAAAAAGAAGGAACATCACACGGAGAAACGGCACCCTCTTTTTTTTATCCAAACAGTACATCTTGCATGGTCAACTGAAACTGATTATTATATTTTATTGCTTTTAATATATGTATTTGTGAATTACCATGCATGTTATGTGATAAAAGAATGCCTATACAGTATGTATTTATTTTATTTTAAAACTGATAAAATTCATGCAAATGATATTTACATTGTGCTGTTCTGCATTTAAGGTGTACTTTTTTGGCAGGTTACAGATAAGACTCTGGGACTTCCTGAAACCCTACACAACACACCAACCAAATTCACTCGGTCAGACTTTCAGAGCTATGTGTTCCCAGTCTTAGCAACTTTAGCATCATACCACATGCACTTGGATTCAGTCATCCAACAAAAGGTATAACTGTTTATTGTAAGTTTTGTACAGTAGGCCCTCAGTTTGCACAGACGTGTTTTGGAAAACAGCATGGAAGTAAAAACTATAAATTTAATGTTTAAATTAATGTGGTTCCTTTAATTAATGTGGTTCCTTTATATAGAGATGCATTCTAGATACCTCCCAAAAACTAATTATTTCACTTTATATAAAAAAAACATATTCTAGAAAATGTGAATAATTCTGCACACTGCCACCAGAATTAGACAAGATATGGGCACATTCAAATGTTGTAGAGACAGTTTTTATGTGTAGACAAGATGGAGTTGGGTGAGGTTGGAGTAAGAGTTGGATGAAGCATGTTGTGAATGGTCATTAGGTTCACAATTGTCTGTCATTAACAGTTGACTGTGGGAGAGCTTTGTCAAGTCTGTGTGTGTAGTACACTGAATGTGCAGTGTGTGTGTGTGTATGTGATGTCGATGAGAGGTGTGGTGTTTTGTCTTTGAATGTGGTGTATTGTTCTGTGTGTGAGTGCAGTGTTTTATTTGTGTGTGGTGTAATGTGGTGTCTGTACTGATGCATGGCACATATATTTTGATTCCATCAGTTTGTGTATGCAATGATGTGGCTGGGGCTGCTTATAAAATGCATAGCGGCTCAACCTCTCGTCCACCTCTGTCCTTCATCACCGCTAGAGACTACTAATAATTGTATCATAGATTGTAAGGGGTGTACAGGTGGGAGGTATAAACTGTAGCATCTGGTGACATCAGTCCTCTTCCACTGCCATTTATTTCATCTTCTCTGTCTCCTCCAACTCTTCCTCATCCACCTTATCGTTCTTCTCATAATAATAATAATAATAATAATAATAATCATTATTGTCGTCGTCGTTGTCTTTAACCACCACTCTTCCTCCCTCCCTCCCCCTCCTCCCTCCCTCCCCTCCTCCCTCCCCTCCTCCCTCCCCTCCTCCCTCCCTCCCTTCTCCCCTTCCCCCCTTTCCTTCCCCTTCCCCCCCTTCCTTCCTCCTTCCTCTACTGCCTCCTCCCTCATCTTCCTCTGCCTCCTACTTTGACTGTTTTTTAGAGAATGAGAAGATTATAATATTATATTTAAAAAAAATTTGTTGTAACTATTTAAGAATGTTGTTTGTAATAAAACTTTTTCTCTTTAGGTAATTAAGTGTTTAGAATTAGGTGTCCTAAGTCGCTGTGCAGGGCCACTCTGTGTAAGTGCTCTCACTTTGTGTGTGCTGGAGATGAGAGACTCGATGATCAAACTACTGCGAGAGGTCATGCTAAACCTTTCTAAGATCACAGCTACTGTTCAGAATGCACAACCAATCTTGGAGTTTCTGTCAAGTAAGTTATAGAATGCTATAACGTTGCATATCGGCAACAGGTTTTGTTATTAGCTTTTTTGTATTATATATATTGATGAGTACTTTATGTATATTGACCATTCACCAGATACTGTATATTAGATATAAGTTGATCTTTATACAATTTCAAATTTTTCAGCTCTTCTCCATTTGCCAAAAGTGTATGCAAGCTTCGTGTCCGACCAGTATATGTCAATATTTGCTATTGCCATACCATACACAAATCCTTTCAAGTTCAACCACTACATTGTCTCTCTGGCCTACCATGTTATTTCTATGTGGTTCCTCAAGTGCCGATTGCCATTCAGACAGGCATTTGTGCCTTTCATAGCTAAGGTAATCTATACATGTCCTGTCATTAATTTTAATCATTATTATTACCTTTTTCCCAATTTCAAAGGGTGGATGGGCACAGAATAGGAGAGTAATATGTATAGGAAAGAGAACTTTATCCTACATATTCTTTTAGGGGGTCCTCACTCTTAACAAACTGTGCTCTAATGAATTGCTTGATTGTCTGAACAGATCGTTTTAGTGCAACTTGTTCAGTGGCATAAATAAATGTTTTAGTGAGGATTGTTCACTTAAGTTGCACAGGGCCCGCTTACCAGGATGTGGCCATGTTAGCATCAAACCTAATTGGAATTTATTGTAAACTGATAAAATCTTTCTATCATACTTAAATATGACACTTTTATGAATTATAAAATAATAATTGTTAAAATATTAGAAAACTACCAAGAGTGAATCGTTATTGTAACATGTTGCTTGTCCTTGCTCAGACGAGTTTGTGCCAAGTCCGAGTTTGTGCTCAGACCCATATCGTGCATTCAAAATAAAGAATGCACAAATAAGTGAATTTGTTACAAATTTTTATATCTTGACCAGTAGATGTTTTGTGTGTAAATCTTGGACATTGTATTATGTATGTACAACCAATTTTGCCATTTTATTATGCTTCTGATGTGGAATGGTTCTCCAAACGTTACTCTATCATATGTGATGTTCAAAATATAGAGTGCTTAACGCTTTAACGTGGTAATGACATAGTATGGCGTCAAAAATTTAGTAGACGAATGTGCAGTAATGACACAGTATGGCATAAAAAATGAAAAAAATTTGACCTGCTTTCAGCTTGGCTGCGGGTGGGGCATACCACAGTTTTGGACATCATATGCATATATTCTTGTAGGTAATTTTATTGTGAACACATTGATACCAAAATGAAAGACCTAGGACAAGAATTGAGGCGACAAAGTTGAAAAGAGTGAACACATTTTATTGCTCTTGGGCCCTCCCAAGTAACGCATTCTCATTTTCTCTGTTTGGTGCGGGTGGTACGCCGGGCTTTTGGACTTTATATGCATTTAATCCTGTAGAGAATTCTTTTGCGAACACATTGATACCAAATTAAAAACCTTGGATGAGAATTGAGATGACCAAAGTGAAAAGAGTGAACACATTTTATTGCTCTTAGGTGCTCCCAGGTAATGAGCACTCACTTTTTCTGTTTGGTATGGGTGGTACGCCAGGCTTTTGAACTTTATATACATATGCAGATACTCCTGTAGGGAATTCTATTGGGAACACATTGACACCAAAATGAAAGACCTAGGATGAGAACTGAGGTGATAGTGAAAAGAGTGAACACATTTTATTGCTCTTGGGTGTTCCGGGTAACGCGCACTCAATTTCTCTGTTTGGTGCGGGTGGTACGTCGGGCTTTTGGACTTTATACACATTTAGTCCTGTGGAGAATTCTATTGCGAACACATTGATACCAAATTGAAAAAGTAGGATGGGAATTGAGATGACAAAGTTGAAAAGAATATACACTTTTCAGTATTACCGCACGCTAACGTGGAATGCCAGATGCCCCTTGGGGTGGTGAGGTGCTCGCTTGCCCAGTGGACTAAAGTGTTAATAAATAAATTTTCTGGAAATATGACAAATCTGAGGCATTGAATGGGACCTGCAACTGAACTTGAGGGAAAGTAGCTAAACAGTCATACCCATACATGAAAGGAGGATATAAAAAGGTTCCCTCCTGAAGTAAAAGACCCTCTGGAGAGAGAAGGAGAGAGAAGCAAGGTCCAAAAAGGGGTTGAAGGCCACCCATGGACACTCCTTGGGCTCCCTCTCAGAGAGGTAGCATGCCATGAAGGCTGCTGGGTAGAACCACAGTCCTCGCATAACATCTGGGACAGAAAGGTGCCCTCTAAAGGGCACCTCAGAAGAGGGGGTGAGAGGAGCGGTTGTGAAGATGATTGCTCTGAAACCCCAGCATGACCAGAGGGCTCAACTGCCTCTGCTGACGATGTAGATAGGGCTACGCCTGGAGAAGGCCGAGCTACATCTTGAGCTAAACCCAGTCCTGACTTCAAAACCTTCAGACACTTCAGAGCCTGTCCCCTGGGGGAAAGACCAGAAGTTGGGCGAATCACACCTGCAGGAAAAGGTGGTGGTGTGGACTTAGTCCAGGGGGAAGTCACCAACACCTCTAATTCTAAGTTCCTTACACACCACAGGGGGCCATCTCTGGGAAATCCAACCAATCACATGCCATGAATGCCTAATCCTAACAAATCTACCTCTCAAAGCAAAGCTTTGATAGGTAGATTTGCCTGAAAGCTGCCTGAAAGCTTTGGCATTGAAGCTCTGAATTAGTTCCAGAGGGATCCAACCACACAGGACTCAGGGTCATAAGTGTCACTGATTCAACAGGCAGCATGGCAAAAACAGAAAGAATGGTCATCATTTGGTAGCAAAGACGATGAGCTCCCTTCAAACTCAACATGGTGATTGCGGGCTTGATGGGTCAAATCAACCAGGCCAAAGACCTGCGAGGGGTTTACCAGGGTAGGAAGGCATCTAACCAAACATGACACAAGCAATGAGGCTGCATGCCAGAAGACAGATGTCAAGTGCAGCAAAACAACCAGGCATTGCCTGGTGCCCACAATGTGATGTAAAAACACAAACGCAAGCCCAAAGTGCATCCCAGCACAGCCAACATAACATTCCCAGACTAGGGTGCAAACAGAGTAGTCAAAGACTCGTGAATAGTCCCAAGCAAGGTTCTCCACCCCTTGGCCTTGCCTCTCAGGGGCGAACTTCTGAAACTCTGGTTGCAATGAATCTTTGGGTGCAACAAATTGGAATTGATCTCATATAGTTCACTGGTTTGGGATTGTACTGTAAAAGTACAATACAGTACTGTATCCCAGATACAAACTCAGCAAAATATTCATTTATTCACCAGTTCTTTCTGCATTTCTGGACTTCCATTCCTGGACTGTAGCATCCTGTAGCATCATAGGTTTACTTAAGTACTGCATGTTATATGTTACTTTTACCTTGCCTACACATTTATTTTTAAAATAAAATTGAGTTTAAGAAAATAGAAAAATATATATTGTATGGAGACCTAAAAATTAAATTAGCTTGTTAATACCTGTATCATAGTTAAAGATATAAATAACTTATAAATTAATGTTAATGTGTGCAGTAATTTTATAGTGCATTATGTTCTTAAATTGGAAATATGTTAAGGGGGATATAAAAGATAAGACAAGGTTGACAGAATCGTGAATAAAGAAAAAGAAAGTAGGCAAATTTTTATTTCTGGTCATTTGTAAAGGAGAGAAATATGAGTGATTACAACAGTTGTTCCTGTCTAGTTTAATATCAGAAACACTTATGTATGAATTATATTTTTAAATGTTTTATATATATTATTTTAAATTACAGAATCTAAACATGGTTGTGACAACTGAAGAAGCAGCAGCTAGAAGAAGAAGTGCCAGTGCTAGTGACCAGGTATAGCTGTAATGTTCTATTCTCTAGTTTCACTAGTATAAGCAAAATTAGGTGCAAGACTCCTATAAAAGTCATTAAACACAGTGCTGCGCCAACCAAGAAAACTTGGTTGGTGGGAAACAGCGCCAACCGAAAAAATACCTTTTGAATATTTTGTACCCATTCCAAACACATGCAGGGTAGGTTGTGTGCAAAATGGACTCTTAGGCCCACCAGTGAGAGACAGCCATCTTGGAAAAAAATCCCAGAATGTCCTAGGGCTGCTGGCTGGGTTAGTACTGAGTGAGCAACCATGGGTGGTACACACTCCTCTGGCTCCCAAACACCTGTCCAATGCGGTGTTGAAAGGTCGCTCTCTGTCGGTGAAATTCAGACCTTATTGTTTGAAGAACATTAGGGTCATGATATTGATGAAGCTATGTGCAATAAGGACCTAACACAAAGGTCGGATGCAAGTGATACAGCACCGGTGAGAACGATACAGAGAGCATATCCAGTTGTAGCTCTGAGCTACAGAGCGCCTAACAGAAACAGACAGCAGCCTTCGATGCTGTCTGTTTCTGTTAGACGCGGGGATCGCCCCTGTGTGCCGTTTTGGTGCTCATAAGGTGTGTCAGCCCTTTTGCGGTTCATCCCAGTGACAGGGTGGTGGTGGGTGGGAGGCTCGCTCTGTTTGCTCGTGTCTGGTCCCACGATTTGTGGGCCTTTCGGGTTGTTTCGTGTGGCCTGCAGTGGCATTCTTGAGGTTATCTTGAGATGATTTCGGGGCTTTTTTTTTTTTTTTTTTAGTGTCCCCGCGGTCCGGTCCTCGACCAGGCCTCCACCCCCAGGAAGCAGCCCGTGACAGCTGACTAACACCCAGGTACCTATTTTACTGCTAGGTAACAGGGGCATAGGGTGAAAGAAACTCTGCCCGTTGTTTCTCGCCGGCGCCTGGGATCGAACCCAGGGCCACAGGATCACGAGTCCAGTGTGCTGTCCGCTCGGCCGACCGGCTCCCCACCCTGGGGGCATTGGGTGGCTCCTCCTCCTTTGGGGGGTTCAGAGCTGGCAGGGCAGGCCTCTTCTCCTACGCTCTGTCAGATCATGTTGGAGTGGGTTTGCTTGGGCGTAGTTGAAACGATCTCATCCCTCAGTTGGGTTCCCGCCTGTTTCTGGTCCTGAAATGGGACTGCGCAGACCTCCGGTTTATTCTAGACTTGTCTCATCTGCACCGTGGGCTTATTACCCCTCCTTTCAGATGACTACTTTGTCCCAGGTCCGTCTTTTGTTGGAGCCGGATGCTTGGATGGTATCCCTGGACCTCAAGGACACGTATTGGGCCATCCCAATTCATCTGAAGTTCAGGGACTGACTCGGTTTTGTTGTAGGGCGTCAAGGTTACCACTTCCTTACCTTCCATTTGGCTTGAATCTGATGCCTCGCATTTTTGCATGCTTTACTCGGGTTGTGGTGGCCCTCCTGCGTCTGGTAGGTGTTCAGGTCCTGGCCTACCTCGACGAATGGCTGGTTTGGGCTCCCAGCCAGTCCGCGTATTTGCTCACCTGGGATTTGGTTCTTTCCCAGCTTGCCGGATACGGGTTCTTGGTGAACTGGCGGAAGTTCACCAAGTTTTTTTCAGGTTCACCAAACCTGTAGTTTTTCCCTTCAGGTTCGGTCTTGGCTGGGTCTTGTGTGGGATGCTTGGACCGATTCCTTGTCTCTTCCTCTGGCTGCTCTGCTTCACCTGCGTTCCTGCCTTCGACTGTTCCTGAGGGGCTCCCGGGTCATGCGGCGGTTGCTCGTGGGTTGTGCGGGAGCCTGAACTTTGCCATGCTGGTCTACCCAATAGGTCGGGTGAGGCTTCGTCGGGTTCTGGTTCCTTTGGGGACGTCCTTCAGCCTCTCTTGTGACCACTGGGTTTGGCCTCTGGGGGAGGGGGGGGAGGCTTTGCATCTGTTGCTGCGTCGCCGGCTTGCTCTTTGGGTTTTCAGGGTTCATTGCCTTGGTGCCTATCTAAGCCCTCGCTCGATGTGTTCACTGGTGCGTCGTCTCTCAGCTGGGGCTTTTTGACCAGTGTTCGCCAAGCCGGCCTTGGGCAGTGGGGTCTGTTCCTCCGTCGGGCTCACAGCACGGTGCAGAAGTTTGCGGCTGTCTGGATGTTGCTCCGGAGGGTTTGGGTCACTCGTGGATCGACGATCCGGCTCCATTCGGACTGTTCCTCGGTGGTTCATTGTCTGAACCGAGGGGGTTCGATGTGGTCCTAGGCTCTTTAGGGCTGGTCGCTTTGGGTGACTCATCTGCCGAGTTCTCGGGGTTTGGCTCTCTTAGCAGTTCATGTTCGGGGAGTTTCCAGTGTCCTGGCGGGGATGGCCTGTCCCACTTCCTTTCCCTTTGCATAGAGTAGACGGTTGACACCGACTCGTTCAGTTGGCTCTGCCAGACGTTCGGGACTCCGGAGGTGGACCTCTTCGCGTCAGCGTGGTCAAGGCGTTTCCCAGTATGCATGGCGCCCTTCCCCAACTGCGAGGCCATCGGGGTCGACTCCTTCCGGCAGGACTGGGCAAGATGGGGTTACCTGTATTTCTTTCCCCTGGTTCAGCTGTTGCTCCAGGTCCTGGCTCACTTGGAGACTTACCAAGGGAGAGTTGTCCTTCTGGCTCCTTGGTGGCCGGTCCAGCCTTGGTTTCAGGCGCTGATTGCTCGGTGTCCAAACCCCAGGGTCTTCCTGCAGCTCCGCCTCTTTCAGCAGAGTGGTTCAGTCCGTTACGTGGCTGGTTCGTTCTTTTCCTTGAGTCTTCGCGTCTGGAGTTTCTGACTCGAGTCTATCATCACTTGTATGGGGCACTGGTGGCTTCATTGTTGTTCTACTACCTGCATGCTTTGTCTTGGTGGCATTATGGAGTTTCCTGTCAATCCTTCTGGTTTTTCCTATCACTGCTTAGGTGTACTTCAGTCTCTGATAGGGTTGTCTTGTCCCTTCTTTTGTGGTTGTTCTAGGATCTTCATTTTATGCTGAATACTGTCGTCTCGAATCATACAGAGCTGGCGGAGCCACTCCAGCTTGTATTTGGTATCGATGTTACTTCTGCTCCGTTTCACAAGCTGTCTTGTGTGTTGTTTCACCTCCATCCTTCTAATGCGCCACTTGAGCCGTCCTGGTCTTTTGACAGGGTGCTCTCTTTTTTTCTCTTCTCCTTGGCTTGTAATGGCCCATTTGATTCAGGGTTATTTTTCTAAGGCTCTGTTCCTGTTGGCATTGGCCTCTGGGGGTCAGGTAGGGAAGCTTCATGCTCTCCTCCTGTGCAGGGGTTTCTCCTCCTGGTGGTAGATTGTTTGGTTGCAGCCGTCTCTTTCTTTTCTGGCAAAGAATGAGACTGCTGCTTTCCGGAGGGGTCCTTGGGTTGTTGATGCTTGGTTGGTCAGGCCGGGGGTGCATCATGTGTTGTCTGGTTGCGGCTCTCCACTGTTATTTGCGCGCCACGCTTCGGTGGCCGGGGATGCGCTTCGGGTTGACCCGGTTTCCCTCCTTCCCTGTTCCCGGCTCGGGTCTTCTAGGTCGTCCGCAGGGCTATTAAGTCTAGCCAGCCTGCGGTCTATCCTCATGCCCATGACGTTTGTAAGTTTGCTGCCTTAGCTGCCGTCTTTGGCATCATGCCTTGGGTTGACATTCGGCACGGGGTTTTTGGTAGTTGAACAGGATCCTGGCTGCTCGCTATCTTGTCAATGTCTCTGGACCTAGTAGGGCCTGCGTTGCATTGGGTTGGCAGTTGCAGCCAGTTGTCTTGACTTTGCATTGAGGAGTGAGGACTGATCACTTCTTGGGTAAGTCCCAGTGTTTTTCCATGTCTTTGGGTAGTTAGCTCCTGGGGGCCGACGGGGTATCCCCCAGAGATTCAGTGTTAAATGTAATGAAATGCCATTTGCTGGGTGAGTCCCGGAGGCTTCCCGGCATCCCTCCCTCCCTCCCTCCGGTCGGCGGTGTTTTCACGTGTTTTGACATCCAGCCTAAGAACTGCTGATTGGAGTGCCGGCGCGAGGGTCTGGGGCTTCCCCTTCCCACTCCCGGGGAGAGGGGTGTTGCACAGACAGCAGTGCGGCAACTTGATGATGTCGTGGTCGTTTGCTAATTTTCGTTTTGGAGTTCTGTTCACTTGTTCGGCTTTCATTAGCAATATTTTCACCAGAATAGGGGTTTGTTTTGGGGCCCCCTACCTTTCTGGGTGCCAGATGCAGTCGATGACAGACATAGAATGCTCCTAACCATACGGGGGTTTCTATAGGCCACTGCTCCTCGTGCCTCTCCGAGGGGGCCAGGTTCTGGCTCGTGGTCCCCGGTAGGCAAGAACTCGATGCACTTTGAGTGATGCCAGAAAACTATTAGATACATATCTGCCTGGATAGCTCCGGTTAGCCTCCAGGACTTACCCAAAAAATGGAGTTTCATTACAATCAATGCTAATTTTTTATGTCGGCTGCTGCCCTGTGCCTTTCTGTTCGTTTATTTTGTAAATTTTTTGGAGGGATGGCTTCCCTGTCCCATAGCTACCTGAAGCTATCTTACAGAGATTGCTTTATGCTAAAAGTTCACATTTGTTTCGGAAGTTCAATTTGTCCTGTTGTTGGTTAAGACTTGGTTGGGACTAATCTAAGATGTCATTGCTCCTTTCAGCCTTGGCATGGGTGGCTTCTTGCATTTGTTTTGTGGTGGGAAGTGCTCTTATTATTCATTAGCATTGCACGTGGTTGTGTAGCTGCCTGAATTTTACTTATGTGGTGTACCCATTGGGACAAGTTTGACTGCTGGCACACTGTAGGTTTTCTCTGGGAGAGCCCCTTTCGCTTTCTTAAATTGTTGGAGTTTTGTCTCCCAGATTTCCTAAAAGTAGTTTCCTGTTAGTGACTGAGTGAATTAGATCCTAGTCTTTTATACTTTGTGCACTAATTACATCATAATTTTCAACTTCTTATATTTTGTACTTAAAGTTGTGAATGAAAGTGGCTGTGACAACTTTTCTTCGGTATATTCCAGTTCAAGATCACCCATACATAGAATAAGAATTTCTTTACATCTCTATGACTAAATTGCTTATCCATCTTCCATACATGCCTCCTTGTCCTACTTCCTTTCAATTGTAATGGGATGCACTAGTCTGTTTTGCCTACTATTTTCAATAGTATCTTGTATGTAGTGATGAAGCCCTTTTTTATTTTTTCTCTACTCTTCAGGTTGTGAGGTTCAGTGTCTTAACCTGTCCTATCTGAGCCCTCTGAATATTAGTACAGTACTGCTCTAGATGCAAACCTTTTTACTTTTTCAAGTTTCCTTTTGTTTCAAAAATTGCATATTCCCTGCTAGTTCTACTTATGAACTCGCTCCCTCTGGAAGGCAGGCCATTTTCATAATTAGAAAGAGCAACAATTCTTGGACAGAGCCTTGGGGGTATCCCATTTCTCAATCTTCTTCAGCTTGACATATTCTATCTGGTTATGACTTGTTGTTTCCTGCACATCAGGTGTGGATACTTGGTGTGATTTCCAAAAGACTTGGCTGTACCATTCCAGAATTTGGGAGCTACTGAAAGCCTGCCAGAAAAGGGTGTTTCATCACATTTAATGACTGATTTTTTTATACTTTCTACCTTTAATTTGTATATACATGTGCATAATGATTTCGTGGCTTCAGTTTTTTTAAGATTTTTATATATAAATTTTCTACGCAGGGACGAGGAGGAAAAGGTGATGTAGACATGATGATGTTTCACAATGATTTGCGTGAGACTTGTCTTGACCTGATGTCTCGGTACACATATTCTGACTTTGCTCCTCCTACTAAAAGGTAATATGTATGTGGAGTTTATTATTTTTATGCATGCATGTAACAAAACAAATTGTGGAATTTTCTGGGGGGAGCCCCTTTGGCTCCCCTTAGTTTACTAGGCTGATATGCTAATGTCAGACTTTGGCATCAGTCATGTGTATGGAGTTCTGTGGGCCTACCGGGGACCACGAGCTAGAACCTGGCCCCCTCAGAGAGGTATGGGGAGCAATGACCTATAGAAACCCCCGTGTGGTTCGAAGCATTCTGTGTCTGCCATCGACCAGGCCAGGCACCCAGAAAGGTAAGCTTCCCAAAACAAACCCCTATTCTGGTGAAAATTGCTACCACAAGCCGAACAAGTGGATAGAACTTCCCAAAAAGAAACGAGCAAATGAGCATGACATCACACGTCGCCCCGCCACTGTCTACGCTGCTCCTTCCTCCCCTGGATAGTGAAGGGGGAGCCCCAGACCCCCACTCGGCTATCCACCCTTCAGTTCTAAGGCTGATGCTAGAGGCTGAGGTCGTGTGCTCTGGCTCCGGTGGTTGTTTCAGCACTGTACCTAGTGTGTGGTGACTGTCTTCTAGGTGGTGCATGAGCTGTGAAAGATTCTCCAGTACTCAGGCTGCATGCGCCTAGGGTTTCCTTCCCTAGGTGCCCTGTAAGTACTGCCTTTGGGGCTTGGGGCCACCTTCCACAAGTTCCTAGGGTTCTGCCCCTGCTAGGCCATTTACTGCTTGGGTTTCGGCCGCCCTTTGTGTGCTAGGGTGTTCTGTCTCCCTTGTTCGCCTTAGGGTAGGGGGGCAGTTTGCACTGGTAGGGGTGCAGGGTACTGTGCAGCTTATTTTCACCAATCATGGCAGCCAGCTCTGTTCCGCCTGGGTACATTGTCCTCTTGCGGGGTTTTCTTTTTCGTTTTGTTTGTCTGCCTAGTGGGGGGGGGGGTGTCTGCCTTGGTTCTTGCCCTCCGTGTACTGAGTACTCTTCCTTCTTCTGGTGGTTCCCCCCTGCTAGGTCCTCTTGAGTGCACACGTCCCGGGGGTTCAGTTCTTAGAAAGTTTGGTAAGTGTGGATGCCAGTTGGCAGTACCCTGCCTGGGATTACCTGGGCGTGAGTCCCTATAGGTAAACACTCAGGACCCTGGGAAACCCCGAGGGGGGCGTGTGGGTCCGATGGATATGGCCCCTGAGTCCCCCCCCTCTCTTTGTGCGAGTTTGAGGGTTGCTCTGTTCCCCTTGTCTCAGGGTGACTCTCACTGTTTTTCCTCCGTCTGCTGCCTGTGGGGTCGGTGGCTCCTTCAGCCCAGAGCCCTGCGAGTTTTGTTGCTTGTTTGTGGCTCATTTACCCAGTCTTATGCTGACTATGCAGGTGCAGGCAGCATGGGCATTGCAAGTTGAGTTTCAGTGGTGCAACACGAGCTAGGTCATTTGCTCCCTGGAAGCCCCAAGGCTGCCCCGTTTTGGTTGGTGTGACAGGGCTTGGAGGTGTTGGTTGCTTCAGTTTTGTTTCCTTCCGCGCCCCTTGTTCTTTCCCCTTAATGGTCTTGAGACTTGGGCGGTCTCGGGGAATTCCCCTTTTGGAGTAGCAACGGGGGCATTCAAGTCTGTTCCTCCAGCCGTGTTGTGTGAGTCTGCCAGTGGGCTCCCTTCCTTAGTACTTGTCTGGCTGCCCTGGCTCTTCTTATGAGGCTGGGGCTTTGGGGGAACGGCTCGGCCCCGGGACCCGGGACTGGTGGGTGAGTTCCCGGGGCTGGTGAGGGGCTGATGTTGGACCCCGCCTTGGTTTTTCTACCCTTTGGGCGGGGCTTGCGGTTATGAGGAGTGGGGTTTTTCTTACACCCCCCATCCTCTCCATACATGTTTTTGGGAGTCGGCCCCTCCCCAGGATCGGTTCCTTGTCCCTTGGATCTGTCGGGTCCGTCCTATTGGTAGGTACGTTTCTCCACCCTTCTTCTTGGGACGGGCCTTCATCGTCATGTTCCCCTCTTCTCGGGGTTCTGCATGACTTGGTCTTGGGTGCGACTTTGCCTTCTGTGCCTTCGTGCTTCACGCTTGCTTCTTTATGTTCTAGAAGGCTCGGGAAGGTTTTGTTTCTTCCTGTATTATTGGAACGTCTGTCGTCTTCCAGTCCTGTGCTGCGCAGGGTTGCCAGATTGGGCTCCTTGTAGCCCAAATGGGAAGCTGTGCTATGTTTCTTTTCGCTCCTTACTGCTTTTTTCGACTATGGTTGGCGGCTGCCCGGTGTACTCTCCTCTGGGATTCACTTGTTAACTACACTATTTTGTCTGGTTTTCAAGTCACATTCGTGGTTTCTTTCTTCAGCTCGCGACGTCTGGCAACCCACATCTGGCATCCCTGCTGCGCATGTGCCGTGGTTGTTTGCTTTGATATGGATGGTATGCACGTGTGCTGGTGTTCTGCATCCTTTTTTTCTCTCGGGCGCTTCGCCTCTCGCTCCTCTCAATTCTCCAGTCTGTGCCCCGTAGCTCCTGGGGGTGTTCTGGATTGCTTCTATGGGGAGGACGCTGGATTTTCCCAGCGTATGGATGTGGGACTCCTCCTTCGCTTCTTCTGGTCTTTTTCTTGTGTTTTTCCGTTTTCTCATTTTGTCCTACACATGGTTGTGTGTTTTGTTTGTGCCTTTTGGCTCTCCTGTTGCCAGGTTTGGGTTCCTGATATCCTGGCTTACCCTTCCTGTTGGCATTTTCACAGTCTCTCGGTGTCTCTTCTCTAGAGTCTCACGTCGGGACTGTTATCTCCGATCTCCTGGCGGGCTCTCTCTGGCATTGGGTTGTTTTTCTGTACGGCAGCCGTTCCATCTCCTCCTTTGCCAGCTTGGGTTTCCGGCTCTGCTGGCTCCAGGGTCGCACCCGAGATCTTCCCGTGGCTCCACTTTTTCCTAGGCTCGATTGGCTCATGGCGAGGCTGGTTCAGCTCTGCCTCGGGTCTCTCGCCTTCTGTTGGTGGTTGGGTGGCTTCGTTGATGGTGTCCCACCTGCGTGCTTCTTCTTGGTGGCAGTGTGGGGTTTTTGGCGGACCTTTCTTTTCCTTCTGTCCCTTTTTTAGGTAGCTGTGTTTGTTGGTGTGGTCTTGTCTTTCTCTTGTGGAGGTTCAGGGCCGTCATCTTGCCCCATACTGTCGCCTCGTATCGTGCGGCACTGGTGGAGCCGCTTTAGCTTGCTTTCGGTATTGGTGTTACGTCTGTGCCGTTTCACAAGCTTTCTCGTTCGTCGTTTCACCTCCAGCCTGCTCCTGCGCCGCCTGAGCCATCCTGGTCATTGGACAGAGTGCTTTCTTTTCTTTCTTCTCCATGGTTTGTTGTGGCCCCTTCAGTTCAGGTTTGATTCCCGGAGGCTCTCTTTCTGTTGGCATTGGCTTCTAGGGGTCGGGTCGGTGAGCTTCATGCTCTCCTCCGGCACGGGTTTTCTGCTTCTTTGGTCGTGGCGATAGGTTTGTTTGTCTGCAGCCGTCTCCTTCTTTTCTGGCAATGTATGAGACTGCTGCTTTCCTGAGGGGTTCTTCGGTTGTTAATGCTTGGCTGGTCGGGCTAGGGATGCGTCATGTTTTGTGTCCGCTTGTGGCTCTCTGCTGTTATTTGCGTGCCACGGCTTCTGTATCTGGGGACGCGCTTTGGGTTGATCCGGTTTCCCTTCTTCCCTGTTCGCGGGTGTGGGTCTCCCAGGTCGTCCGCATGGTTGTTAAGGCTAGCCAGCCTGCGGTCTATCCTCATGCCCATGAAGTTTCCAAGTTCGCTGCTCTTGCTGCTGTTTTTGGCAACATGTCCTGGGCTGACATTCAGGTGCGTGAATTTTGGCAGTTGACCAGGGTCCAGGCTGCTCGTTATCTCGTGAACGATCCTGGGCCTAGTCGGGCCTGTGACCTTTTGGGTCGGCGGTTGCAGCCAGTTTTCTCAGCTTCGAGTTAAGGAGTGAGTAGCGACTGCCTGCTGGGTATGTTCCTTCCTTTTCCCTCTGTGGATAGTTAGCTCCGGTAAGGGGCTCCCCCCAGAAAACCAGCGTCGAATGTAATGAAACGCCATTTTCTGGGTGAGACCCAGAGGCTCCCCGACATCTCCTCCCTAACCGTTCGGCGATTTTTTCACGTGTTTTGACAGCCAGCTTCAGAACTGAAGGGTGGATAGGTGGGTGGGGTTCTGGGACTTTCCCTTTCCCCTCCCGGGAAGGGAGGGGGAAGGGGGAGTGATGTGTGATGCTAGTCATCAGTAGTCTGTCAAGTCAGTCATCAGTTGTCAGTCGAGTCAATAATTAGTAAAGTCAGCCATTAGTAATAAAGTCAGCCATTAGTAGTAAAGTCAGTTATTAGTAGTGAAGTTAGTCAAGTTATACATCAATAGTCAATTCAAGCAGGCTGCCACTCAAATCCTGTCAGGTTAGAAGCCAGTAAGTCCTTTTGTCAGTAAGTCTAGCAGGCGAGTCCCCAGTTGGCATTGATATACATCATGGGTCTGTTACCTCCAGCCCGGTTAGCAACTTGATTTATTAAATTCTTAATTTTTACAGCAATTTTAATTTCACCAACACTTTGATATATCAATAATTGATTGACTTTTGGCATTCTATTAAACTGCATGCTAATATGAAATTTCACAATTTGTGGATTACTGCACAATTTTTGATAGTATCAATTCTTGTATTTGAATGTATCCTAGTGCTTGGTTTTCACAGATGGAAATTTAATGTTGAGATTAACCATATGTAATGATGTAATGACACACACACACACACATGGTCTCCAAGGTAATATTATAACAATACAGTATGTAGCTAATATTGATCAGAAAATCACTCTGATACTAATTTATAATAAATGAAAGTAAATTTTTGGTTTAATATACCTAATAAAATAATTCAAATTAATAATTATTGTCCACCAATGTGTGGATAAACTCTTCCTTTATGGATCTTGTTAGATATAGTACTAACAGTGGAAAGGGTTTCCACATCCATAGCCTAAACTTAAGATAAGTGGATCTGAGAGAACTTTCTCAAAACAGGAGCCTCAGAAATGCACATATTCATCCAGAAATGTACCCAAGGAGGAAGCAAGGATGAATTTATCTCCACATTTGTTGGAGGATAGAACACGTCCCCTCCCTTAAGATTGAATCCCTCTGCCTTGGGAATTAATCCTTATGCCAGACCAAATAGAAATCAAGGTTCCCACTAGGAGCCCTTTTAAGGAACAAATCCACAAGGGCCGTGACAAGGATTCGAACCTACGTCTGAGATCTTCTCAGATGCTGCCTTAATCGACTGAGCTACGACATGGTCAAAAGAGTTGAAACCAGAAGTTCTACTGAACTTACTTGGATCCTGCAGCCTCCCCGAGACACAAACCAGGGTTTCACACAACTCCCCCATGCACTTGAGCTATGTCAGTAGGCCATTCTACCTCTTCGCCCTTACTTCATTACACACAGAAATCACAATAGCGTGATGCATCAACTGAACAAAACAAAACTGAAAAACTGAACAATGAACAATTTTGTTCATTGATGCATCACGCTATTGTGATTTCTGTGTGTAATGAAGCCTTTTTAAGCCTTGGACCCCCTACCTACCACAGAGGAAGAGGGACCAGGGTTTAAACTCCAATGAAAACAAGAACTTGAAGTCTGGGGAAAAAAAAAGTAAGGGGAAATCAACACCACCCACAGAGGCCTTAGTTACCAGATTAGCCTGAGACAGGACCACATCTATTATAGGAGGAGGCAGAACTGAGAAGAAAGAACCAAATTCAATAATACTGATTGAAAGTACAGTATTCCAAAGACACTACCTGATAGTGGGAGGAGGAAGCGGTGAGGTGGTATTTTAGATGTTAGGGATAGTATTAAATGTTTGATACAGTAATTGTTAGTAACAAACATTTCTTTTACAAGCATTTTGAGCTGGGGAGATTTCAGACTTCCTCAGCTTCCCTGCCTCTGAAGGATCTGGATTCCAATACCTGCTCCTGATTGGTTGAGAGATGGTCACAGATGCTGGTGTTTTGGTTTTGGCCCAGGGGTATTAGTGTATAATATCTAGAGAGGCGCTGAATGGACCACCCCAGAAATTTTTTTTTAGTGTTTGGCCCTGGCCTGCCTTGAATTGTATTGGGAACTTAAGCATTTCTGGGATTGCACTTGTGTATTGAATAAGGATTCTTTTAGTTTAATCCTGTACCATATGCTCTTTGTCATCCAATGATTTCAGAAGTTTCACAACTATGCATTATGATTAAATACTTTGTATTGAAAATAATGCATTTTAATATATTTGATCATCAGGAGTGCTGTATCCAAGATGTTTGTAGAAGAAGGCCAAGACCAAACCTGGGTCTTGGGCAGCAAGATAGTAACCATAACAACATCCGGATGTTCTAAACGACCTCTGAGAAATGGTCTATGCGCCAAATGCATTGAAATCTGCAATATAGAAAAGGGCAAGTATTATTTTCTTATTTAATTATATACTCTGTAGTGTTTGTTTATGTTTCTATATGTACTTTAGACCTGGTCATGAAAAACTTTCTTTGCACATTTCTTCATATTCTTCCTTTTAACACGTACAGCTTACCAATAAAAATTTCTCCACTCTCATCTAACTCCTTTCCCCATAACTGTGTTACTTGAAACTTAATTTCTAAAAATCACTATTGAATGTAATGAAACATCTCTTTGTGGCTGGGCGTTAGTGGCTCTCTGAAGCTCGCTCTCTTAGGTAGTTCTACACATGAGTCACTTCATCCTTAGATGTTCTTAATGATCTTCTAGAGACCAGATCCAGAACCTGGCATCATCACACAGGTGCAGGGAGCAGGGGATTTTTACAATCATCCTCGTCAAGGAAACATGCAGAAAATAAGTAAAGCAAAACAGATAACTGCAAGATTCATGGAAAGAAAAGAAATGAATCTGCAAACGACTCTGCAAGTGATCACCCAGTAGTTAGGTTGAACCTCCTAGTTACAGCTAGCTACTGCCAGGTGGCAGCACTACAGGGAGCTCTGGCTTCCCTTGTCAACAGAGCTCAGTCCGGACATGAAAGCCACACACTGACTCAACTGAAAGGGGGAATGGGGAAGGGACCATGGAGTCAGGTTCAACTTGAAAGAGGATCTTCATTATACTTATTGCTGGTTTTCTGGAGGAAGCATGGGGTGTTTTCTTTTGACCCTAGTGGGCAGTTTCTTCATCTGCAGCCTTATTTTCTGGTGGATGTGGAAACTTGGCTTCCAGAGGGTCCCTTGGTGTACTTACCTAGTTGTGCTTGTGGGTGTTGAGCTCTGGCTCTTTGGTGTGTGATGCTTGGTCTGGCTAGGGTGTACCTACTGTTGTGTCCAGTTGTGGCAATATGCCCTTACCAGCATGCCATCTGTTCAGCTTTGTTGGATGCACTGATTGTCGATCTGGTTTCCTTGGCACCTTGTTCCATGGCAAATTTGGCCCCACAGTGTTCGTAAGTTTGCTGCTTCGGCTACAGTCTTCACTATTATGTCATTGGCTAATATTCAGGTTTGGTGGTTTTGGAGATTTAACAGGGTCTTGGTGGCACGGTATTGGGTCAACATTCCTGGTCCTAATTGCATTACCATGGACTGAGTTTCTGGGCCTGGCATCTCTTATAAGACTTTGTAGCTGCCTCCTCTCATCCCTGGTAAGTCCCATTTTTTCCCCTTCTCTGTGGTTAGCTTCAGGAGTCATCAAGTGGCTTCCTCCAGAAAACCAGCATTGAATGTAATGAAAAGTCCCTTTCTGAGTGAGTCCTGGTGGCTTCCTGACTCCCTCCCACCTTACCAGGTACTTCAATTAGTGGTCCATCATGTCTGGACTGAGTGGTTGTCAGCATGAAACTGAGATGTCATCTGTTGGCTGCTCAACATACTAGGAGGTGTTTCATTCCTAGTTTAAAGTGAACCATTTCGTTTTGAGTTAGTATTGTGCATTTTCTATTTGCTGTTTCAGTGCTTCATTTTCATGAATCATGTAATTGTCTTTATTGTCTCATCTACTTTTTAGTAGTATTCCTGGCAGTCATAACACTTCCCATCTCTGTGCCTCTTTGAGGGAAGCCACATTCTCAGGCTCTGGTTCCTGATAAGCCAACATGATGCATATGACTGATGTGACTAAGTAATGGGAAGCTATCTCAGCAATATAGCTTCAGGGATCCATTGGGGCCCACCCAGAAGGGTTTTTGTTTCAGCACCAACATTTACAAGTTAATAAGCACATAATTTGTATATGCAACCCCCTTATTTAAGCACTAAGGCCTGTGTTTAATGAAAGAAATTTGAATGATACTGACAAGACAGTTATTTTATGGTACAGTATATAGATATACAAAAATGGATGGATTTTAGCTACACTAGCTAAAATATTCAAAACACAGAAATCTGAAGTACCAAAAGTATAATTACAGTGTACAGAACTTGGAAGCAGACCAATTATGTGAAAACAAATTTGACATGGTCACAGTCCATTACAAAATCATAGCCCTTAATATACGCTCATAACTTCACCACTTCACATGTTTACAGTCACTTTGTGAGCTTATTAACACCCTTACCTGCATTCCAGTACTCCCCACTAATTTTCCATGTAATATATACATACTTCTGACAGTCCAATAGTGTGTTAGCCTCATTACTAATTGGATATCCCTCAGCTATACTCTGCTTGGTCATTTGGCATGTAGCTGATGTTCTTCTGCCCTGGTTTCTCATTCTGGCCATTATTCTTCTATGTACAAACCTAATCTGCCTTTTCTGTTATGCTAATTTGTATTTTCTCAAAATAAGCCAGCTTTTCCTATGAAGGTGATGTTTTGTGTAAGCTCTGGGAGCTACTGAGTGGTCCTTACCCAAAACTGTGTTGAATATACAGTAATGCAAAGGTGGGGATCAAGTTCCAAAAAGACCAAATCCCCTGAACTCGGTACATTACGAGCTACCCCAGGGTGGGGTTAACTCATAATGTACTGAATTCCAGAAAATTGAATTCGAAACTGTCATGCCCACCCTTGATATAATAAAAGGCCCATTTCTGGTGGACCACCAGTAGCTCCCTGTCCCTTTCTTTCTTTTGGAGTTACTGGGCTTGGTACAGGCAGGTCTAGAGTTAGGTGGCAGGTTAACTGAGACCTCAAGTGACTTGCTGCCATTTTGGTGGCAGTCCAACATATCTGGGTAAAGGTATTTATTCTGTGGCAATGATCATTGGTCTTGGATACCTTGAGGCTCCTCATTTTCTTCAGGCAGTTGCTTGTTTTGTTGTTCCTATATGGCTTCTGGTGGATTTTCCAAGTTTTGTGATTGATCACCGATCCCCTTGTTCCACTCGCCTGATAGATTAAGTTAGATCCTAGTTCTTACTTCTGGCATGCAATGGATGGGTCATGAATGTTTGGTGTGTGTTGGGATAAGCTTTTGGAACCAGAATTAAACTCTGGGAGCTATTTGGGGCCAACCAGAAATAGATTGATTTTTCAATGCTTGATTTAATCTGTAATACCACATGGAACTGTATGTGTTTGACATTAATAAATCATGTTTTTAATCAGGTGTCACTGTTCCTGAAGCAGTCATTCCTGGTGGCTTAAGTGTTCACCGCAGGCGTCACCGTTCGGAATTACACAGGACTATATCACATGAGGTATGTTAATTTTAGAGTGTAATGTTTTGGAATGAAGATAATTCATGGAATAGCTTCATTACTGGATAAAGTGTCTTGGTAAATAACTTTTCTAAAAAACTAGATGAGGTACCTGGCAATGCCTGGATCTCATTCCCCCGCTCTTTCCCTCTTCTCTCTTTTCCATGCTGAGCATTCCACTTTAATTGATTTTCAGGCATCTTTATGTGCAGGAATCTTAGCAGATATATGGAAAAAGGCAAACATAGTTCCAGTCTATTAAAATGGTAGCAGAGAAGATTCTCTTGAATTATACACCTGTATTGTTGGCAGGTGTGGTAGTCAAAACACTGGAAAACTAGTTAAAACCTAATGGGGAGAATATCTGGAGAGAAATGACAATAACACAGTATGGCTTTCAAACAGGAAGATCCTATGTAACAAATCTATCTAGTACTTATGATAGAGTCATGAAGATTCTACTGAAAAGAGATGGTTGGGTTGACTGTGTTCATTTGGACCTTAAAAAACGCTTTTGATAGTCCCACACACGAGGTTGTTCTGGAAACTGCAATGAGCTGGAGAGGTGACAGGCAGACTGCTGACATAGATGAAAATTTTTCTGACAGAAAGATGAGGGTCGTAATCAGAGGTCATGTATCAGACTGGAGGAGTGTTAATAGTGGATTACCACAGGGTTCAGTTCTTGCACCAGTAATATTCATTGTCTGTATAAATGATCTACCAGTAGGAATACAGAACTATATGAACATATTTGTTGATGAAGCAAAGCTACTAGGAATGATAAGAGACTTAGACAATTGCAATGCCCATCAAGTTGACCTGGACAAACTAAGTGTATGGAGTAACACCTGGCAAATGGAATTCAGTATAAATAAATGTCATATTATGGAGTGTGGAATAAGAGAAAGTAGGCCTACACAACCTACAAATTATGTGGAATGGCATTAAAAACTAACTCTTAATAAAGAAAAAAACCTAGGCTGTTACTAGAAAAACCCAAAGTTGTGTGAGGAACATATGCTATGCTTGAATTTTGAAAGACCAAAATTGGAATATCCAGTGGTTGTATAGTACACATGCCTCAAGAAGTACATCAGTACTTCTGGAAAAATGGAAAACTAAGTTTGAGCCAGGTACGGATCCACGACCCAGGATCTGGGTCACGATCCCCGGTAGGCAAAATTCCCTGCACATTGACTGATGTCAGAAATCTAATATATTCATATCAGCCTGGATAACTCCGGGAAGCCTCCGGGTCTCGCCCAGAAAATGGCATTTCATTACATTCAGTGCTGGTTTTACATCACAGACAAAACAGCAGAGTGCCTACATATATAAATGGTTGTGACCCTGATTTGAAAAATAAAAAAAATCTTAGAATAGGTAGATAGGTATACAGTAGTATAATATATAGGGGTTAGGAAACTTTATTGATTTTTCTCTACATTTGGTTCACTTACTAGCTACTGCTAGTAATTTTCACTGCTTTATTGGTCTTTAATTTATTTCTTATACAGTATTTTCCAAAAGATTTAATTTTATGAAATATATTAAATTTCTTTGTTAAAAACCAGATTTCTCTCTTATTCCAGGCCAAATATATGCCTCAGAGTAAAGATGACTTGCACATGCGCTCTGCAATGAGAGACAGTGGTGATGGCTTGACACCATTAATTGACCAAGGCAAGTATTGTGTCTGGTACATACATATGATATACTGGTAGCTTCTTGTCTGTTATTCAAGGTGGTTTGGTATATAGAAAATCTTTCCCAAACTTTACATTTCTAATTGAATATACATCTTCAACACTGCTCAGTAGTATTTGTCTCTATAATTTATGCTTTCACTGCTAAATATAAAATGATGCATACATCTTACTAATAGTGTTAGGCAAAATTCTAAATGTGGTGTGCCAGTTTGATGTGGTCCATCAAACATATATATATATAAATGTCATAAATGTGGTTGAATGGATACAACAGTGAGTTGTGCAATCCACTGTGTGGCCATGGCTACCCCAGCATTCATCTCAAATTGGATTCGTTTAATGCCACCAAGATCTCGATGGACCTGTGGCTCGGCCTGCTGGAAGCAAACTTTCAGTATCATGAGATTAAGGAGGACGCCAACAAGAAAGCGGTGCTCTTAGTTTCACTGGGTACAGAAGTATATAGTGTTCTTGGTAGCTTGTGTGCGCCAGAGCTACCCCACATGAAGACCTAAGTAGACCTGATTGCCCTGCTTAAGCATCATTATGTAGTGAAACCTTAATATCACAGGAGTTTGATAGATTTTCAGAAGAGGACGAAGAAGCAGCAGGAATCCGTACAGGATTTATATGCGGAATTGAAGGCGTTGGCGAACCACTGCAACTTCGGAGCACAGTTTGACGGCCAGGTGAGGGACTAGTTGTTCATGGCAGTAGAAAATGAGATATTTTTCCCTAACCTGGTGGCAGAAAATGTGGATCTACAATCGATGACTTCATGGACAGTGCTAGAGAAGATTTTGAACCTGGAAAGGGCTTTTGGAAGTAAGAAATCTACAAGAAATTATGGTAGTACAAGTCCATACCAGATGTAAACACTGTGGGGTACAATCACAGTTGTAGCAGGTGCAAGTTTTGTGACTATGTATGCAACTTTTATAACAAGGAGGGGCACTTGAGGAAAGTGTGTAGAGAATACCTGAACAGGAATAGCAAGGCCTGGGAGAGGAGACGACCAGGGAATGCAGGAAGAAGAGGTAGTGGTAATATGGTCAAGGCAGTAGAGAAAGGTAAACTGTCTGAAGAAACTGCAGGTGAGGAAAGCAGACTATATTCGGTGAATGAAAAGGTATGTTCGGTGAAGTCACAAGTGGTGAATTTTGTAATTAATGAGAAGTTGGAACTAGACACTGGTGCTGCAGTGTTAACATTTCCTAAAGATCAGGCAGATACCTTGCAATCGAATGTAAAACCAGGTAAAAAATCATTAAGTGCATATGTAATATAGTATACCGATTAAGGTCTCTGTCAAGGTGTCGGCAAAAATAGGCTATAATGGAAAAGAAATTGTCCAGGATTTTTATGTAATGGATTCACATAATCCTAGCCTATGTGGTAAGGTAAGGATCTCATGGGGAAAAGGTGGGAATTTTCTTGGTGGGCCTAGATGAATTATCAATAGTTTAAACAATTAAAAGTGCCGAACATATGTTAGATAAATATTCAGTGGAGGCAGGTAAGCCAATTAATAGCATGGTGGCAAAAATTCACCTGAAAAGTGGGGCTTCACCTAAATTTTTCAATGCAAGAACGGTTCCGTTTCATTACAAGCAATTGGTAGAATCAGCCTTGGAAAGGCATGTGGTAGAAGGCATCTTAGAGCCAATTACACATAGTGAGTGGGCAGCCCCAATTGTACCAGTGTTGAAGGCAGATCGGAAATCCATGAGAATCTGTGCAGATTTGAAGGAACTCAACAACCGCATTTGCTGTGAGAAATACCCTTTACCTAAGATAGATGAGTTGTTGTCAGTGGTCTGCAAGGGGACAATCTTTTCTAAAATTGACCTGAAAAATACTTATTTGCAAATTCCTGTAGAGGAGGAGAACCAGAAATTGTTAGTGATTAATACCCACAAGGGGTTATTTAAGTATAAAAGACTTCCTTTTGAACTCTCCTCGTCTCCAGCAATTTTTCAGAGATTCATGTCCCCATTGTTAGTAAACATTGAAGGTGTGGCTAGTTTTTTAGATGACATTATTGTATGCGGGGAGAATGAGGAAGAGCATGATGCTAGATTAGAACAGGTTTTGAATCTCCTGCAAGAGCACAATGTGAAGATTAATAAGGGTAAAACAACATTGAAGACCAAGGCCATTGAATACCTGGGGTACCATATTTCAGGTAAGGGCTTTACTCCTTTTCACAAAAATGTAGCTGCTATAGTAGATGCCCCAGCCCCAACATCAGTTAGGGGAAGTACAGTCTTTTGTTGGGATGGTTACATATTTTTGTAAGTTTGCAAAGAACTTTTCAACAAAATTAGTGCCCTTGTATGAATTGTTGAAAAAAGGGGCTAGATTTCAGTGGGCAGTAAGAGAAGAGAATGCCTTCAGGAATATTAAGCAGGAATTGATAAATTCTCCAGTGCTCACCAATTTTACTGGTAGACTCCCTTTAAAACTGGAGGTAGATGCTTCCCCAGTAGGAGTGGGTTGTGTATTATTACAGGAAGTAGATGGTCAGGATAAAGTAGTATATTTTGCTAGCAAGAAATTAACTCCTGCAGAACAGAATTATTCTCAGTTAGATAAAGAAGCCTTAGCTTTGGTATATGCTGTAAAAAAACCGAGGTATTTTCTGCTGGAAATTTCTTGCTAGAACAGACCGTAAACCCCTGCTAGGATTATTTGGCAGAGATAAACAAATTCCAGTTAATGCCAATGCTAGAATTCAAAGATGGGTATTACTACTCTCGCAGTTTGAGTATGATTTAGAGTTTAAGCCAGGCAAGGATAATATAGTAGCTGATGCATTAAGTAGATTGCCTGTGACAGAAGAATTGAATTCCAGTATTCCAGTGGAATATGTTAACCTGGTGGAATCTATGTCTTTTGAGGATATTTCATTCCAGACTATTAGGAAGGCAACTAGTAGAGATTCCAAATTTAATCTGTTGATGAAGTTTGTCAAATATGGTTGGAATGATAATTTATTATTGTCAGAGTATGCTGCGGTAAAGGCTGACCTTAGTATTCACCAGGATGTACTCTTGTATAGGAATAGAGTGTATGTGCCTGGGGAACTAAGATATAAGATTTTGGGACAGCTGCATGTAGGCCATAATGGCATAAATGCTATGAAAGCAAAAGCTAGAAGTTGGGTTTGGTGGCCAAAAATAGACTAGGATATTGCTGAGGTAACAAAAAATGTTCATATTTGCTTTAAGAATTATCAGAAACCACAGGCCCCAGTACTTTCTTGGCCATGCACTGGGAAACCCTGGTCTAAACTTCATATAGATTATGCTGGACCTATGGATAACAAATATTACCTGGTGGTGGTGGATTCATACACACAATTTCTGGATGTTCATGTGTGTAATTCCACCACATCATCTCTTACTTGTGAACTGTTAAGGAAAATATTTTGTAATGTTGGATTGCCAGACATGGTTGTGTCAGACAATGCTCCTTATTTTGTTTCTGTGGAAATGGAGGATTTTTTTAGGGGGAGCCCCTTTGGCTCCCTGGAGCTTACTAGGCTGATGTGCTAATGTCAGACTTTGGCATCAGTCATGTGTATGGAGTTCTGTGGGCCTACCAGGGACCATGAACCACAACCTGGCCCCCTCAGAGAGGCATGGGGAGCAATGGCTTATAGAAACCCCCATGTGGTTGGAAGCATTCTATGTCTGCCATCGACCGGGTCTGGCATCCAGAAAGGTAAGCATCCCAAAACAAACCCCTATTCTGGTTAAAATATTGCTACCAAAAGCCGAACAAGTGGATAGAACTCCCCTAAAAGAAACGAGCAAATGAGCATGACATCACACGTTGCTGCCCCGCTGTCTGCGCAGCTCCCCCCTCCCCAGGAGGGGGAAGGGGGAGCCCCAGACCCCCCACGCCGGCTATCCACCAGTCTAAGGCTGATGCTAGAGGCGGAGGTCGTGTGCTCCAGTGATTCCAGCACTGTGCTTTGAGTGTGGTGGCTGTTTTTCAGGGGTGCGAGAGCCAGGAGTCATTCTACAGTACTCAGGCTGAATGCGCTTAGGGTTATCGTCCCTAGGTGCCCTGTAAGTAATGCCTTTGTAGCTTTGGTCTACTTTCCACAAGTTCCTCGGGGCCTGCCTCTGCTGGGCCAAGTTACTGCTCGTTTTTTTGGCTGCCCTTTGGGTCTTGGGGGTTTTGTCTTCCTTTTTTACCTTAGGGTAAGAGGCAGTTTTGCACAGGTGCAGGGCTCAGGGTACTGCGCAGGTAGTTGTCACCTTTCACAGCGGCCGGCTCTGTTCCTTGGGGTGCATTGTCCTCTTGCGGGTTTTGTTTTTATTTGTGTTTTTGCCTTGTGGGGGGTCTCCCTTGTTTCCCCCTTTTTGTGCCTGACCTGCATACGGTTCTCTTCTGGTAGAGCCCCTGCTATGTCCCTGTGAGTGTACACGTCCCTGGGGTTCAGCTTTAGAAAGTTGCTCAGTATTTGTGGGCACCGATTAGTAGTACCCTGCCTGGGTTTACCTGGGCCCGAGTTATGTTAAGTGCTCGGGACCCTGGGAATCCCCTTGGGGGCGCATAGGTTTCATGGAGGTGTTCCCGGAGCCCCCCCTCGCTTCGTGTGAGTTCGAGGGTTGCTCGGTTCCCTTGACTCAGGGTGACCCTCACGGTTTTTGCCTTCTTCACGCTGCCTGTTGGGTCGGTGACACTTTCAACCCGGAGTCCTGCGAGTTCTGTTGCTTGCTGGTGACTCAGTTTACCCAGTCTCATGATGATGTTCTATGGGTACAGGTGACGCAGGCGTCGCATGTGCGCTTTAGGTTGTTGCAACGCTCTAGGTTGGTTGCTCATCTGGATGCCCAGCGATCGCTGGGTTCGGCCTCGTGGGAGCCATGCGTCGGCTGCTGCGTCGCTGCCTTCCTCTTCAGGTTTTTTGGGGTTCAGTGCCTTGGCACCTGCCCAAGCCCTTGCTCGATGTGTTCAGGGACATGTTGTCTCTCGGCTGGAGCTTTGTGGCCAGTGCTCAGCAGGCCGGCCAGGAACGGTGGGGTCCGCCCTTCCGTTGAGTCCACAGCACGGTGCGGGAGTTCGCGACGGTGTGGTTTGCTCTTCTGAGGGTTCAGGTCGCCCACGGATCAATGATCCGGCTCCATTCAGACTGTTCTCCAGTGGTTCATTGCTTGAATCAGGAAGGTTCGAGGCAGTCTTTGGCTCTTTGGTCCTGGTCACTTCGGGTGACTCGTCTGCTGAGTTCTCGGGGTTTGGCTCTCCTGGCAATTCACGTGCGGGGAGTGTCCAAGGTCTTGGCCGACGGCCTGTCTCGTTTCGTTCCCCCTCTCCACGGAATTGACAGTCGACGCCGACTCCTTCAGTTACCTTTGCCAGACATTTGGATACCCCGAGGTGGACCTCTTCGTGTTGGCGTGGTCGCGGCACCTTCCGCTGTATGTGGCGCCCTTTCCTGACTGTGAGCCCGTCGGGGTCGACGCCTTTTGGCAGGATTGGTCAAGGTGGGGGTATTTTACCTCTTTTCCCAGGGTCAGCTGTTGCTCCAGGTCCTGACTCGATTGGAGACTTATCAGGGGAGAGTTGTACTCTTGGCCCCTTGGTGGCCGGCCCAGCCGTGGTTTCAGGTGCTACTTGCTCTGTGTCCGAACCCGGAGGTTTTCCCGCGGCTCCACCTCTTCCAGCAGATCAGACCGGTACGTCACGTGGATGGTTCGATCTTCTCAAGTCTTCGTGTATGGTATTTTTGACTCGAGTTTATCATCATCTCTATGATGATCAGGTGGCTTCCTTATTAGTGTCCCACCTGCCTGCTTCGTCTCGGCGGCAGTATGAAGTTTCCTGGCAGTCCTTCTGGTTCTTCTTAGGTCTTTGTCGTTGTACTTCGCTTTCAGTTAGGGTGGTATTGTCCTTTCTCTCTTGATTGTTCCAGGACTGTCTCCTTATGCCTAACACTGTCGCCTCGTATGGTGCGGCACTGGCGGAGCCGCTTCAGTTTGCTTTTGGTATTGATATCACATCTGCGCCATTTCGCAAGCTGTCTCGGGCGTTGTTTCACCTTCGGCCTGCTCATACACCGCCTGAGCCTGGTCTTTGGATAGAGCATTTTTTGTGGCCCCTTCGGTTCCGGATTGTTTTTCGAAGGCTCTTTTCCTGTTGGCATTGGCCTCTGGGGGTTGGGTTGGTGAGTTTCATGCAATCCTCTGGCGCAGAGATTTCTGCTCCTTCAGTCGGGATGATCGGTTTGTTCGTCTGCAGCCTTCTCCTTCTTTTCTGGTGAAGAATGACATTGCTGCTTTCCGGAGGGGTCCTTGCATTGTTGATGCTTCATTGGTTAGGCCGGGGGTGCATCATGTATTGTGTCCGGTTGCAGCTCTCTGCCTTTATTTGCGTGCCACGGCTTCTGTGTCCGTGAATGCTCTTTGGGTTGATCCAGTCTCCCTTCTTCCCTGTTCGAGGGTGCGGGTCTCCCAGGTCGTCTGCAGGGTTATTAAGGCTAGCCAGCCTGCGGTCTGTCCCCATGCCCATGATGTCCGCAAGTTCACGGCTCTTGCTGCCGTCTTTGGCAATATGTCCTGGGCTGACATTCGGGTGTGGGGATTTTGGCGGTTGAACAGGGTCCTAGCTGCTCGTTACCTTGTTAACGTTCCTGGGCCCAGTCAGGCCGGTGTCGCTTTGGGTCAGCGGATGCAGCCAATTGTCTCGACTTCAGGTTGAGGAGCGAGCAGCAACCACCTCCCAGGTAAGTCCCTAGTCTTTCCTTTGTGGGTAGTTAGCTCCGGGGAGTCGTAGGGGCTTCCCCCAGAAAGCCAGCGTTGAATGTAATGAAACGCCATTTTCTGGATGAGTCCCGGAGGCTCCCCGGCATCCCTCCCTCCCTCCGGTCAGCGGTTTTTCGCATGTTTTGACATCCAGCCACAGAACTGGGGTGTGGATCGCCGGCGCGGTGGGTCTGAGTCTTCCCTTTCCCTCTCCTGGGGAGGGGGCAACTGCGTAGACAGCGGCGCGACGACAGGTGACATCATACTAGTTTGCTCGTTTTTGTTTGGGGGAGTTCTATCCACTCGTTCGGCTTTTGTTTGCAATTTTCACTAGAATAGGGGTTTGTTTTGGGACACTTACCTTTCTGGGTGCCTAACCCAATCGATGGCAGACATAGAATGCTTCCAGTCACACTGGGGTTTCTATAGGCCATTGCTCCCCTTGCCTCTTTAGAGGGGGCCAGGTTCTGGCTCATGGTCCCCAGTAGGCCCAAAGAACTCCATACACATGACTGATGCCAAAGTCTGACATTAGCATATCAGCCTAGTAAGCTCCGGGGAGCCTCTGGGACTCACCCAGAAAATAGCGTTTCATTACATTCAACACTGTTTTTTTACCATGTGGGTTTGTCTTGTTGTCTGCTGTTCTGGTGCAAAACCCCGGTCGATGGCAGACATGTAATGCCTCCAAACACATGGGGGTTTCTATAGGTCATTGCTCCTCGTACCTCTCTGAGGGGGGGGGGCAAGATTCTGGTTAAGGCCACGGTCTAATACATGCATATCAGCCATGTAAGCTCCGGGAAGCCTTCGGGGACCACCCAGAAAATGACGTTTCATTACAGTCAGTGCTGGTTTTTGTCTTTAACTCTGTTAATTTTCAACAGATGATGTTGGATGGTCAGGCGATGGATTGGGTGAATCAACCAATGGGTACTCGTCTATTGATCGTCTGGGCTTTGGCTTGAATGTTGGACCTGCTTCTGCTCCAAACAGTGAAGACGAAAAAAAAGTGCCTCATTTATGTGCATGTTGGTGCTTTGGATGGGCTGAAATATTTGTTAGGCAACCCACTGGTTAGTTATTATAAGTTGCTGACTCCTGCATGATGACTTTGAACAGATATTTGTAGATACTGATCTATACTGATGTATTTTTCTTTGCCATATGTACAGTACTGGTATTGAAAATAAGAGTTCTCATGTGCATAATGTCTACTAGAAGTATTTGGATTATTACAGTAGTAAACAATCAAGATGTTCCGGGCCTCTCAAGGTCCCGCTCAGTGATGCCTAAAATGTTTACACTTTTTTCTGAGAGGAGCCCCGTCAGCTCCCTGAAGCTGGCTGACTGATATTCATTATACTAGTCTAGAGCATCAGTTACTTGGAGCTCTTACATACTGGAAACCATGAGCCAGGACCTGTTTCCCCTCAGAGAGGCACAGGGAGCAATGGCTTATGAATGCTCCCCTTTTTGAGGGGAGCCCCTATGGCTCCCTGGAGCTTATCGGGCTAATGTATTTTATATTAGACCGGGACATTAGCTATGGAGTTCAGACCTACCAGGGACCATGAGCCAGAACCTGGCCTGGCTCTGGCCTGAACCTAAAAAATAATATACACGTGGAAGATACTGGAGGGCCAAGTACCAAATCTACACAGTAAAATAACAACGTACTGGAGTGAACGATATGGAAGAAAATGCAGGATAGAACCAGTGAAGAGCAGAGGTGCCATAGGCACAATCAGAGAACACTGTATAAACATCAGAGGTCCGCAGTTGTTCAACACCCTCCCAGCGAGCATAAGAAATATTGCCGGAACAACCATGGACATCTTCAAGAGGAAACTAGATTGCTTCCTCCAAAGAGTGCCGGACCAACCAGGCTGTGGTGGTATGTGGGCCTGTGGGCTGCTCCAAGCAACAGCCTAGTGGACCAAACTCTCACAAGTCAAGCTTGGCCTCAGGCCGGGCTTGGGGGAGTAGAAGAACTCCCAGAACCCCATCAAACAGGTAAACCAGGTATTAACCAGGTGGCCCCTTCAGAGAGATTTCAGGGAGTAATGGCCCTGGAAAACCTTCCTTGTGGATGGGGGTTTTCTTTATCTGCCATCGACTGGGGTTAGGCACCCAGGAAGTTAGGCATAACAAAACAAACCCCACATGGTAAGAGACTAACAGCAAAAACCGAACAGAGAGGCAGAACTCCCTTCAATCCCAAGGAAACAAGCAAATGTAACACACAACTGCCGCGCTGCCCTCCCCTTCCCAAGAGGTGAGGGGGAGGGGCCCGGACCACACTGTGCCGGTTGCATAGCACTCAGTTCGTAAGCTAATGTCAACCCTGACAGACGCTTCTCTGGTCTCTGTTTCTTAGGCGGTGTTTGCCTCCGTGGCGCTCACTGCCGTGTTTTTGTGGTGTGCGGTGGACAGGTGTTCCTCATCAGTACTGGGGCTTCCAGATCGTTTTTGGTGTGTGTTCCCTTCGCTGTTGACAGGGTGCTGGGGGGGGGAACTAACAGCTTGCTCTGTTAGTTCTCGCTTGGTTCCACAGTTCGGGGGGCGTTTTTTTGGTTGTCTTCCGGCCTCTGGTTGGGCGACTCCTCCCCCTTTAGGGGGTTTGGGGCTGGGGAGGTGGGCCTCTTCCCCTGCACTTCGTCATGTCATCTTGGTATAGGTGTGTTTGGACATGGTCGATCCGCCCCATCCTTCTGGGGTTCCTGCCTGTTCCAATGCCGACACGGGTCTTTGCCGATCTGCGGTTCTCCTGGACTAGTTTTGTCTGTGCCTTGGATTCTTTGCCTCTCTTCGGAAGACTGTTGTCGCCGGTTCGGCTTCTATTGGGGGGCCGGGTGCCTGGATGGTGTCCCTGGACCTCCGGGTCACTTCTTGCAACATTCCTCTCCAGGGTTCTAGGACTGACACAGTTGGTGGCGGTGCTTCAGGCTTGCCACTTTTGTTGTCTTCCCTAGTTTGTAATTGGCACCTCGTGTATTTACACATCTTTTCCGGATCTTGGTGACCTGTCTGCGTATGCTCGGGATTCGGTTTCTGTTCTAGCTGGTGTGGGCTCCCAGTCAGTCCGCTTGTCTGCTCACCAGGGATGTGGTTCTTTCCAGATCAACGGGTTCGGGTTCCTGGTGAACTGGGGGACATTCCATCTGGTTCTGTCCTGGGTTCGAACCTGGCTGGGTCTTGTTTCAGACTCTTGGACTGCTTCCTTGTCTCTCCCTCCAGAGGCCTTGCTGCAGCTGCGGTCCCGCGTTCAGCTGTTTCTGAGGCTGTCCTAGGTCACTCGGCAGTTACTCGAGCAATTGTGCTGAAGTCTGAACTTCACCGCAGTTACTCGAGCAATTGTGCTGAAGTCTGAACTTCACCGTGCTGGTCTACCCGTCGGGTCGGGTTTGGCTTCGGCGTCTGTTTTGGTTCCTTCGGGGATGGCCCTTCTGCCTCTCTCGCGATCATTGGGTTTGTCCTCTGTGGATCTTATGTTGGTGCTGCATCGCCGGCTTCTTCTTCGAGGTTTTCGGGGTTCCGTGCCTTGGTGCCTCCCTGAGCCTTCGCTTAAGGTGTTCATGGACGGGTCGTCTCTCGGCTGGGGATTTGTGACCAGTGCTCGCCAGGCCGACTGAGGACGGTGGGGTCCGTCTTTCTGTTGGGCTCACAGCATGGTTCGGGAGTTCGTGGCTGTCTGGTTTGCGCTTTGGATGGTTCAGGTCACTCGGGGGTCTATTATCCGGCTCCATTTGGACTGTTCTCTGGTGGATCCTTGCCGGAACCACTGGGGTTCTCTTCGGTCCTTGCCTCTTTGGGGTTGGTCCTTTCGAGTGGCTCGTTCTGCTTGATTCTTGGGGTTTGGCTCTCCGTGTGGTTCATGTCCAGGGAATGTCCATTGTCCTGGTGGATGGCCTGTCTCGGTTCATTCCTTTGTTCACGGATTGGCCGGTAGTCGCCGACTCGTTTTGTTGGTTCTGCCTGACGTACGGACTCCCAGACATGGACATCTTCGCTTCGGCATGGTCTCTGCATCTCCCATTCTATGTGGAGCCCTTCCCCACCTGCAAGGCGTTCCCGGTGGATGCCTTTCAGCAGGACTGGTCGAGGTGGAGTTACCTGTACCTCTTCCCTCGGTCCAGGTTCAGGTTCTGGCACGGTTGGAGTCCTACCCTGGGAGAGTAGTCCTCGTGGCCCCTTGGCGGCCGGCCCAGCTTTGCTTTCAGATGCTGCTTGATCGGTGTCTGAACCCAGGGCGTTTACCGCGGCTCCGCGTCTTTCGGCAGGTTGGACCGGTCTGGTACGTGGCTGGTTCGGCCTTCTCCTTGGCTCATCGCGTCTGGTCTTTTGATGCGGGTGTATCACCATTTCTATGGTGATCAGGTGGCTTCGTTGATGGTGTCCCACCTGCGAGCTTCATCTCGGTGACCATATGAAGTTTCCTGGAGTTTCTTTATGCCATTTTCTTGCTCTGAGTAGGCTGTCTTCTTTTTCGCATCAGGTTGTCTTGTCCTTTCTTGGTTTTTTAGGACCATCATTTGAGGTTTCTCATGGTCGCCTCTTATCATGCGGTGCTGGCGGAGCCGCTCCTGCTTGCGTTCGAGGTGGACGTCACATTCACCTCATTCCGTACGCTTTCTCGTGCTTTGTTTCACCTCTGGCCTGCTCGTGTGCCGCTTGAGCTGTCCTGGACCTTGGTCCGAATGCTCTCTTATCTTTACTCTCAGTTTTTGGTAGCCCCTTCAATTCAAGATTGTTTTTCAAAGGCCCTATTTTGTTGGCATTGGCCTCTTTGGGTCGGGTCGGGGACCTTCCGACTCTTCTCTGGCGCAGGGGTTTCTTCTCTTTTGGTACTGGTGGTAGGTTCGCACATTTGCAGTATTCTTCGTCTTTTCTGGCGAAAACCGAGGCGGCTGCTTTCCAGAGGGGTCCTTGGGTTATTGATGCTTGGTTGGTTCGGCTGGGGGTGCATCATGTGTTGTGTCCGGTTGTGGCTCTTCACCGTTTCCTGCGTGCCGTGGCTGGAGTTGCGCTTTGGGCTGATCCGGTTTCCCTTGTTCCCCTATTCCAGGGCTCGGGTCTCCCAGGTCGTCCGCAGGGTTATTAAGTCTGCCAGCCTGCGGTCTATCCTTGCACCCGTTCCTTTCGGATGTTTGCAGCTTTTGCTGCAAACATCCTTGGGACAAACTTATCATGTCATGGACTCATTTTGGGCGCAGGGATTTGGAGGTTGCACACGTTTTTGGCTGCCCTTTATTTTGTCAGCATGTCTGCTCCTGGGCGTTCTTGTGTTGCTTTGGGTCGCAGGTTGCAGCCTGTTGTCTCAACTTCGCATTGCGGAGTTTCTGGCGGCCGCCTCCCGGGTCAGCCCTTTCTTTTCCTTCTCCTTGGGTATGTAGCTCCAGGAAGCTGTAGGGGCTTCACTCAGAAAACCAGCGTTGAATGTAATGAAACGCCATTTTCTGGGTGATCCCCGGAGGCTCCCTGGCAACCCTCCCTCCGACCGGTCGGCAGTTTTTTCGCGTTTGTTAAAGCTTAGCTTCCGAACTGGAGTGCTATGCAGCTGGCACGGTAAGGTCTGGGCTCCCCACCCCCTCTCGGGGAGGGTAAGGTTGCGCGGACGAGCGGCGCGGCAGTAGTGTTACGTCTGCTTGTTTGCTTATTTCCTTGGGATTGTAGGAAGTTCTACCTCTGTTCAGTTTTTGTTGCTAGTTTCTTACCATGTGGGGTTTGTTTTGTTATGCCTACCTTTCTTAGTGCCTAACCTCAGTCGGTGGCAGATAAGGAAATCCCCCAACCACAAGGGGGGGGGTTTTCCAGGGCCATTGCTCCCTGAAACCTCTCTGAAGGAGCCAGGTTCTGGCTCATGGTCCTTGGTAGGTCTGAACTCCATAGCTAATGTCCCGGTCTAATATAACATACATTACCCCGATAAGCTCCAGGGAGCCTCCGGGGCTCACCCAAAAAATGGCATTTCATTACATTCAACGCTGGTTTTTTAATTTTTATGATGGTTTGTGTCTCATTGGCACTCATCACAGTGTACTTTTAGGAAACATGTCCTGGATGATAAGGCTTCAGAATCCACAAGTGTTAACTCCAGGGCTTCGTCATCATCTTCAAGACATATCTGATCTCTTTACACCTACAACTTCAAAGGAGTCTAGTGAACTCTCTAGTTTACCGATGGAGGATGAACAAAATGAGGTAATGCATACAAAATTATAGATTGGTGTGATTGCAAAATCAAATTTCCTTTGTATTAGTAATAAATCTCTTATATTTATAAATCAGTAGGTTATATGTTAACTTAATTTTATTAACTTAAAATTAATATATATTTGAATGGAAAAATCAGATATCAGTTTTCGGTTAGCTTTTGTTACTAGTGGATGCCTTGACACTAATCCTAGTTTCAAACTGAAGATAAATTTGTTATGGGAGTTGTTTAAGCTGTGTGGTGCTTTCAGGGCAGAGGTGTTCAATATTCAAGAAAGGGTGAGTGATTACTAAAGTGTCTGTAATTACATAGTGTAATTATCTAAATGCAGTTACAGGATGAGAGCTACACTTGTGGTGTCCTATACTCCCAAGAATCTTTTGTCATATGACACTTTTGTCAAATGACTGATGGTTTTGGCATCCACTGCCTTCTCACTTAACTTGTTCCAACCTGCTACAGCTCTGCAGAGTCCAGAGTTGAATGTAATGAAATGCCTCTTTCTGGATGAGCCCTGGTGGTTCCCTGAAGCTATCTTGCCAATAAGGCCCCCCAACTAATAGGTCACATTAGCCATGGAGTTCTGCTTGGCCTACTGGGGACCAGAGCCAAAACCTCAATCCCTCCTCACCAAAGTATAGAGAGCAGATGACACCCCACCATCTCACAGGTAAAAAAACAAAAAAAGTCAGCGTGTCAATACAGACCACTGCAGGGTTCAAAGAGAACGAAGCCTCAAAACTGTCAGAAACTCTCCCCAGACAATGTAAACAAATGATCAGATCTCTCAAAACTAGCATGAGCATGTTAACTCCAACCCCCTGCCAATAAAGGGGGGTGTAGCTCCAGGTCTCCCTCAGCCTTCCAGGCCAGTTCCAGAGCAGATGTGAAGACACACCAACTGACAAACTTACAAGAGAGGGAGGGAAATCATGGAACCAACAGGGCTCATGCAGAGAGATGCGATTCAGTACATTCGATGCTAGATTTCTGAGGGAACCCCTTGTGGCGCCCTGAAGCTAACTACCCATAGAGACAAAGCACCACAGACTCTCCAGAGAGGAGAGACTGCAGATAATCAAGATGAGATAGAGATGGTTTGAGGAAATGACCTGAGATGATCACCTGATGGAAATGACTTGATGGTCACTGTGGATGACCTGAGAAAACCGTTTTGGAACAGACAACTAAGGACGAAGGATCTACCAGCGTGACATTCACTGAAGCAGATTCGGTGGCATAAAAGTAGCAGCAAAGAGCCGCTACTAGGTACAGAACATGGCGTGTCTCTGGCTAAACCAACCAAACATCAATAACCCTAGGTGCTGCTTCAGAAGCCCATGAACTCATTTTTTGCCAGGAAAGGAGCGTGAGATTCTTTGATTTTTTGTGAATCTGAAAGGCACTCACTGTGAAGATCTTGCAATTAGGGAATAGAGGCACAGAGAGAGAGGCCCCAATTCCAAGCCGATGCAAAGAAATCCACATCAGAGCGCCCTGATTTCTTGTAAAGCCATCGGAAGTATGTTTCATTGACATAGTATGTATGTCATATCTGAATTCCAGGTGGAATCTGAATTCTCCTCAGAGCATTCAACACATCTGCAAACTCATGCACCAATCTGTATGCCTAACAGAGTGAACCTAACCTATGGCCCTGGCCAGCCTGATGAGCACTGGTCATGACGTCCTAGCCCAGAGCTGATGCGTCCATAATTATGTCGAGCAACAGTAGAGGAATACACAAGGAAACAAACCTAAAAAATCCCCAAAAAGTAGCTGGCAATGTAGCAGTCAAAGATGGGCAATCGAGACCTGACCCAAATGGTCACTGCAACAGCATAAGGAATGGAACTGGAGAAATAAGAACAGCCCCCCAAAGTTACATCCTGCCCATAGGGAAAACTATGCAAGCAAAGTTAAGGCTCCCGCACAATTGCTCAAGCAAGTGCTGAGACACCTGGGGCTGCCTTAATACCAGAAGGCAGCAGTGCTGCAACCGGAGCAAAGCCTCTGGAATAAGGTAAAGTGATGTCAACTGAGAGTCCCACATTATTTCTAGTAAAGTCTGACATAATGACCTATCAAGTCTGACCAAGTCTGACCTGGGATAGAATCATCTGACATTTCCAACAGTTCACCAGGAACTCGAACCCAGCAAGCTGGGAAAGAACTAGATCCCTGGCTAGCAGATAGGGATCTGACTAGCTTGACTGGGGGCTCATACCAGTCAGTTGTTGAGGTAGGTCAGAACATGAACTCCCCAACAAACAAAGACAAGTTACCATGACCTGAGCCAGTCTGGTGAAAATATGAGGAGTCAGATTCAAGCCATAGCAAAGAACTTTGAAACAGTAGGCTTAACACTTCACAACAAAATATAACCAATCTCTGAACCTTGGGTGTAGGTGAAGGTGCCAATAAGCATTCCTGAGGGCCAGAGAAATAATACAGGCCCCAGCCTCCAACACAAGGTGAACCTAGGCCAAAGTGGTCATGCAGAAATTGGGGCAGGGGATGAACACAAGATCGAGGATGGTGGAGCTCCGCTGGGTCCCATTTTGGGACTTGGAAGAGACAAGACACAACATCTAGCAAAGAGACGTGGTCATCTCAACCACGCTGAAAGCAACTGATTGCAAAGACCCAGCGGAGGCAAGGGGTAGAAGCCTGCCCCAAAAGCCGTGACCCCTGGGAGGGGAGAAAGACCAATCAACTCCACCGAATGCCACAAGAAGCGACCTGAAAAGCCATCATATCGTGGGAACAGGAATTGGCAAATTGGGCAAGAGGAGTACTTATGAGCAAAATGTGGACAGACAGTGGGAGGTGCATGCAAACTATAATCTGACTCTAATGAGGGCCAACCCTGATTAGAAGCAGGTGAAACCCTTGCCCTAAAGAGAACCCTGAGAACATAGGTGATGAGAAAAAAGGTTGGCACAAAGAAAAAAGGTTGGCACAAAGCTGCTACTGAAGATCAAATTTGTTGGCAACATTCTTTGGAAAAACGAGAGGCAAAAAAAGCAATGTTGAATGTAATGAAACACCATTTTCTGGGTGAGTCTTGGAGGCTCCCCAGAGCTATCCAGGCTGATAAGGATATCCCCGACTTTGGCATAGTCGATGTGGGTGGAGCTCTAGGCCTACCGGGGACCATGGGCTAGAACCTGGCCCCCCCCCCCCCATCCTCAGAGAGGCATGGGGAGCAATGGCCCATAGAATGCACATGTGATTTTGGAGCGTTCCATATCTGACATCGACCGGGACAGGCACCCAGAAAAGTAAGCACCATAAAACATCCCCTATTCTGGTTAAAAACAACAAAAATAGACAAATGAGTGGACAGAACTCCCAACTGAAAACGAGCAAACAAGCATGACGTCACATGAGCTGCGCCGCATGTCTGTGCAGCTTCCCCCTTCCCGGGAGGGGGAAGGGGAAGCCCCAGATCCCCACGCCGGCGATCCAAACCTTCAGTTCCTCGGCTGATGGGATACGGCTCAGGCGTTGTGGCTCCTAGAACTCCACCCACAACGACTGATGCCAAAGTTAGGGATGTCCATATCAGCCTGGATAGCTCTGGGGAGCTGTAGGGGCTTTCCCCAGAAAGGAGTGATGAACAAAAGAACCAAAGACCAAGCCAGATCTAATGATTGGGCCAACACAACCTGCCGACACATGAGATGAGTAGAGTAAAGTAGAGTAAATCACAACAACTGCTTCCTGGAGTATGAGCACATACAGCTTAGGCAAAGCCGCCAAAGCTGCCTTTGTTCTCAACTCTCAATCAGAGATTCCATGTTCAGTTCAAGGGTGGGACAGAAATGGTTGGGCATGTTTCCTTTCACTTAATGCCTGTTTAGCAATAAACAGGTACCCAGGAGTTAGGCAACTGTTGTGAGGTTGCATCCTTGGGAGGGTCAGTGGACCTTGAAGAGGACCTCGATGCAAGTCTAAAGTACATATATTTCACTCTTGGAGTACACAGCATCAGATTTAGCATCAGTAATGTTCATTACATATATAAACGATCTACCACAAGGAATACAGAATTATATGAACATGTTTGCGAGAAAATGTTTACTATGGGAAGATAAACTCAGACAATTGTCATGCACTACAAGAAGACCTGGACAAAATAAATGCATACAGTAACACTTGGCAAATGGATTTTAATGTGAATAAATACCACCTAATGGAATAAAGAATAGGAAACAATAGGGCCACATACAACTTAAAAATTATGTGAAAAGGCATTAAAGAACTCTGATCAAGAAAGGTATATTGACATGGTTCTGGATAAAAAAAACTGTTACCTGAGTGCCACATTAAGAATATTGTGCAAGGAGCATATGCTATGCTTTGCAACATTAAAATCGCTTTTAAATACATGGATAGTGAAATAAGAAGTTATTTACGATCTTTGTGAGACCATAATTTGAATATACAGTGGTTGTATGGTGTGCATATCTAAAGAGGCATATCAATAAATTAGAAAAGGTGCAATGACATAAAACTAAATTGCTTCTGGAACTAAAAAAAAACAAGTATTATGATGAGAGATTAGAGGTAACAAATATACCAAAGTTAAAAGAAGAAAAAGATGTGATATGATCACCAAGTACAAAATAATAATAGAAATCTGCAAAATTGACAAAGAACTAATTTTGAAAACCACAATGTCAAGCATAAGAGAGACAGGCTCAAACTAATGAAACAAAGCTGCCAAAAAAAGTATTAGAAAGTTTACTCTTACAAATAGTAGTAGACGGTTGGACAAGTCAAGTGAGAATGTGGTAGAGGCCAAAACCATCAGTAGTTTCGAACTGTCATATGACAAAGTACTGGGAAGACAGAACACCACAAGCATAGCTCGTCCTGTAACCAGACTTAGATAATTACCTGACCCTGAGCCATGTGAATAGATGTCCTCATGGAGCTGGTCAGAATAAAGCTTCAAAGGGCCAAAAATGGACGACCATAGCCAAGTGCAGGCGAGCTCCACAAGTTATCTGCCACGAGGGCCATCGACAGCAAAGACAACAGAACATGAAGCAGCATCAACCCCACATCCTAGGAAAGAGCGGGAACAAACAGGCAGTCATTGAGCAGCTCAAAAGAAGAGCCACCCAAAAACACCTGAAACACAGTTGGAACCTCATACCACTCAAGCATGTGGAAATGACAGAAGCCATGTCAAGACCCAAGGGAAAAGAGAGGATTGTCCACTAGCCAGGAAGACTCAGGAACCTCATAGTGCAGCCATTACGGTGAGGAAAACCAAAACTCTCAAAGTGAACAAGGGTGCAAACCATCAGTGCACCCAAACTAACCAAAATGTTTGCCTCGACCAAGAGGTCTAGACAGTAGGGCAGAGAGATCCCTCATACACCCAAGGGAAGGCCCACAGCCCAGTGGTCTGGCTTCTGAAAAGCAAACTCTCGAACACACCAGAGAAGAGGAATTTTTTGTATGTATTGATCATATCACCTTTTTGTATGTGGTGATCATATCACCTCTTTTTCTTCTATCTTCTAGTTTAGGCATGTTTAATGTCTGTAGTCTCTCCTTGTAACTTTTTTTCAGTTTTGGAAGCCATTTTGTAGCATGCCACTGCATCTATTCCAGTTTCTTTTTTGTGCTTCTTGAGATTTGGGCACCATACAACTGCTGCATATTCCAGTTTTGTTCTCACAAAAGTCATAAACAGTTTCTTTAGTGTTTCACCATCCATATAATTGAAATCAAACCTGAAGTTGGAAAGCGACGCATATGCTCCTCTCACAATGTTCTTTGTGTTCCTCTGGCAACAGCTTATTATCCAAAACCACCCCTAGGTCTTGTTTTTTTATTAGAGTTCTGTAATTCTATTCCTCATTATTTGTAAGTTGTGTGTGGCCTATTTTCTCCAAATCCACATTCCATAACACAACATTTATCAAGTGTTGCCAAGGAATTTAATATAGGCACTAGTACTGTTTCTGATATAAGGAAACAAAGAGAAAATTATGAAATTCATTTCAACCTGTGAAAGTGAAGGTGCAAGCACTAGCAGAGGGTGTGGTAGAGAGACTGAAAACTTCGACGCATGTACAATTGGATGAGGCCGTGTATAAGTGGTTTGCTCAGCACCGCACAACTGGCGTGACAATTCGCAGCCCAGAAATACAAAATGCTGCAAGCAGGTTTGCTGCAAGCCTTGGAATAAAGGATTTCAAAGCGAGTGAAGGGTGGGCACAATATTGTGAAGAGGAAAATTGTTGGTGAAAAATTGAGTGCAGATGAAAGCAGTGTAGAACCATTTAAAGAGAAATTAAGAGCATACATTGTGGCAAATAATTTATATTCTTATCAAATTTATAATGCAGATGAAACTGGGTTGTATTGGAGGAGTTAACCAGAAAAAACTCTAGCAATGAGGAGTGAGGGTTGTGTGCCAGGCCGTAAGGTCAACAAGGACAGGCTCTCAGCCATGATGTGTCCAAATACCGACGGCACAGACAGAATCACGTGTGCAATTGTTGTCAAATCTAAGAAACCAAGAGCCTTGCAACATTGCATGGACAGACTGCCAGTCAAATATTATAACTCACAAAATGCATGGTTTACACAGGAGATCTTTCTTTCCTGGTTTCATGACGTGTTCTGCAGGGAAATTCGTGCCTATCAAGTTAAGAAACTCAAAGTAAGGCCAAGCGAAGTTCGGGCTTTGCTGCTGCTTGATAATGCGCCTGCCCACCCCAAAATTGACACGTTAACCTCACAAGATGGCAAGATAACGTGTATGGCACTTCCTCCTAACACAACCTCTCTCATTCAGCCAATGGATCAGGGAGTTATCTGTGCCACGAAGAGGTTGTACACCAAAAAGATGCTAAACGAAGTTTTGGTGGTTTTGCCTCTTCCGGAAGATATTGAACTCGGTGTGGATAACAGGGCTAAAAAAAAACTTCAGAATTTGAAGAACTATACAATCAAGGAAGCCATCTATAACTGGGCCAAGGTGTGGAGTGAATTAAAGGAATCAATTTAAAAAAATTCCTGGAAAAAAACTCCTTACGTCTACGGTCAGAAATGAGGAGGATGCAGAAATGGATTTTGAAGGATTTACAGATGAAATCCATGGAATGTTCAGAAATGCCGGCAAAAACTTAGAAAGACAGGATGTGGTTGATTGGCTTGAAAAAGATGCCAATGACCCAGGATATGGTGTGATGAGTGAAGATGAGATTCTCCAGTCTGTTACTGGTGAGGTCAACGTAGAGATGGAGGATAAGAAGGAAGTGAAGAACCAACACCAATGACCACAAAATACAGTGTACTCATGACCTATGTTGACGGATTAATAAATTTTTCATCCAATTGTGCTCATCCAGAGGTTGGAAACATGTATCCATACCTAAGGCGAACAAAAGAGCTGATCATACAACTGGCCAGTGAACACAGAAGGCAAGCAACACTCGATTCTTATATGGTACGAAAATCAAACCAAGCGCCTTCAACAAGTGAGGAGGCACACGCAACCCAAGCGCCTTCAACAAGTGAGGCGTCACAGGCAAGCCCAGCGCCTTCAAGTGAGGCGTCACAGGCAAGCCAAATGCCTTCAACCAGTGAGGCTTCCGCAGCTGACAGTGAAAGCTAACTTTGCCTAATGAACTGTACAGTAATTTTAAGTGATAATTTTAGTGTTGTGTTAGTACAAGTTATGTAAATTGTCAAGAATTTTTAACTTCAAGATGTGTGGCATCAATCAAGAAGACAAACAACAACAAGGTAAGTTGAGGTTTCTAGTTGAATATTTAATAATTATATGTGGCAAGGCAATTCAAATTATGCTGTTTGTAGTATAGAAATAGTTGGAAATAGTTAGTTTTGAACTCGTAGGTGAAAAAGTACCATTATCCGGAAAACGTGATAATCCGGCTGGGGGTTAGCACTTAGTGTATTTACGCATCTTTACTGGATCTTGGTGACCTGTCTGCGTCTGCTCGGAAGTCGGTTTCTGGCCTACCTCGACGACTGGGTGGTGTGGGCTCCCAGTCGGTCCACTTGTCTGCTCGCCAGGGGTGTGGTTCTTTCCAGATCGCCGGGATCAGATTCCTGGTGATCTTGAGGCCATTCAATCTCCTTCCGTCCCGTGTTCGAACCTGGCTGGGTCTTGTTTAGGACTCTTGGACCGCTTCTTTGTCTTTCCCTCCAGAAGCTTTGCTGCGGCTGTGGTCCCGCCTTCGGCTGTTTATGAGGGGGTCCCTGATCACTTGGTGGTTGCTCAAGCGGTTGTATGGGAGTCTGAACTTCGTTGTGCTTCTCTGCCCGTCGGGTCGGGTTTGACTTCAGCGTCTGTTCGGTTCCTTCAAGGACTCCCCTTTCTGCCTCTCTCGCAATCATTGGGTTCGTCCTCCGGGGATCTTGTGTTGGTACTGTGTCACTGGCCTCCTCTTTGGGGTTTTCGGGGTTCCGTACCTTGGCATCTCCCCGAGCCTTCGCTCGATGGGTACACGGACGGGTCTCCTCTTGGCTGGGGCTTTGTGGCCAGTGCTCACCAGGCCGTCTGGGGATGGTGGGGTCCATCCGTCTGTTGGGTTCACAGCACGGTTCGGGAGTTCGTGACTGTTCGTGAGCTTCCTGGCTCTCCTCCGGCACAGAAGTTTCTGCTCTTTTGGTACTGGTGGTAGATTTGTATGCTTGCAGCCTTTCTCTGTCCTTTGGCGACGGTTGAGGCGGCTGCTTTCCGGAGGAGTTCTTGGGTTATTGATGCTTGGTTGGTTCGGCCGGGGATGAGACATGTGTTGTCCGGTTGCGGCTCTTCGCCGTTACCTGTATGACGTGGCTGGGGATGCACTTTGGGTTGATCTGGTTCCCCTCGTTCCCTGTTTCAGGGCTCGGGTCTCCCAGGTCGTCCACAGTTTTCTTAAGTCTACCAGCCCGCGGTCAATCCTTGCACTCGTGCCGTTCGGACATTTGCAGCTTTCGCTGCCATGTTTGGTGACATCTTGGGCTCATTTCGGGCACGAGGATTTGGGGGTCGCACAGGTTCCTGGCCACTCGTTCATTTGTGAGCGTGTCTGCTCCTGTGCGTTCTTGTGTTGCTTTGGGTTGCAGGTTGCTGCCTGTTGTCTCGACTTCGCATTGTGGAGTTTGTGGCGGCCGCCTCCCGGGTCAGCCCTTTCTTTTCCTTCTCTTTGGGTATGAAGCTCCAGGGAACCGTAGTGGTTCCCCGCAGAAAACCAGTGTTGAATGTAATGAAACGCCATTTTCTGGGTGAGCCCCGGAGGCTTCCTGACAACCCTCCCTCCCACCGGTCGGCGGTTTTTTCCCATTGGTTGAAGCTTAGCTTCAGAACTGGTGCTAGGCAGTCGGCACGGTGAGGTCTGGGGCCCCCCTCCCCCTCCCGGGGCGGGGAGGGCTGTGCAGACAATCGGTGCGGCAGTAAAGTGTGATGTTTGCTTGTTTCCTTGGGATTATAGGGAGTTTCTACCTTTCTGTTCAGATTTTTGTTATAGTTTCTTACCATGTGGGGTTTGTTTTGTTATGCCCACCTTTCTGGGTGCCTAACCCCGGTCGATGGCAGATAAGGAAAACCCCAACCACAAGGGGGGTTTTCCAGGGCCATTGCTTCCTGAAACCTCTCTGAAGGGGCCAGGTTCTGGCGCTGGTCCCTGGTAGGTCTGAACTCCATAGCTAATGTCCCGGTCTAATATAACATACATTAGCCTGATAAGCTCCAGGAAGCCTCCGGGGCTCACCCAGAAAGTGGCGTTTCATTACATTCAACGCTGGTTTTTATTGAGATCTGGGATACTGTACTTTGTTTCATTTTGTACTAAACATTATTAATTTCACAGGAACTTTTAAACCAGCACTTTGAAGATCCAAGACCACGAGCATTTTCTGGTGCCTCAGACAAGACTCATGACTCGGATCTTGGGTCTCGGAGAGATTCTAGCGGTTGTAGCAGTGGCGCACCTTCTCATGCTTCATCTGACCTTCTAATAAATGCTACTGATACTGGAGATGACACCAGGGGCAGTTCACCCCTCACTAACACTAGCACATCTGGTGAGTTGCAAAAATATCATATATAATTTTTCCATAAATTTTAGCCACTTCTTTCTGAGGGGAGCCCCTTCGGCTCTACGGAGCTATCCAGGCTGATATATATATCCCTAATCTTTGGCATCAGTCAGTGTGGATGGAGTTCAAGCCTATCGGGGACCATGAGCCAGAACCTGGCCCCCCTCAAAGAAGCACGAGGAGCAATGTCCCATAGGGCATTGTGATTAGGAGTATTCTATATCTGGTGTCGACCAGGACAAGCCCCCAGAAAGGTAAGCGCTTCAAAACAAACCCCTATTCTGCTTAAAACAACGAAAATAGCCAATGGAGTGGACAGAACTCCTTAAAGTAGCAGCCCGTAACAGCTGTCTAACTCCCAAGTACCTATTTACTGCTAGGTAACAGAGGCATCAGGATGAAAGAAACTCTGCCCATTTGTTTCTGCCTCCACCAGGGATCGAACCCGGAACCTCAGGACTATGACTCCGAAGCGCTATCAACTCAGCTGTCAGGCTCCCACGTCAGCCGGGGTTCTGGCAAGCATCCCACATCACTCGCTTGATGTTCATCAGTGCTGCCTCATCTACTATGACACAAGATGTGCTCTTTAGCTAAGTGATGTGGCCTATCCTTCCAACAGTAGTTCTGCATGAGGCCATTGCTTAATACAGGGGTACCTCGGTTTAAGAATTTAATCCGTTCCTGGAGATGGTTCGTAACCCAAAAATTCGTAAACCGAAGCAAATTTCTCCATAAGAAGTAATGGGAAATGAATTAATCCGTTCCTGACTCCCAAAAAACTTCACTTCAAAGTAAATCTGGTACCTAATTCACCCAAATCTACACTACAAAAGTATGCTCAAGTTATTACTTACCCTTGCTGATGACTCATGTTGGTGTATGAAAGATGATGAGGAGGGGGGAGAAGAAGAGGTGTTACTGTTTGGAAGGGGAGTCCCCTTCCATTATAACATCAGGCAGTGAAGATTTCTCTGGAGTGCACACTCTGGCACGTTTTGCCTGCATACCACTAGGTCCTGGTTGTGGCTCACTGCTTGATTTTCTCACTTTTCTCACAAGGAAATGTTCCATTGATGATTGTTTTCCCTTCTTAGCAACACTTGTCTGTAGTGAGGCATCACATTGTCATTAAAAAGATCAATGCAATGGCCTACTACAGCTTTATCTGGGTGATTCTTTTCAGCAAAACTTTACAGTCCTTTCCATACTGCACATTTTCTTAATTAATGAGGAAGGGACATTCTCTACTGCCTCCTCTTCCTCCCCTGAAGACTTGTTGTACAGTACTGCGTAGCTAGTTCAACAACACGAGTACCATTTTCATGCTTACGAATTATCTCTTGTTTTTCCTCTATGGTCATTCTCACATGTGATTTTTTGTCTTGAACCTTACCATTGGCTTTCTTGGGACCCATGGCAAGATATATAACAACAACTTTTATGCTCAAATGGCCAAAAATCCAACAATAAACTGTAAATTCTTGAGAAGAATTCATGCAGGATAGTCATTGGGCACGAGGCAGTGGTAAACTGATGCGCGATCGCCGTGCCACCACACGCTAGGTCGGTCATACGCGTATCAACAAACTCTTATCCCAATTCAAATATTCTGAAGAAATTAGACTCGTAACCCGAAAAGTTCATAAACAGGGACGTTCGTAACCCGAGGTACCACTGTACTTAGTACGATTGTGCTTAGTACTATGAACATTGTGGGTTTCTTGACTTTTATATTATTTGAGCTGAGAGACAGGGTACCTCCCTTGGTGGCAATTACCTTGCTTCACCAAAGGCTCATGCTCTTATGAGTTGGAATTTCTCCTCTATGAGTTTGTTACTCTTGAGGCTTGGTGCTTTCCCACAGGGAAGATGCTTTTCCATCTGTAACATCTGGCATAGATCATAGCTCTGCCCCAGGGTCTTTGTTTCTCGGGGCTTCCAGGGCCCGAGGAGAGTCTGTGAGTGCCATTTCTCCCATTTGGCCATTTGTGGCTTTTGTGTGGGTTTGTTACCTTCTCGCTTTTCTAGGGGAGCCCTCAGGTGGCTCCCTAGAGCTGACTTGCTGAGATTGCTCCATTCTAATCTAATGGGTCACATCAGTCAAAAGTTCTGTTTTGCATACTTGGGAACCTGGCCCCCACTCTCACAGAGGTGCAGAGTGAGTGACCATTTCCCCCTCCATTGGGAAAACATCCAGAAAGTCAGCAAAGCTTTATAGACAACTGGAGGGTTCACAGAAATAAAATCTTTGAAACTGTCAAACAACTCCACAAATTCACACGGAACAAGAGATTCACTTAAATTAGCTCAAAACTCTTTAGTATGGATTTCCACCAGCAGGTGGCGTGGCTCCTACCTGCAGCTTCCAAAGTCAATTCTGTTGCTGGTGTTCTGGTGGAAGGTTCTCCAAGTAGTGTTTTTGCCCACTAGGCATGGGCAAGCCCCTCTTCTTCAGGCTAACCTGATGATCATCATTCTTTCTGCCTCCTCCACCATGCTGTTTGCTGGGTCAGTAACATCTACAACCCTGAGTCCTGTGAGGTATGTTCTCACTAGGCTCTTATGATTCAGCTTTGAGCTCGGAAGCTTTTCAGGCAGCTGCCACTTTGCGAGCTAGGTTTGCTCAGGCTAGGCGTTCACTGCATATTCGTCTGGATGCCCTGAAGCTGGCCCCTATGGTGTTTAGGGACCCATAATTTGAGGTGTTAGTGAACTCCATCTGGATCAAGTCAGCACCAATTCTTACTTCCCCTGCAGGTGTGGTTTGCCCTGGGTCTGAGGCAATTTAGCTCAGGGGTGCACTTAGTCTTCACTGGGGATGGCCCCCATCTACATTGATGATGGAAGTAGTTGAGTCTTCTGGTTCCACTAGGATTTTAGAGTATTCACTTTCACAAAAGACCTCTCTTTGTCCTCTCTGAACCTCCTTGGGAGGATGCCTTTCTGTTGCAGGTGTTTGGCAAGGACTTTGGCTCTACCCTGGAGCCTTCATGGCAGGCTTCTGGAGCTGAGCAGGAGCCCGAGGTGGGTTCATTAGTGTCCTTCAACCCCTCTTAGACTTTGGTTCCCTCTGTGAAGTGTCTTTTGCTTCAGGGGGAGAATTTTTCTTATACCTTTTATGTATGAGTATGATCACGTGGCGACTCTCCTTCGGGTTCAATTCTGGGTACCATTTGGTGCCTTGGAGTCATAATATTTCCGGATGTTTCTTTCTTTCCATGTTACCAGGGAGCCAATGAGGGATCCCACCCAAAAATCCAGCATTAAATGTAAAGAAATAGCCCTTTCTGGTGGGCCTTTCGGTGACTCCGTGTTCCTGCCCGTTTTCCTTATCGGGACCTTGGTTTGCTTTCGCGTGGCTCATGTCTAAATCAGTATCACCAGGCAGACCCTGAGTTGGCTGAGGGAGGGGAGAGGGTTGTGACTAGTGATGTACCTCCTAACTACTGTGGTCCTCACTGTAAAGATTACTAATGTTTTACTTGCAGTGATGTTTTGGAGTGCTCTATTTTCCCTGTTGATATTTCTTCTTGAAGTGGGTTGATCTAGTATCCCTAGCTCCCTGTGCCTCTAGTGAGTGGACCAGGCTCTGCCTCTGGTCTGCAGTAGGCGTTTTATGACTTACACTGGCCTATGTGTCATGATCCATGTAGAGGTATCCAGGTATCGAGGAATCTCCAAGGGGACCAACAGAAAGAAGCATTTCATTACATTCAATGCTGGATTTTTTAATTATACTCTAAAATTAGAAAGTGGTGAAGTATTACTAAAACGTCCTCTCTATAGAGCTATATATTTTATCGAATTACAATATACCTTCTTTTCTCTTTGGAGATAAGTGTAAATTTTTACTTTACTGAATACTCACAGGTGAGAATCCTGATGATCCTCGTGTTCCTGTTCAGCGTTGCCATTCTAGTCCGGAAATGAGTGAGGGTGTAGTAGCTGGTGGTGGAGAAACTAGTCAGCAACCTCTTAATGAATCAGAGGGCAAAGTTCCTACGTCTCCAAGTACATCACCAGGACCCACAGAAACTACACCAGTTGCAGCCGTAACTAGACAAGTGAAGCCTAAACCCAGGTTAGCCCCAAAGTATAAATGTTTCCAATTTTAGTCTGCAATTATTCATTGCAATACCTCATTCTCTTCCTTTCGTACTCTGAAATTTAATAGTGTATTAAGTAGCTGTATAATGTGGAATGGGTATATTTAATGTTAAAAAGTTAAATAAATACCTTATTTTTTAAAATGTATCTTCTTTCTGGTAGGCTTGAATCCATGACAGGAGGAGGCAGTGTTGGCTCGATTTCACCACCACCTGTTGCATCTACTCGTGTGCGACACACCTCAGCCTTCCAAACAGTATAGTGTTCTTGTTTATAAGTTTACTGCATTTTTGGTACTGATCATTAAAGAACTTGTTTTACATTTCTGTATAATGTAGAATCAAGTAACACTGTATTAATATCTAAAATGTATCATCAAACTAAACCTCTTTTAGATATATATTTATCACTTAACATATTTGTCAACACATGAAAGATATTGATTTTTCATATCAATGATTCGTTGAATTTTGTTGAATTCGGAGGAAGTGTCATGGTATTTTTTCTTGACTATAAATAAAAAAAATTACCGAAACAGATTTGTATTAGATTCTGAACTAGATGTTTGTAGTTAAAGAATTTGCATGAGAGGGAAAACTTGTGGGAAGGTAAGGAACATGTGAAAACAATATCTGTGTAAGTGTACATTATGTTTATTACAGTCTTATTTTGAATTAACCCCATAGTGGGAACGAGTAGCTGTCTTTTTCCCTTGCTCACTCGGTGCATCTGTGAGGATTACAACAGCATCAAGACCTTTCAGAACACCTTAAATAGACGAGTATAGCTGGGAGGTCATCAAAGACTTCAAGAAGATGGCCTTTTCTGTGGGGGAGCCTGTTGGCTCCCTGGAGCTATATCGGGCTAATGTGCATATATTAGACCATGGCAACTGTCAATCAATGGAGTTCTAGGCCTACTGGGGACCAGAGCCAGAACCTGGCCCCCTCAAGAAGTTCAAGGAGCAATGGCTTATAGACACCCTCATGTAATTGGAAGCAGTCTATATCTGCCATTACCAGGTCAGGCACCCAGAAAGGTAGGATTTCCAAAACAAACTACAGCTGGTAAAAAATTGCAAACTGAAAGCAGAACTAGCGAGCAGAACTCCCCAATCAAAAAAAGCAAACAAGCTTGACACCATCACAATCACCGTGCATCCATCTGCACAACCGCCCCCTCCCCTAGAGGGGGATGGGGGGGGTCCCAGACCTCCACTCTAGCTACTCTCCTCAATTCAAGAGACTGTTGTGTTGGTGACTGTGGTCGGCTCTGGCTTCACTCTTTGCACAGTGCTGCATAGCAGTGTTGGTGGTGTGCAAGCCAGGAGTAACGCAAGAGTACTGGGGCTGCATGCACCTAGGGCCACCTTCCCTAGGTGCCCTCTAAGTACTGCCTTTGTGGCTTAGGGTTATCTTCCATCAGCCATTCAGGACACTACCTCCGTGTGGTTCTGTTGCTGCTCGATGATTGCCTGCCCTTGGGGGCCAGCTGGGATGGTTCTTACTCCTATTTGCCCTTGGGTAGGAGGTAGATTCATCACTGGCTGGGGCGCAGGGTACTGTGCAGCTATCTGATATATACATAGTGATTGGTTCTGTTTCCTTGGAGATATTTGTGCTTTTGCTGGGGGTTTTCTTTTGTTTTTGTTTTGTTTTGCCTGGTGGGAGTCTGCCTGGAGTGGCTGTAGGACCACTTGTATGATTTTGGTGGTCCTCCACTAGGTCCCCATGCTTGCACATGTTGAAGGGGTTCAGCTTTTAGTTTGTTTGCTTAGTAGCTCTGAGATAACCGGTTAGCAGTACCTTGCCTGGGCTTTCATTATCAGTCAGCCTAAGGGCCCTGGGAACCCCCTTTGGGGCTCATTGGTTCAATAGAGGAGACCTCTGAATCTCACCTCGCCTTGTGCGAGTCTAAAGGTTGCTCTGTCCCCATGTCCCACGGTGATACTCACCGTCTTTGCCTCCACCATGCTGCCTGTTGGGTCGCTGACACTTTTGACCCGGAGACCTGTGAGTGGTGTTCTCTGTTTCTACTTCAATTAACCTAGTCCACTGAGACTGATATTCAGGTGCATGCAAGGTTTAGGTTGCTGCAACGCACGAGGTTGGTTGCCTTTCCGGATGCCCCACAGCTGCCCCACTTTGGTTATAGGGACCCAGACTTGGGGTGTTAGTCGCTTCAACTTTGGTTTTGTCCATGCCCCCAAGTCCTTTCCCTGCTGTAGCTCCTCCCCCTCCCCCCTCCCTGCTCTCGGCTCCCAAATGTCTGAGGGTTTCTAATTCGGGGCAGGGTTTGCCTGGTGACGAGACTCGGGCGGCTTCGGGGATTACCCCTTCCAGATTGGCGGCGGAGGCATTCTAGCTTGTTCTTCCGGCTGAAGTTTTTAGGTCACGCCAGCGGATCTCCTTTATCCCTGCTTTTCCGGTGGACTCTGCTTTTTTTCTCCAGAAGCACAGGGTTTGGACGACGGCTCGGCCCCAGGTCCTGATGTGGAGGATCCCGGGGCTGGGGGAGGAATTGACTTGGGGGGGGGGGGGGCCTGTTTGACCTCACTTGGGTGTTGGTACCCTCAGCACGGGGCTATTATTACATGGGGGAGGGGTTTTCTATCTTCCCCCCCACTCCCTGTACGATTTTGATATGAGTTCGACTCCTTCTCGGGGTTCGGTTCCGGGTTTCCTTGGGTTCATCGGTTCCCTCCTTCCAGAGGTTTTTGGTTTCTCGCATCCCACCGAGGGAGGTGTGGGAGGCCCTAGCGGCTTACCTCCTGCAAGACCTGGATTACACCTCTTCCTAGCTGGCAGACTGCCCTTTCTTTTCTTTGGGGGCTTGGTATTCATTCTGTCGAACTTGCAAAGACAGCTGGAGCTGTCTTCGGACTAGCTCTCGGAGGATGTGGAGAAGCTGTGTTCCAGGCTGGTGTCCGGAGCGCTTGCCTCAGCAGCTCAGGCGTCGGCTGCATTGTTGAAGTTGTATGTGCCGATTCTGAAGGAGGCAGTGTCTCTGTTCTTTGCTTCTCGCTTCGCCTGCTGAAAGGCGGTGCTCGTTCTCTCTTTGGAATCAGCTTGGGCCCTGACTCTTAGATTTTCATTCCCCTTTTGTCTGTTGCTGTTAGCAGTCTGTGGTGGTGCATTTTCTGCAGGTGGCTTTGTCTAGTTGCCAACCTATGTCAGACTTGTTGGGTCTCCTGGGAGGCCGTGGTGGTCCTGCCTGGAAGGGTCGTGCCAGGGCTCGGAGTTCCATCGGTCGTTGTAAGCCAGTAGTGCCAGATTAGGGGCCAGCCCCTCCTGCGGAGCCGTTGGCACAGTGATTGCTCTGAGTGTCAGCCGGGCTTTGGTAAGGGTTGTCGGCCCTTTCGCAGTTCTCTCCATTGGTGGGGCAATAGGGGGGAGGCTCATGCAGTTTGCTCTCACCTGGTCCCACGATTCGTGGGCTTTTTGGGTCGTTTCCTCTGGCCTGTAATTACACAAGTGTAATTACCCAAGTGTAGTTACAGGATGAGAGTTAAGCTCATGGTGCCCTGTCTACCCAGCACTCTTTGTCATATAACGCTTTGAAGCTACTGACGGTTTTGGCCTCCACCACCTTCTCAATTAACTTGTTCCAACCGTCTACCACTCTGTTTGCGACAGTGAATTTTCTTATATTTCTTCAGAATCTTTGTTCAGTTAGTTTCAATGTATGACCTCTTGCTCTTGAAATTCCAGGTCTCAGGAAATCTTCCCTATCAATTTTATCAATTCCTGTTACTATTTTGTACGTAGTGATCAACTCTGGTTGATCACTACGTACAACTCTCCTGGTGTTCTGGCAATTCTGTCTCTCCTGGCAACTCTCCTCCCCTCTGGTCAGCGGTTTTTGCATTTTTTTGACATCTAGCCTCAGAACTGGTGTGTGGGTAGCCGGCGTGAGGGTCTGGAGCTTCCCCTTCCCCCTCCCAGGGAGGGGGGGGAGCTGCGAAGACAGCTGCAAAGACAGCAGCGTGGCGATGTAGTGACGTCGTTCTCATTTGCTAGTTTTCATTTGGGGAGTTCTGTACACAAGTTTGGCTCTCGGTAGCAATTCTTACCCAGAATGGGGGTTTGTTTTGGGGTGCTTACCTTTCTGGGTGCCTGACCCAGTTGATGGCAGACATAGAATGCTTCCAACCACACGGGGTTTTTATAAACCATTGCTCCTTGTGCCTCTCTGGGGGGGTCAGGTTCTGGCTCGTGGTCCTCAGTAGGCCTAAGAACTTCATTCACATGACTAATGCCAAAGTCTAATATATCCATATCAGCCTGGATAGCTCCAGGGAGCCTCCCAGGGTCTGACCCAGAAAATAGCATTTCATTACACTCAATGCTGGGTTTTTTCTGGACTCTGTAAAGTGAATAGTACCAAATTCTGCTGTCTGATTGTCCATTATGTCAACATCTATTTCATGGTCCACATACAGTAGTTACAAAGTACCATTTAAACAGGAAGATGGGTTGATAAAATATGCTTTAACTCTCCAGGAAAAAATCAAACTCATATTTCATACATCATATGAGTCGCTGGAATTTTGAATAGGAATCAATCCTACTTTAAGAGAGGCATGGGGATTGACTCGAAACAACCTATAATACTCGCTATACAATCATAAATCACAATGTAAAATTCTGTGAGGCTAGCCCTAAAGAGTCTGGCCTCCAACATTGGACAAACTGACAGATAGACATTATATTTTATAAATGTAGTTGTTGTTATTATTTGCAGAAAAACAGTGGAAGTAATAGCAGTATTTCATCAAGCAGTGGTCTCATAGGCACCTCAAACACTGAGGAAGTTGATGACAGCTCACCCCGACCTATGCGAAGAGACAGAGGACATACCATCTCCGATATGAATCCTGCTTCTCGTAAATTGCATGGAAGGGCAACAGGTGCAGCAAAGAAAAAGAATTCTAATAAAGACATTAAGGGAGGCATTTCTCCAGGGTAAGCACATTTATCTTCTGCAGCAGATTATCTATCCATGTATTGGATCCAGTTTCTGAAGGAGCTGATTGTTTACATAATTTGGGAAGCATTGCCACTGGTTACTATACTGTTATCTGTTTGGTGCACTCTGCCTTTCTGGTGGTTTTCTCTTGAGCACTGTAGTTGATCCCAGATCTCCAGACTCCTCTTCCTCTATCGAGGAGACTAGATTCTAGCCCTGGTTTCCAATTGACGCTTTTGAATTGATGGAGTCTGGTGCAGTTCTTAAGTATAGTATATTCACTAGAAAGGGGGGTCTCAAGAAGATTACAAGGGGACCCCTCTGAGCATCTAAATTAAAAGTTAAAGGGTGTGAATTCTTGGTTATCACATTATTAAGTGACAGTCTTTATTTAGCTGTGGTTTAGTATCACTTATATTTGCGAACAGATATGTACAGTAGTTAAATTATTTTTTACTTGAATGTTTTGGCAAGATTCATACATGTTTTAAAAGTCATCCAAAGTACTAATATACAAGTTTGCAATAATTCACCAAAACACAAATTTTCAGTTATTTTCTGGGGGAAGCCCCTTCGGCTCACTGGAGCTATCCAGGCTGATAGGTATATCATTAGTCTTTGGCATCAATCAGTGTGAATGGAATTCTAGGCCTACCGGGGACCACGAGCCAGAACCTGGCTCCACTCAGAGGGTCACAAGGAGCAATGGCCTATAGAAATGCATGTGGGATTCGGAGCATTCTATGTCTGCCATCAACTGGGACAGGCACCCAGAAAGGTAGCGCCTCAAAACAAACCCCTATTCTGGTTAAAATGACGAAAATAGTCAAACAAGAGGACAGAACTCCCCAAATGAAAATGAGCAAGCTAGCATGATGTCACAAGAGCCGCGCTGCATGTCTGCGCAGCTCCCCCTCACCAGGAGGGGAAAGGGGTAGCCCCAGACCCACCACGCCGGTGATCGACCCTTCAGTTCTTCGGCTGATGTGATTGTGGCATGGTTGTGTGGTTTCAGCTCCAGATTCTTCTGTGTTGTGCTGTGCCTGGGGCCAGTACTGCTCTTACGGTGGCATGCGAGCTGAGAGTAATATTCACAGGTACTTGGGCTGCATGTGCTTAGGGTTCCGTTCCCTGAATACCCTGTAAGTACCACCCTTGGGGCTAGGGGTTATCTTCCACAAGTCACCTTGGGGCTAGGGGTTATCTTCCACAAGTCACCTTGGGGTCTACCTCTGTTGGCCTCTTGCTGCTCGGTGATTGAACGCCCCGAGTGTGTTGGGGGGTTTCCTCCCATGTTTACCTTGGGGTAAGTGGTAGTTTTTGCGCTGGTAGGGGTGCGGTGTACTGAGCAGCTAGTTTTCACCTATAACAGTGGCTGGCTCTGTTCCTTCTTAGTATGTTGTCCTCTTGCTGGGTTTTTCTTTTCATTTTTGTTTCTGCTTGGTGGGGGGGGGGGGTTCCATTGTGTCCCCTTCCCCCAGTTATATTAGGGCTTGACCTCCTGTGTTCGGTGGTACCCCCTGCTTGGCCCCTGTGAGTGGACACTTCCTGGGGGGTTGAGGTTTAGAAGTTGGTTTTGTAGACTTGGGTGCCGGTTAGCAATAGCCTGCCTTGGCTTATCCTTAGCGATACCAGCCTAAGGGCCCCTGGGATACCCCACGGGGGCGCTCGGGGTCCAATAGATGCGACCCCTGGGTCCCCTTTTGCCTTGTGCGAGTTTGAGGGTTGCTCTGTCACCTCGTCTCAGGGTGACGCTCATTGTCTTTGCCTCTGTCATGCTGCCTGTTGGGTCGGTGACACCTTCAACCCAGAGTCCTGCGAGTTTTGTTGCTAGTTTATGACTCAATTCACCCAATCAACTGATGACATTATTCAGGCGTTTCGTGCGAGATATAGGTTGCTGCAATGTGCTAGGTTGGTTGCTTCTCCGGATGTCCCCAAGGCTGCCCCGTTTTGTTTATAGGAATCCGGACTTGAAGGTGTTGATTGCTTCAGCCTTGGTTCAGTCTGCGTCCCCTCATTCTTTCCCCTGCTGTGGTTCATTCTGTTCTTCACCCCCTCCCTCCCATTGCTTCCAGCTCCCAGGTGTCTGAGGGCTTCGGAGTCAGGGTAGGGTTTAGAAGTTTATGAGACTCGGGCAGTTTCGTGGGTTGCCCCTTCCGGGGTGGGGATGGAGGCATTCCGGTCCATTCCTCCAGCCGTAGCTCCGGGGTCTGACCAATGGTCCCCTTCTCTTCCTGCTTTTCTGGCCACCCCGGCTTTTTCTTGTGAGGCTGGGGCTTTGGATGATGACTCGCCCCCCTAGAGCCTGATGTGGAGGTTCCCAGGGTTGGGGAGGAGCTGGCTGGACTTATAACAGTGGGCTTATAACAGGTCCAACAGGGCCTTGGGCCCCGTTGGACCCCGCCTGGGTTTTCCAACCCTCAGAGCAGGGCTTTCTGTTATAAGGAATAGGGTTTTCTTCCCCCCTTCCCTCCTATGAGTTGGATTTGGGTTCAGCTCCTCCCCAGGTTCAGTTCTGTATTCCTGTGGGTCCTTTGGTTCCGTCCTTCTGGAGGTTTTCGGCTTCCCACGTCACGCCTACTGAGGTGAGGGGGGCTATTGCGGCTTACCTCCCAGGGGCTGACTTTGCACATCTTAATGAGTGCCTTTTTGCTCCTGTCCTTCTGCGGGATGTGGGCGCGATTCAGCTTCACATGCAGGTTCCCTCCCTGTCGGCTGCGCTTGTGACTGAGGACTTGCGCACTCATGGCTGTATGCTACCTCGTGAATGTTCCTGGGCCTAATTGGGCCTGTGTTGCTTTGGGTCGGTGGTTGCAGCCTGTTATCTCAAATTCGAGTTGAGGTGCGAGCACGAACCGCCTTCTGCGTAAGTCCCTCTAATTTTCGTCTTTAGTGATGTAGCTCCGGGGAGCCAAAGGTGCTTCCCCCAGAAAACCAGCATTGACTGTAATGAAATGCCATTTTCATTACAGGTGAGCCTCTGGTGAGCCCCAGAGGTTCCCTGGCAACCTTCCCTCCTTCCGGTCGGTGTTTTTTTCACGTGTTTTTGACATCCAGCTTCAGAACTGCAGGGTGGATCGCCGGCATGGTGGATCGCCGGCATGGTGGATCTGGGGCTACCTTCCCCGTCCCGGGGGTGGGGGTGGGGGGGAGGTGCGCAGACATGCGGCGTGGCTCGTGGGACGTCATGCTAGTTTGCTTGTTTAGGGAGTTCTGTCCACTCGTTTGTCTATTTTCCTCATTTTAACCAGAATAGGGGCTTGTTTTTAGGCACATACCTTTCTGGGTGCCTGGCTCAGTCGATGGCAAACATAGAATGCTCTAAGTCTCATGTGCATTTCTATAGGCCATTGCTTCTCATGCCTTTCTGAAGGGGCCAGGTTCTGGCTCGTGGTCCCCGGTAGGCCTAGAATTCCAATCACACTGACTGTTGCCAAAGTCTAATGATATACATATCAGCCTGGATAGCTCCGGTGAGCCTCCAGGGCTCACCCAGAAAATGGCGTTTCATTACATTCAACTTTTTTTTTTTTTTTTTTTTTTTTTTTTTTTTACCATTTAAGAAATGTTTTTGAGTAAATTGTCGGTTTTATAATACAAAAAATTTCTGATGGATTCTAAATGTGTTGTGAATATATCTAGATCAAGGATTGGTATGCACATAAATTAAAACATGTCTTTATTTTTGACAGCTTTGTGTTCCTTCAGCTTTACTATGAAGGGACTCCTGAATATGGTAAAGAATTACCACACTTACTTCCTACTCATCAACCTGAAATACAGCGAGCAATGCGAGTACTTGACCTTATGAGGCATCAAGAAACTCACAAAATAGGGGTATTGTATGTGGCTCAAAATCAAACTTCAGAACAAGAAATTTTAAGGAATTCATGTGGTTCACTGCGTTACATGCATTTCCTTCAGGTAAAGTCCTTGAAAATAAGTGAATATTATGTTGTATTTTTTTAAGCCTTCCAAATGCCATTGGCATTTTTACTTTAGTTATTTCCTTTAGTAACCTTTACATTATTGTCTTTGAGCAAAGTTCCCTTGGTAACTTTCCTATCCCTATGCACTGACTAGGCTACAAAATGGTGTTTCATATCCCTGGAACAATAGTTTTGCAAGGGGCTGTTGCTTTGTTTTTGTTTCATTTATCTTTCTTGATTGTGTTTTATACCCCATATACTTTGTTATTATTATTAAAAGTGAACAAATTAAAAATAAATATTTTTATATATCAAAATTGATCAGATGTTAAGCAAAAGCATCCTCTTGCTTATTAGGCTAAGTAGTGTAGCTCTGGCTAATGGTTACGATATTCATTCATACATACATGAACACATATAATGCTGGATTTGATATTCATCTGAAAAGAAGAAAATATATCTGACATTCAGTATCTTCCTTTCTTGGGCAAGAGTGACCATGTCCTTTAGGAAATAAAATATGCAGTGTGTCATAATGTAGATTATGGGCTTCTTGATGACAGTAGGGGAAATGAATGGAGGAAATGAAACAATAAAAAACTTGATTTTATGATAGGAAAATATGGGGAACTTGACAAGTTCTTTAATGAATATGACTGGAAAAATTTTTTGTTAAGCAAAAAATACACGAGCTGTATGCCATATTTTGTGAGATACAGGATGAAAGTACAGTATAAGAAAATGTATATGAACACAGATGGAGAACTAGACAGCAGCATTGTTCAACATTAATTATGACAGGGCCACAGAACAAAAGACGAAAAACTGGAATCAGTATAGGAAGTGGGCTAACTCTCAAACATACCAGGAATTCAAACGCGCAAAGAAATAATTACACGGCAGTGAGAAGAGAGGCAGAAAGAAACTATGAGGAAGGGGTTGTAAATCTGATAAGTGTAAAACAGAACAAGCTTTATTCTATAAACTCATTAAAAACAAATTGCAGATAAAGGAAAAAATTAAGAGACTGAAAATGGAGAATGGATTCATGGAGAATGAATATGTGAAACTCTAAATGAACATTTCTAAAGTGTGATTGTGCAAAATAAAGTTGTTAAAGAACAAGACATAATACAAATTTCAGAGAATACCAGAGTACATAGTCTTGCGATGAAGTTGAACAAATGCTTAGGAGCTAGGTAGAAACAAGTACTGGGCTCAACTGGAGATTCACTTTGGGTTCTCAGAGAATGTGCATTTCAGCTCTGCCTTCCATTTCAAATGATTTTTTATTCACTTTCTGAGGGGGAGAATAAAAAATTTTATTCATTTTTGTATACGTTCTGCATACAAGACATTCTGCATGTTCTTGTATACGTTACGGCATACATTCTATCGGTCCCGCACACTTGAGTGCTGGGAGGCTCAGACGGCATTGCAGGTTTTCCTGGATGGGGGGGAAGGGCCAAAATTGAGTATCTCAATGTATGCTTGTTCGCCCCTGCCCTTCTGCAGGATGTTGGTGAGATGCAGTTTCATGTGCAGGTTCCTTCCCTTTCAGCTGCATTGGTCATGAAGGATTTGCATACACGTGGCCTGCTGGCCTTGGCCCTGCATTTCTTCTCCCTCCTTGAGCTGTCCTTGGACTGGCTTGAGATGTATGTGGAGGAGCTTGGGGCCGCCTCTGGGTTTGGTGCGTTGCCCTTGCTGTTTCGCATTTTTTTTGCTTCTCGACTTTCGTGTTGGCAGGTGGTGCTCGCTTCTTCCTTGGAATTCACTTTGGCCTGGCTCTTAAACTGTCTTTGCCTTTTTGTCCATTGCTGTTTGTTGAGTCTGCAGTTGTGCAGTATTTGCAGGCAGCAGACAGAGTGCTCCCAACCACATGGGGGTTTCTATAGGCCATTGCTTCTCTTGCCTCTCTGAGGGGGGGCCAGGTTCTGGCTTGTGGTCCTTGGTAGGCAAGAGCTCCATGCCCATTTACTGATGCCAAAAAGCTAATATATCCATGTCAACCTGGATAGCTCCGGGACTCGCCCAGAATATGGCGTTTCATTATATTCAACACTTTTTCTTTTTTTTTCAACATGCAAGTGGCTAATTCAACCTCTCGTTCTTATTTCTCCTCCCTTTGCTCTTTACTATATCTGTTTGCCCTACTAGATCTCCTGGTCATGATCATCAACTGGTCATTCATGCATCTTTATGCCTGTAGGGTCTGGACTTACCTTTCTGTCAGTTTTAGAAGGCGGCTGGTTATATTCTGGTCGCTTCCTTGCCATCTTGACCTTTCATTATCAATATGAAGTGGTATGGAGATCTTTTCAGTACTTCCCTTGCTGTTTTCAAGTGTCTTCTCTCTTGGTGGCTTGCCTCATTATGTGTGTTTTAGTTATTTGATAAGTCCTACCTTATGTCCTTCACCATTATATCATAAATGTCATTTTGCAATATAAGTCTCGTCATTTCAGATATTTTTCAAGTGTGTAATTGTGCACTTAGGTGGTGCATATTTCCTGACAAATTTTTTATACTGTATGAGGTCAGTAATCCGAATACCAGTAACCCAAATCTTCAAGTAATCTGAATGAATTCATGGTCATCATGCAAGGGTAAATGATGGAAGTAAGTAGATAAACGACAAAAATGTGTAGGTAAACAGTGAGAGTGCACAGGTAAATTTAATAATAATAATAATAATTTTTATATAGGGAAAAGTATATACTGTACATACAAAATGGGGTAATAGAAGAATGTTAGATTTCTAAGTAGGGCAAGTAAGGGATAATTAAATTGAGAACTATGCCTAAAGCCACTAATATGCACAGCATTTCGAGCATACCAGAAATGCTGGGAGTAACTGGGTTGTGGTACAAAAAATTGCAAATTTTAAAATTTTAGTACATTTCTGCCAAGTATTTTGACTAAATGGGGGTGGGCCCCCATATGCTTCAGATTACCAAGTATAGACAGTATATTATTTATTTAGGTACTGTACTTGTGACCAGAAATACCTATGATCATTGTTTTTGGAAAAATGGTAATATTTTGTTTTCATTGTCATTACAGGGTTTAGGTACAGTCCTTGAGCTGAACTCTGTATCACAAGATGAAGTATTCCTCGGTGGTCTTGACACCAAGGGCAACGATGGCAAGCTAGTTTGTATTTGGCATGATGAGGTTATGCAGGTTTGTTTCTGCTGGCTTTTTTTGTTGTTGATTATCATTTTTCATGATCAATAGCTCTAAGGTGTATGATACAATATTTTACAACACACAGTCACAGACACTCGCACAGTAACAAATAGACCACGAGGGAGGACAACACACCAATATATGATTATTTCAAAGGATTCCCACCATAAGATATAATGAAAGGAGGTTTTCTTGGCAGGTTAGAGATTATCGAGGGAATGCTAAAGAAGTATGAAGATAAAGTAACTGAATTAGAACAAGACAATGCAATTCTCAGGCATGAGTGTCACAATTTAACCCCTGGGCTGCTCTTGCAGTTATAGCCTGCAACACGCCAAGGCGCAAGAAATAAAAGAAATCACAAAAAAAAAAATTGTCTTATAAAAGTGTTCATTTGTGTTTCCTGATCATGGGAAAAATAATAAACAAAAATCTTAGGTGGTATATTTTGGCCACAACAGGGCGGGGAAGTCTGGCAAAAAAAAAAACATTTTCTGGGTGAGACCCGGAGGCTTTCTGGAGCTATTTTGGCTGGTATGAATGTATCAGATTCTGGCATCAGTCAATGTGCATGAAGTTCTAGGCCTACTGGGGACCATAAGACAGAACCTGGTCCCCTCAGAGAGGCATAAGTAGCAATGGCCTATAGAAATCCTTGTGTGGTTGAAATTATTCTGTCTGCCATCGACCTGGTCAGGCACCCAGAAAGATAAGCGTACGAAAACAAACCCCCTATTCTGGTGAAAATATTGCTACCGAAAGCTGAGCTAGTGGCAGAACTCCCCAAATGAAAATTAGCAAACTAGCATGACGTCACCACATCGCCGCGCTGCTGTCTGCTCAACCTCCTCCTTCCCGGAAGGGGAAAGAGGGAGCCCCAGACTCTCATGCTGGCTACCTACCCTGCAGTTCTGAGGTTGGATCTCAAAACATGCAAAATCACCGCCGACCGGGAGGGAGGGAGAGTTGCCGAGGAGCCTCCGGGTCTCACCCAGAAAATGATGTTTCATTACATTCAATGCTGGGTTTTCTGGGGGAGCCCCGTCGGCCTCCCGGAGCTACTTGCCCAAAGACAAAGACAAAGAGGGACTTACCTGGGAGGTGGTCGGCTCTCGCTCCTCAACGTGAAGTCGAGACAACTGGCTGCAACTGCCAACCCAATGCGACACAGGCCTAGGAACATTAATACTTTTGCACGGGGACGACGCAGTATTTCGTCAAAAATTTATTAGACGAATATGTGGTAATGACGCATCGATGCGTCAAAAATTTTAAAATTTTGCCTGCTTTCGGCTTGGCTGCAGGTGGGGCGCGCCACGGTTTTGTACATTATATGCGTATACTCTTGTAGAGAATTCTATTGTGAACACTTTGATACCAAAATGAAAGACCTAAGACGAGAATTGAAGGTGACCAAAGTGAAAAGAGCATACATATTTTATTGCTCTTGCACGCTCACGGGTAATAACGGGTGGCCAATTTCTTGGTTTGTTGCAGGTGGTAATCCTGGCTTTTGGACTTTATATGCATATACTCGTGTAGAGAGTTCTATTGCGAACACATTGATACCAAAATGAAAAACCTAGGACGAGAATTGATGTGACAAAATTAAAAAGAGTATACACTTTCAGTATTACGGCATGCTCACGTGGATCATCTCGGAGTGGGAGCGCAGGAGAAGAGGCCTGTCCACGCCAATCCTGATCCCCCATGAAGAAAGAAGAGGCCACCGCAGGCTACATGAAACGACCCAAAAGGCCCACAAATCGTGGGGCCAGGCATGAGCAAACAGAGCGAGCTTCTCCCCCCCCCCCCCCATTCCATCTCCCCGTCAATGGGGTGAACCGCGAAAAAGCTGACGCACCTTATGAGAACCTAAGCGGCGGTGCACAGATCGATCACCATGCCGACCAGAAAAAGATGGTACCGAAGGCTGCGTTGGCACCAAAATTGACACCTCTGGCTTACCATGATGAGAAGAACCCCAAGCCCTGGCACGACCCTTCCGGGAAGGGCCCCCCCCCACATTCCCCCAGGAGAACCAACAAGTCCAACATAGGACGGCAACTAAACATAGCTGCCTCCAGATACTGCACAACTGCAGAGTGCAAAGAGCAATGGACAAAATGGTGAAGACAGCCTAAGAGCCAGGGCCCAGGTGGATTCTAAAGAAGAAGCAAGCACCTGCCGACACGCGAAACGGGAAGTGAAAAACAGTGAAATCGCATCCCGCAGGATCGGTGCAAACAACTTCAACAATGCAGACGACACACGCACAGACGAGGGCAATGCACCAGACCCAGAGGCACCCCCAAGCAGCTCCACATCCACCTCAAGCCAGTCCGAGGACAGCTCAAGCAGGGAAAAGAAACGCAAGGCCGAAACCAACAGGCCATTGGTTTCGGGTACAAAAGTGACAGTAGGGAAGACCCCCTTAATTATAGACCTGTATCATTGACAAGTGTAATAGTCAAAATATTGGAAAAAATAATTAAAACTAAATGGGTAGAACACCTGGAGAAAGCGATATAATATCAGACAGACTATGGTTTTCGATGTGGAAGATCCTGTGTATCGAACTTACTCAGTTTCTATGATAGAGCCACAGAGATTTTACAGGAATGAGATGGTTGGGTTGACTGCATCTATCTGGACCTAAAAAAGGCTTTCGACAGAGTTCCACATAAAAGGATGTTTTGGAAACTGGAACATATTGGAGGGGTGACAGGTAAGCTTCTAACATTGATAAAAAATTTCCTAACTGACAGAAAAATGAGGGCCGTAATCAGACGCAAGGTATTGGATTGGAGGAATGTCACGAGTGGAGTACCAAAGGGTTCAGTTCTTGCACCGGTAATGTTCATTGTCTACATAAACGATCTACCAGTTGGAATACAGAATTATATGAACATGTTTGCTGATGATGCTAAGATAATAGGGAAGATAAGAAACCTAGATGATTGTCATGCCCTTCAAGAAGACCTAGACAAAATAAGTATGTGGAGCACCACTTGGCAAATTAAATTTAATGTGAATAAATGCCATGTTACGGAATGTGGAACTGGAGAACATAGATCCCACACAACCTATAAATTATGTGAGAAATCTTTAAAGAATTCTGACAAAGAAAGGGATCTAGGGTTGGTTCTAGATAGAAAACTGTCACCTGAGGACCACATTAAGAACATTGTGCGAGGAATCTATGCTACACTTTCTAACTTCAGAATGGCCTTTAAATACATGGATGGAGAAATACTAAAGAAATTGTTCATGACTTTTGTTAGACCAAAGCTGGAATATGTAATGGTTGTATGGTGCCCATATCTTAAGAAGCAAATCAACAAACTGGAAAAGGTGCAATGACATGCCACTAAGTGGCTCCCAGAACTGAAGGACAAGAGCTATGAGGAGAGGTTAGAGGCATTAAATATGCAAAAACTAGAAGATAGAAGAAAAAGAAAGAGGCGACAAGATCACTACGTACAGAATAGTAACAGGAATCAATAAAATTGATAGGGAAGAATTCCTGAGACCCAGAACTTCAAGAACAAGAGGTCATAGATTTAAGCTAACAAAACAAAGCTGCTGGAGAAATATAAGAAAATTCACTTTTGTAAACATAGTGGTAGACGGTTGGAACAAGTTAGATGAGAAGGTGGTGGAGGCCAAAACTGTCAATAATTTCAAAGCATTATATGACAAAGAGTGCTGGGGAGACGGAACACCACGAGCGTCGCTTTCATCCTGTAACTACACTTAGGTAATTACAGAAACCCCAGCCAACTCCAAGGGTAGTCAATCAATGAGCAGCAAAAAAGACAGCGGAGGTAGATCCCAAGGTGACTTGTGAAAGGTGACCCCAAGCCCCAAGGATAGTACTTACAGGGCACCTAGGGAACTAAACCCTAATGCATGCAGCCCTTGTACTGAAAAAGTTACTCCTGGCTCGCACACCGACAATGAAGACAGCACCACACCACAAGGCACAGAACTGAAACAATTTCTGGAGCCAGAGGAACACGACCTTGCCAGTATCACATCAGCCTAAGAACTGTAAGGTGGGTAGTCAGCACGAGGGTCTAGGGCTCCCTCTTTTTCCTCCCAGGAATGGGAAAGACAGACAGGCAGACAGCGGTGAGGCAACTTGGTGACCCCATGATAGTTTGCTTGTTTTCATTTAGGGAGTTCTGTCCACTTGTTCGGCTCTTTGTAGCAATGTTTTCACCAAAATAGGGGTTTGTTTTGGGGCGCTTACCTTTCTGGGTGCCTGATCCGGTTAATGGCAGACAGAATGCTTCCAACCACATGGGGGTTTCTATAGGCCATTGCTCCTCATGACTCTCTGAGGGGGCCAGGTTCTGACTCGTGATCCTCAGGAGGCCTGGTCGACGACCAGGCCGTGGGGACGCTAAGCTCCGAAAACACCTCAAGGTTGGCCTAGAACTCTATGCACATTGACTGATGCCAGAAAGCTAATATATCCATATCAGCCTAGATAGCTCTGGGGAGCCAACGGGGCTCCCCCCAGAGAAAAACTTAAGAAAGGGATTGGTGTAGTAACTATTACTGTATGATATAAAAAGAAACTTTTGATATTGTTTTACATTTAGTTAATGGTCTTTGTTTATGTTTTGTAGGTTGTTTTCCACGTAGCTACTATGATGCCAACAAAGGAATCGGATCCAAATTGTAATGGGAAGAAGCGTCATATTGGTAACAATTATGTGACAATCGTTTATAATGAGAGTGGCAAGCCCTACAATATCAACACCATTAAGGTAACCTTGTATCTATTAACATACTATGTATCTTTGTCATGTTGTAGAAACCATTAAAACTTTGGATATTAAATTTATATACAATGCTAAATTTATATACAGTGCTGGGGCTCCCCTTCCCCCTCCCGGGAACCCCAAACCCCTGCGGTGGTGATCCATCCTGCAGTTCTTCGGCTGATGTGAGGCATCACGGTCGAGTGGCTCCATCTCCAGTTTTCTTGTGTTGTGCTGGGCCTTGGTTCAGTGCTGCTCTTACGGTGGTGTGCGAACTGGGAGTAATATTCCTAGGTACTCGGGCTGCATGCGCTTAGGGAAGGAAACTAAGTGCCTTGTAAGTACCGCCCTAGAGGCTTGGGTTTCTTTTCCACAAGTCACCTTGAGCCTACCTCTGTTGGTCTTTTGCTGCTTGGCAATTGACCGCCCTGAGTGTTTTGGGGAGCTTCCACCCTTGTTTACCTTGGGGTAAGTGGTAGTTTTTGCACTGGTTGGGTGCGGTGTACTGCGCAGCTAGTTTTTACCTATGTCAGCGGCCGGCTCTGTTCTTTCTGGGTACATTGTTCTCTTGTGAGGTTTTTCTTTTACTTTTGGTTTTTTGCCTGGTGGGGGGAGGGGGTCTGCCTTGGTGTCTACTACCCCCTGTTATATTAGTGTTTGCCTTTTGTTTGGTGGTTCCCCCTGCTTCGCCCTTTTGAGTGGACACGTCCCAGGGGTTCAGCTTTAGCAGTATTTTTGGTAGCTTGGGTGCCAGTTAGCAGTACCCTGCCTGAGATAACCTTTAGCAGACCCAGTCTAGGGGCCCTGGGAAATCCCGCTTGGGCACTCGGGTCCCCTGAATCCCCTCTCGCTTTTTGCGAGTTTGAAAGTTCCTCTGTCCCTTGTCTCAGGGTAACACTCATTGTTCCTCCATCATGCTGCCTGTTGGGTCGGTGACACCTTCGACCTGGAGTCCTGCGAGCTTTGTTGCTTGTCTGTGACTCAGTTCACCCAATCTGATGATGATATTATTTGGGTGCAGGCATCTCACGCATTGCAGGATAGGTTTAGGTTGTTGCAACGTGCTAGGTTAGTTGCTTCCTTGGATGCCCCGAGGCTGCCCCGTTTTGCTTATAGGGACCCGGACTTGGGGGGTGTTGGTTGTGTCGGCCTTGTTTCAGTCTGCACCCTCTCGTTTTTTCCCTCCTGCTGTTCATTTGGTCCCCTCCCCCCCCCCCCTCCTCTGCTTCCAGGTCTTAAGCTTCTGAGGGCTTCTGGATCGGGGCAGGGTTTAGAGGTTTCTAAGACTGGTAGTTTCGGGGGTGGCGACGGAGGCATTCGAGTCTGTTCCTCCAGCCATAGCTCCAGGGTCTGACCAGTGGGCCCATCCTCTTCCTGCTATTTCGTCCACCCTGACTTTTTCTTGTAAGGCCAGGACTTTGGAGGACGACTCGCCTACCGGGACATGACATGGAGATTCCAGAGGTTGGGGAGGAGCTGACTTGGGGGCCTTGGGCCCCGTTGGACCCCGCCTGGGTTTTCCAACCCTCCAAGTGGGGCTTACTTTTAATAGGAGTGGGGTTTTCCTTTTTTCCCTTTGCGTACGAGTTGGATTTGGGTTCGGCTCCTCCCCGGGTTTGGTTCTGTGTCTCTGTGGGTCCTTCAGTTCTGTCTTTCCGGAGGTTTTCGGCTTCCCACGTCTCTCCTGCTGAGGTGCAGGCGGCCATCGCGGCTAACCTCCTGCGCGACCCTGAGTATGCCTCTATAATGGCTCCGTCTTCCTTCAGGTTTGAATCTTCGTCTCCATACTGGGTTCGTTATGAGGTTCCGGCTTGCGGGGGGGTGACTTTGCACAACTTAATGAGTGCCTTTTCGCTCCGGCTCTTCTGCGGGATGTGGGTGCGGTTCAGCTTCGTGTGTGGGTTCCTTCCCTGTCGGCTGCGCTTGTGGCTGGGGAAACTTGCGCATGCTGTGCTCGTTGGCTTTGGTCCTGCATTTCTTTTCCCCTCCTTGAGCTGTCTTTGGATTGGCTTGCGAAGGATGTAGAGGCACTTGGGGTCGTTCCTGGGTTTGGTGCCTTAGTCTCAGCTGCTCGTGCATCTTCTGCTCTTTTGAAGCTGTTTGCGCCGATCCTGCAGGATGCGCTGTTGCGGTTTTTCGCTGCTCATCTCGCATGTCAGCAGGTGGTGCTCACTTCCTCTCTAGAATCTGCTTGGGCCCTGGCTCTTAGATTGTCTTTGCCCTTTTGTCCTTTGTTGTTTGCGGCCCTCTGCGGTTGAACAATATATGCAAGCAGCTTCCTCCAGCTGCCACCCAATGTCTGACTTGTTGGTTCTCCAGGGGTCTCGGTTGGGTTCCTTCCAGAGAGGTCATACCAGGGCCCATGGCTTGTCTGGGTGGACCACAGATGCCAGGCCTTCACCTGGCCCTTCGGAGCCGGTGCCGCCTTCAGTGCTTCCTTTGTGTGCAGGTCGGGTTCTTGTAAGGGGCATCGGCCCTTTCGCGGTTCACCCCATTGACAGGGCGATGGGGGGGGGGAAGCTTGCTCTGTTCACTCTCGCCTGGTCTCCCAATTCGTGGGCTTTTCGGGTCGTCTCTCGCAGCCTTCGGAGATGTTGGGTGGCTCTTCCTCCTTTAGGAGGTTCGGAGCTGGCAAGGCAGGCCTCTTCTCCTGCACTGTCAGGTCGTCTTGAAGTGGGTGCGCTTGGGCGTAGTCGAAATGACGAAGTCCCTCAGGTGGGTTTCCTGCCTGTTTCCAGTTCCGAAATGGGACTGTGCGGACCTGTGGTTCATTGTGACCTTATCCCGTCTGAACCCCTGGGTTTTTTGCTCCTCCTTTCAGGGTTTTTGCTCCTCGAGGGTCTGTGCGGGAGCCTGAGCTTTGCGATGATGGTCTGCCCGTCGGGTCGAGTTTGGCTTCGTCGGCTGTTCTGGTTCCTTCGGGGACGTCCCTTCCGCCTCTTTCACGATCGCTAGGTTCGACCCCCGGGAGCCTTGCGTCGGCTGCTTCCTCTTCGGGTTTTTCGGGGTTCAGTGCCTTGGTGTCTTCCCGAGCCCTTGTATGATGTGTTCTCGGACACGTCGTCTCTCAGCTGGGGCTTTGTGACCAGTGCTCACCAGGCAGTACAGAGGAGTGAAGTCCGTTCTTCCGTCGGGCCCACAGCACGGTGCGGGAGTTTGCGGCAGTGTGGTTTGCACTTTGGAGGGTTTGGGTCGCCTGAGGATCAACGATCCGGCGCCATTCGGACTGCTCCCCAGTGGTTCATTGCCTGAACCTAGGGGGTTCGATGCAGTCCTTGGCTCTTTGGGGCTGGTCGCTTGTGATGACTTGTCTGCTGAGTTCTCGGGGTTTGACAACCTGGCGGTTCATGTCCCGGGGGGTTCTAACGTCCGGGCCTGGTCTGTCCCGGATTGTTCCCCTGTCCACAGAATGGACAGTCAATGCCGACTCATTCAGTTGGCTCTGCCAGGCGTTCAGGTGCCCAGAGGTGGACCTCTTCATGTTGGTGTGGTCGAGGCGTCTTCCAGTATATGTGGCGCCCTTCCCCAACCGTGAGGCCGTCGAGATCGACGCCTTCCGGCAGGACTGGTTGAGGAGGGAGGTTTTTCCGTGGCTCTGGCTCTTTCAGCATGTCGGCCCAGTCCATTACGAAACTGGTTCGGTCTTCTCCTCCAGTCTTCGCGTTTGGTATTTTTGACTCGAGTTTACCACCATCTGTATGGTGATTAGGTGACTTCCTTGATGGTGTCCCACCTGCAGGCTTTGTCTCGGAAGCAGTATGAAGTTTCCTGGCAGTCCTTCTGTTTTTTTTTTTTTTTACATTGCGTCGTTTTACTTCGCTTTCTATTCAGGTGGTGGTGTCCTTTCTCTCATGGTTGTTCCTGGACCGTCATCTTATGCCAAATACTGTTGCCTCATATCGTGCAGCGCTGGCAGAGCCGCTGCAGCTTGCTTTTGGTATCGATGTTACTTTTGCGCCGTATCGCAAGCGATGTCTCGTGCATTGTTTCACCTCTGGCCTGCTCAAGAACCTCACGCACCACCTGAGCCGTCCTGGTCTTTGGATAGAGTGCTCTCCTATCTCTCTTCTCCTCAGTTTGTTGTGGCCCCTTCAGTTCAGGATTGTTTTTCTAAGGCTCTTTTTCCTGTTGGCATTAGCCTCTGGTGGTCGGGTCGGAGAGCTTCATGCTCTCCTCCGGCGCAGGGGTTTCTGCTCTTTCGTTCGTCGTGATAGGTTTGTTCCTCTGCAGCCATCTCCTCCTTTTCTGGTGAAGAATGAGACTGCTGCCTTCCGGAGGGGTTCTTGGGTTGTTGCCTGGTTGGTCAGGCCGGGGTGCATCATGTCCGGTTGCGGCCCTCTGCCGTTATTTGCACGCCACGGCTACTGTGTTTGTGGACGCGCTTTCTGTTGATCCGGTTTCCCTTCTTCCCTGTTCACGGGTACGGGTCTCTCAAGTCGTCCACAGGGTTATTAAGTCTAGCCAGCCTGCAGTCTATTCCCGTCCCCATGACGTTTGTAAGTTTGCTGCTTTTACTTCCATGTTTAGTAACATGTCCTAGGCTGACATTCGGGCATGGGGTTTTTGGTGGTCGAACAGGGTCCTGGCGCATGCTATCTCGTTAACGTTCCAACAGCCTCCCAGGTAAGTCCCCTTTTTATTTTTCATCTTTAGTGACGTAGCTCCCGGGAGCCGTAGGGGTGTCCCCAGAAAACCAGCGTTGAATGTAATGAAATGCCATTTTCTGAGCGAGTCATGGAGGTTCCTTGGCAACCCCCTTCCTCCGTCCCTCCAGTCGGCGGTTGTTGCATATTTTGATATCCAGCCTCAGAACTGCAGGATAGATTGCCGGCACGGGAGTCTGGAGCTCCCCCTTCCCGGGAAAGGGAAAGCTGCGCAGACATGCAGCGCGGCTCATGTGATGTTGCTCGTTTGCTATATTTCTTTTGGGGAGTTCTGTCCACTCGTTTGTCTATTTTTGCCGTTTTTAACCAGAATAGGGGGTTTGTTTGGAGGCGCTTACCTTTCTGGGTGCCTGTCCCAGTCGATGGCAGATACAGAATGCTCCTAAATCACATGTGCATTTCTATAAGCCATTGCTCCTCGTGCCTCTCTGAGGGGACCAGGTTTTGGCTCGTGGTCCCCGGTAGGCCTAGAACTCCACCCACATTGATGCCAAAGTTAGGGATATCCATATCAGTCTGGATAGCTCCGTGGAGCCTCCGGGACTCGCCCAGAAAATGGTGTTTCATTACATCCATCACTGTTTTTTTTTTGCATTACATGATTTGATAATGGTCCAGGATGGACTGAAATGTCATCAATTCTACATTTTCAGATTGTAGATTGGGTGTCCAGGTATATATTTTCTAAATATTGTAACTTTTTTCAACAGGGTCAATTCAATCACACAGTTGTAGAAATAGTTCCAGCAGACTATGCAACTAACAGCGTTGGTGTTTTGGGCCGCCCAGAGTTGATGGAATTTGTAGGAGGAAGCAGTGATTCTAGGCTAGTTTCAGATACCAATCTGCCAATCTTAGTGCGACAGCTTGCTCTCCATGCTGATGTAAGTTTAATACTTGTGTACTGGTAACTAATATTTTGCATGCTTGGCTTTAATAAAATAAATATTATATGCTTAACTTTAAAAATTATATTTATTTTCTGGCATTTTAATTTTGTTAGAAATGTGCATTAACCCGCCTAACAGCTGGGTGGACAGCACTTCGGATTCGTAGTCCTGAGGTTCCGGGTTCGATCCCCAGTGGAGGCGAAAACAAATGGGCAAAAATGTTTCTTTCACCCTGATGCCCCTGTTACCTAGCAGTAAATAGGTACCTGGGAGTTAGACAGCTGCTATGAGCTGCTTCCTGGGGGTGTGTAACTTAGCATCCCCGTGGCCTGGTCGAGGACCGGGCCACGGGGATGCTAAGCTCCGAAATCTTCTCAAGATAACCCTCAAATTGCAGTTACAGTACATCAATTCACGGAGTAATCCAGTTATCATCATAAGTTGGTTAAAACTTTTATTATTTGGTTTTATACCAATGATGTTAATATGGATATAATAGCTCTGTATAGATGCAGTGGCATTTACCTAGTCCCATGATAAAACCCAGTGTTGAATAATGAAATGCCTCCTTCTGGAGGAGCCCCAGTGGCTACCTGAAGGTATCTTGCCGATTGCTCCAAACTAAAGGTTCACATCAGCCACAGAAGTTCTGTTTAGCCTACCAGGGACTAAAGCCAGACCCTCTCCCAACCCTCCTCACTGAGGCACAGGAGCGGGTGACAATCCACTACCCCATCGAAAAATGCCTCCAGAACGTTAGCGAAGCTTAACAGACTGGAGGGTTTACAGGAAACGAAGCCCAAACAACTCCACAGGTGATTCACACAGAACAGAAAGATTCACCCAAACTAGCTCAAAACTCATAAGTACTGATAACCGATACCAGGCAGCCTAGTCCCAGCCCTCGGTCAAGTCTCCACCTTAGTTCATTGAGAGTTGATGAACAACTCTCAATGAACTGACAAACCTGAAGTGTTTGTCAATCCAATAATAAAATGTCAGGCAGAGGTGAATTTGTTAAAAAGGGGTTTGAATTTTGATGGTATGACTACAGTAAATGGTGTTTTATCTACTCCCAAAAATATATTATTTCTACTATAAAATACTGTAGTGAGATGATAATGTTTGGATGTAACAAGTTCTTTTGCAGTGGTAGGGATTTGATGCAACTCAATCCATCTGAGTAAGATTCCTCTCTGTATACATGAAGTTACAACCAAGAATAAATAACCTGATGATACAAATTTCAAAGAGTATGTGTGTGTGCTTGTTTTTATAAGCATTGGCAATTTCCTTATCTAATCCATTCCATCTATTTATAATATGTTCTCTTGTTCTGTTGTTCCTTGTTTTAAACATTGTTTCTCTGTCTACTACGTCCATTTCCTTAGTACCTTGCTGTCATTAATATGTCTGTCCTGTTCCAGGCCCCATTTCTCAGCCTTGGCATATGTTGTAATTGCAAAGGGAAGTGCAGAAAAAAAGTTTATTTATTTAAAATATTTATTATTAATTATTCATAACATTTAAAGAAAAAAAATGTTCCAATAGATATAAATGAAAATATTTTTTTTTTTTACAATGAGTAAGAAAAGATATTACTGCATTTCATTACAACAAATTATTTTTTTACTTTAAGCTTGCATCCACAATCTGGGAGTCGCTGAATCGTCCACCTTTCAACCCATATGCTAGCAATTGGGTGGAAAGGATGAGGAAAATTAGAAAGATCCGCCAAATGGTTGTTGCAGAAAATGAAGCGCAGCAAACCCAGCATTTCATGGATTTCACTGACTTGACAGACCCAGACAAAGGGGATAAGGGTAGGGGCGGTGGCTCTGGATACTGGCATCAGTTCCTAACTAAAAGTTGAAAAACATTCTGTAGGAAGATCTATTACAGTACTCTTATATTGGCCATATTAACAGAGGTCTGCATAATACAGTGTATGCATGACAGAAAGGAGATACTGGCATTGATGATAAGCATTGGGTCCTAAATTAGAACCCAAATGGCCAATGAATTGTTGCACAAATCTGTTGAAGATATTCACTAAGATTTTATTTACTTACGAAATATGATTTTGTAATTTTGTAGCATAAAATTTCTATCTATCTCTTAAATGGAGTGCGAATTTTAATAACATTTTTATGTCTGGAAGACATATTTTATAAATCATTTGTTCTACTCTTTTTTTTTTTTTTTTTTTTATAAATATTATTGAATATTGCATATTTTCTAAAACATTTCATATTCACTGTTTTGTCGCATTATTTTGTTCATGTTTTGTACTGTGCAACTTGTCCACCACTTCAAAATAGGTATTTTGAACTGAAGTTACCACTAGATATTAAAAGTGTGATTATACAGTATCTTAATTTAAATTTATGCTAAACATTTTCACCAAGTAAATATGTTATCTAAATTGGGGGTTTCATTGTCCTCTTTCTTTAGCTAATTTGCAAAGATGTGGATAATTCTTTATTAACGGTTAAGCCTGTGAATGTTTATTGAAATTGAATAATGTAAAAGTAATTTAAAGTCTTCTTGAATGATCATCGATATTACAATACTCTGCCCTTTGTTAACAGAATAGACAATAAATTTATAGGTACTATATTAGGAAGAACATATTTATTAATGTACTCTAAAAAAAACTCAGGATACACAGTTGAACCTTAATAGAACAGCTCCCAGTAGAACAGATTTGTTAACAAAAAACTTGTACTTTAATAATTTATTGAACTTTAACAGAACATAATTGTTAACAAGAAGACCTTATAATTTAATCATTAATTGATTGTGTCAGGGGATAGGCAGCCAGTGGACAGAAATGTCTACTGGCTGCAATACGTTAGGCTTGAATTGAGGTCCCCCCCCCGTCCCCAGGGTTGAATTACTAACCCTCCCCAGGATGCAATCCCAAAACAAGCTGGCTAACTCATAGGCACCTATTGACTGCTAGGTGAAAAAGAGCTTTAAGTGATAGGAAATATGCCCAACCATTTCTGTCTACCCTACAGTCCTCTTCAGTTCTTACTCTTTTCATTAACTTTGCATTCTGACTATAACCCTTTTCTTCCTGTCTGTCAAGTACTTGCGTACTCAAGTCCAGTGCCTTTCTTGGTATCCCAGCTTCTCTCTCCATCTTTTGTATTAGTCTCTTGTGAGGAACTGTATCTGCCTGAATTTACCTGAGAGCCACTAATACACTAGTGGCCTCGAAGAGGACAGGAAGCCGATGGCTTGTCAAAGTCATCATACCGGTGGCCTGGTTTTGTACAAAGTACAAGTCACCAGTACAAATCACAAATAGGGTGGATTGTGCACACTTTGTACAAATCACCCTATTTGTACTGGTTATTTTTTCAAGCTGGATTTTAAAATTCAGCAGTGTTGTGCCGTTTACTGCTTTGGAGGGTAGGCTGTTCTCTGAGGTTATAACCCTATGTGTGATAAAAAATCTCCTTTTGTCCTGTATTGTGACTTGTTAAGCTTGAAACCAATGCTCCTTGTTTATGCTACATCTGACCTCTTGAAGAAATTGTCTGGATCCTCCAAATTATTCAGTATTTTAAAAGTTTCTGAGCTTTTTACCAGTGTAGGAAGATGCAGTCTACCCATCCTTACATGTTTTGTCTTATTTTGGTGACCATGTCATAGAATCCATCCAAGAATTTTAAGCATGATTTTTTTCTCTGGAGCCTCTGTTATAAAATTTATTCTCCCCAAATGATGTACAATCCTTTATCTGATTATGTGTTTTAGCATCTTGCATGGAATGCATGTTAATGACACCGATTTACAGTTTAGTTCTGGTGCCTGTTCTGGTTCCTTCGAGGGCATCCCTACCGCTGGGTTCGAACCCAGTGGACCTTGTGTCAGTTGCTGTGTCGCCGGCTTCCTCTTCGGGGTTTTCGGGGTTCGGTGCCTTGGCACCTCCCCGACCTCTCGCTCGTTGTGTTCCCGGATGCATTGTTTTTTTACTTTTTTTTTTTTACCTGTGCTCAACAGACCAGATAAGGACGGTGGGCTCAGCCCTTCCGTTAGGCTCACAGGGTGGTGTGGGAGTTGGCGGTGGTCTGTCCTTAACTGCGGAGGATTTGGGTTACTTGGGGCTCTACAGTCAGGCTCCCTTTAGACTGTGCTCCAGTGGTTCATTGTCTGAATCATGGAGCTCCTTTAGGTCATTGGCTCTTTGGGGCTAATCTCTTCAAGTGCCTCGTCTGCTGGTTTCTTGGGGCTTAGCTCTCCATGCAGTTCGCTTCCAGTGTGTGTCCATCTTCCAGGCAGACAGCCTGTTCCAGTTCCTACCCCTGCCCAAGGAATGGATGGTCAACATCGACTTCTTCGGCTGGCTTTGCTGGTCGCACAGGATCCCGTAGGTGGAACTCTTCGCGTCGGTATGGTTTCGGCGTCTCTCAAGATATCTGGTGCCCTTCCCTGGCTGTAGAGCCATCACATTTGGACATTCTTCGTCCTGGTCCTTGGACAGGGTGCTCTCTTTTCTCTCTTCTCCTCAGTTTATGGTGACACCTTCAGTTCGCATTTGCTTCCAGAAGGCTCTGTTGGCGTTGCCATTGGCCTATGGGAGTCGGGTCAGTGAGCTTCATGCTCCCCTCTGGCACAAAGGTTTCTGCTCTTTTGATCCTAGTGGATGTCTTGTTTGGTTGTAGCCGTCTCCTTCTTTTCTGGCTAAAAACGAGATGGCGGGCTTCCGGAGGTGTCTGTGGGTTACTGATGCTTGGTTGGTCCGGCCAGGGGTGCATCATGTATTGGGTTCGGTTGTAGCTCTATGCCGTTACTTGTGCGCCTCACGGCCTTGCTTTGAGTTGATCCGATTTCTCTTTTCCTGTTACAGGGCTTGGGCCTCTTAGGTCGTTTGTAGGATTATTAAGTCTTGCCAGCCTGCAGTCTACCCTCATGCCCATAATGTTCATAATATGCTGCCTTGACTGCTGTGTTTGGCTACATGTCCTGGGCTGACACTCTGGCGCGGAAGTTTTGGAGGCTGAAAAGGGTTCTGGCCACCCGTTAATTGGTAAATGTTCCTGGTCCCAGTCGATCGTGTATGGCTTTGGGTCGTAGTTTGCAACCAGTCGTCTCATCTTCGATTTGATCCACGCTGTGTGGCCTCCTCACGAGTAAGTCTCTATTTTTACTTATCTTTGGTTATGTAGCTCTAGAGAGCCAAAGGGGCTCCCTACAGAAAACCAGCATTGAATATAATGAAACTCCATTTTCTGGGCGAGCCCCTAAAGTTCCCTGGCACCCTCCCTCCTTCCGGTCGGCAATTTCAATTTTTGATGAATTGAGATGCGAGTAGCCGGTGCGTAGGTCCGGGGCTCTCCCCCTCCCATTTCCAGGGAGAGGAGGGGCTGCGGGGACAAGCAGCGCGACAGCAGTGAGTGATGATTGCTTGTTTGCTCTTTTCCTTTGTTTTTGTTTAGGGAGTTTTCTTTCTCTGTTCGATCTTGGGTTTTTGCAATTTCCTACCATGTGGGGTTTGTTTTGAGATGCCTATCTTTCTGGGTGCCTAACCCCGGTCAATGGGAGACAAGGAATACCCCCAAATACAAGGTGGGGGAGGGGGGTCTCCTTAACCCTTTAACAGCTAAGGGGTCCTTAAGGCTTCCACAGCCCAAGCTCAAGAAAAAAAATTCTAAACAAATTTTTTCTTCTAAAAATGTTCATTTGTGCTCCCTAAGCACAGGAAAAAATAATAAAAAAATTATATTGTACTGTACTTAACAATGACATAAATGAGCCGAGAAGTTCACCAATGACGTGATGGAAGATGATCGCCCAAGCTTGCTGCATCACGGAGCTGTCGCATACGGCATTCAAGAGGCCCGAGTTGCCACAAATTTATTTCCGCTGTATTATTTACAGTATCTATGGCACATTTAACAACAATTTTTTTTGCTAGTATTGTTCCAATTATTGTCACTTGATGTTGAATTATAATACAACTGCTATAAATTCACTTTGCACTCACATATTAGTGTCACAAATACATGCACCAAAATGTTTTATTTTACAGGAAATACACAATGTATTTGTTTTCTTGTTTTTCAACGTATACACTCATTCACTCGATATGTACATGTTTTTACACAAGTATTGGACATTTAGTAGTCCTGGAGACTGTGATACTGTGCGAAACAGTCGACATATAGCACAAAGGGACTGCACACTTTTTGCACCATGTTAACATCAATTTACATTTCGGTGGCCTCATTTTTGTGGTGTTACACACAATGCACCGATGCTGGCCTACTGCACGCAATCCAATTGGTAGTAATTTCTTGATTTGGTGTACCAGAAAGGCCTCCCTGTAAGCGAGCCTGGGTGTGGGAGCATGGTGCAATATTGGGTCCGTAATGGGTCTTTGTATGCCAGGGGTGTTCTTGCCAAACTTACCTAGTAATTGTTTCACAACTTGAAAACTACGGAAATGTGGTTTTCTACCTGTTTTCACAAGATACATGTTGCAACTGTTAAGCATTGTTACATCAACAAGGTGGAAAATCATCATCTTGGTCTACTTTACTGTTTTCCATTCACACACTACAGCATCCACCATCATTTCACATTTATCAACTAAACGCATGTTGATATTGTAGTCCATCACACAATCTGGCTTATAGATTATTTGTTTTGTGGTTCTGTTCACCTTGCCACTGTCCACCATTATACCAGGGTGAATGGTGGTCAACGTGTTCACTTCACGTCTGTCTCTCCACCAGACTGGAGAGAAACATACAAAATAACCCCCAGGACCAAAGAAGCAGAACCCCTTGCGTCACAGTAGAGCATAAAGCTCCCTAACCCAACCCCCAGAGGCAAAAACCAATGCCAACAAAGCCTTCTGGAAGCAAACGCGAACCGAAGGTGTCACCATAAACTGAGGAGAAAAAAGAGAACACCCTGTCCAAGGACCAGGATGAAGAATGTCCAAATGTGATGGCTCAAGCCATCACATTTTTCAAACCTTGAAAACAAGGTTTTCAGAAAACAATCCCAAACAGAAGGGGGAACCACAACAAAATGAAAGGAGGTAAGAAAAGAAAGCACCGAGTTCAATGACCAAAATGGGGCAAGCGATGCATGAGCAGGCTGGAGGTAAAAAATACACGGGAGAGCTTGTGGAACAGGGGCAGAAGTGATATCTTCCCTGAATACAAGCTGGAACAACTCTGCCAACACCACACGATAAGAAACGACAGTATTTGGCATGAGATATAGTGGTCCAAAAAGTCAAGAAAGGACAAAACCACCTTTACAGACACCAACAACACCCTCCAAAGGGAAAGGAAACGGCGGAAAGATTGCCAGGAGACTTCGTACTGTTGCCGAGATGAAGACTGCAGGTGGGACAACATCAAAGAAGCCACCTGATCACCATACAAGTGGTGATACACC